AGGGGCCCAGTTTCGACGGGGTCACAGAGGGCGCTTAGGCGCGATCTTATTGATGGCCGCCAAGAGCCAGTTATTCCTGTCCTCGACAAGGTCATCTAATGAGTCGCCAGGAGGAGCAGGGTCTAGAGTTTCTAATGACATTTTCCTGCCTTTTGCATGCAAATTAAACGGAAGGGAAATTTTTGTGTGTTTTTTATAGATTGTTTGAGCAGACCATGCCATAGTTATGACCCTGCCCTCATTTTACAGTTTCTGTCCAGTGTTTCTCACTTTTAAAAAATATTAATAATTTTTTATTGATTTTTCCTCATATTTTTCAGCAAATCATCTTTTTAAACATCATTACAAAATTTTTGGCTATCACAGCCTAAGACTTCCTTCAACCTCAACTGATGGTTTTCTAAAATCCTTTCTAATTATGCATTTTGTTACTACAGTTATTGCTATAAATCCAAATCTTAATACCTATTCTTAATTCTTTTCACGATAAGTTCTATATTACTCCTTACAAAACTTCTTTTAAGCCTACAAGCGATGTCAATTGGTTACAGTTGCTTTCCAAATATGTCAAGCAGCGAGAGTCACCATGGTGTCTTACGTTCTAATAGATTTTTATATCTATCCCACACCTCATACAATGACATTCAAAATATGTGGTTTCCAAATCCTTTATGAACTTTTACTTTGCCATACCATAGATATGCATGCCATCCTAATCTGTTGTCAAATCCTTCTAGATCTAAAAGATCTGTATTCTCCAACAATATCCAGTCCCTTAACCAACAAAGGCATGATGCTTCATAATACAATTTCAAATGTGGTAGGGAGAAGCCTCCTCTTTCTTTTATATCTGTTAACAGTTTAAATTTAATTCTTGGCTTCTTCCCTTGCCAGATAAATCTTGAAATTGCTTTTTGCCACTCTCTAAAGATACCAACTCCGTTAATTATTGGGATTGATTGAAATAAAAACATTTTCGGTAGCACACTCATTTTAATAACTGAAATCTTATGCATTAAGGATAGTTTCATTCTTCCCCACACTTCTAAGTCACTTTTAGTACCATTGCATACCAGTGTGTAATTCTCTTTAAATAAATTTATATTTTTCGATGTTAACCAGATTCCTAGATATTCAACTTTTTTAACAACCTCTATTCCACTCTGATGCTGCAATGTATCAATCAAATCTCAGTTCATATTTTTCATTAACATTTTTGGATTTTTCTTATATAATTTGAAACCTGCTACTTGTCCGAATTGTTCTATTCTTTCTAGTGCTTTTCTAGCACTAGTTAATGGTTCTTCCACTGTTCCGAAGGGTAAAATTAGTGGCTATATTTTACAGATTCCATTTCCTTGAGCACTTTAATAGGTTGCAAATATTGGCTTGTGCATTTAACAGACATGGATAGTTCTGCTCTCTTGACTCAAATTAAACCCTTAAATTTTAAAGGGTGGGGGAGGTAATCTTTTGTAATATTGTTGCATGATATATGAGCATTTCCAAGGCAAGATTATAACATTTTTGCAAGCAAGGAAGAAGATCACAAGAATTCCACCCCACTGGTTCCTCCGCTGGGGAGCATGATTTATAAGCAAATTTCAAGATTAGTCCCCCTCTCAAGATCACTTCCTTATTCCTTTCCAGTAAACTGCTGTCTTTTGCAATGATTCACCCATCACGGGAGTGGGGTGGGTGAAGGGATGTTTTAAACAAACGCTGACTGCCCCATTAGGGGCCAGGGACGCTGGGGCAGCTAAATCCCATTTGATTCATTTGATTCCTCCAATATGGCGCCACGCACCGGGTACCACTTGACCTTGCTACACCACTGGGAGAGGGAGGACCTTCCAGCAGGAATTTCTGCCAGACAGCATCCCAGTGGGGAAATATGGCACCCTGTGCAAGCCCCAAATTTGGCTGCCCCAAATGGATCTTCTCCATTACAGATCTGCACAATTCTGTGCCCCCTTGACCACTGAACCATTCCTCGTCTGGGGTGGTGGCGGCAGCCATAGTGGCGCATCAGCACCTGCCAAGCCCTTCGCCCTCCAGCCCTCGTTTAAGCCTCGCCTCCCAAATCAGGGCTGGATAGCAGCTAGCCTTCCGCTCCATTGTCCATTGTTCTTTCTCTTTGCCGTCTGATGCTAGAGAGAGAGGGAGCCATGTTGCAGTGCTCCCTGTGTGTTTATATGTAAATAAAGTAGATTAGCCAAAATGCTGAGTTGCTGAGGTCTGTCACGCAAGGTGCGCAAACTCTGCGCATCCCCAAGTGTGCCGGTGTCGGTTGGCATCAGTCGCTGTGATATTCGGGCTGAAGAAAGCTTTTGAAGCTCCCGAATGATCGACCAGGAGGGAGAGAACATGCCAGTCGGGCATGTGTCTCTGCCAGGGTCCTACTCGAGTGTAGGCTGAACTCCTGACAGAGGAGCCCTAGATTGGTGGCCACCTCTGCCTGCTGGTTGAGGCCAGTTCCCTAGTTTGACCATGCACTACGAGCAAAACTGCTTCCTTTTGTCTTCCTCGAATCTTCAACATTCAGCTTTTAGAGGACAAGGATCCAGAGATTACGCTAAGGGTGGCCAAATTCTGTGCGACTGAAAACTTAGGTAACAAGTTGTACTACCAAAACGATTAAGGTTTGCAATGACAATTTTAGGTTATATTTTAATGATCAAGATTTTATATATATATTTTAACTGCTATACAGACATATCTCATGTTACGTTTGCTTCAGGTTGAGCGTTTTCAGGTTGCGTTCCGTGGCAACCCGGAAGTACCGGAAAGGGTTACTTCCGGGATACGCCGCTCACACATGTGCAGACACGCAAAATGGCGTCACACGCATGTGCAGAAGCGGCAAATCATGACCCGTGCATGCGCAGACATGGGTTGCGCTCCTTTCAGGTTGCAAACGGGGCTCCAGAACGGATCCGTTCGCAACCAGAGGTACCACTGTATCTGTACTGTCTCTGTTATACCCAATTGCAATTCAATGTATTCCTGTTGTGTTTTATGATTTTCCTGATATTGTAAGTGAGCCAGAACTGGTCTGCGAGTGTAATAATAAAATTCATTCATTCATTCAGCTTTTGCCGTTACGAGAGAAGGAAAGAAAAAATGCTCCATCCACTCTCTTCATGCCACGCACAGTCTCATAAACCTATGAGCTCGCAGAAGTAGCTGCTCACCCTTGTGGAGGAGCTGAGGCGCCAGCTTCCCAGGTAGAATGTATGGGGCCGACGTCACCTAGCGCATGACGCCGTGGGCATGGCATCGGATGTTGAAGGAGCTGAACGCAGCGGCAGCGTAGCTTCAACGGTCCGTTGGCACTCCTCCTCTGCCACCACCAACTGGGCTGCTTCCCGTTTCCTCTCCTGCCATGGCAGGAGGAGGAAGAGGAGGAGCTGGCTGCCAATGTCATGCTTTGTTCAGCTTTGCCTCCTCCACCCTTTTTGAACATTAGGGGCAGTCCCCTCCCCCAAAGTATTGGGGGGAGGGCAAAAGGACTCTGCCCCTAGGACAGGGGTCTGCAACCTTTAAGACAAAAAGAGCCACTTGGACCCGTTTCCGAAGAAAAAAAAACTGGGAGACGCAAAACTCGTCATTATAAAATTAACTTTTTTGTCACTTTTTTATTATTTCTTTGTTTGACCCCTCAGAATTACTCCTCCTCATAGAAATAAATGTTAAATTAACAAGTTACCTTTTTGTGTGTGTGTGTTCTTCACTCCCCTTCAAAACAGTGACCAGCGTACATGCCCTCTTTCAATGCAGTGACCAGCGTACATGCCCCTTACAATGTAGCGGGCAGGTGGGAAGGTGACGTCGGGACGCTGCGTGACTAACGCACGCACCGCCCCCATGCGACGTCACAGCCAGTATAGCGCCCGCCACAGTGGGGAGTGTCGGGGCGCACAATGCACCTCCTCCCCTCGCTAGTATCTGCCCCGGAGCCGCGGCAAAGGTGTAAAAGAGCCACATGTGGCTCCGGAGCCGCGGGTTGCAGACCCCTGCCCTAGGAGATGGTCCCAGGGCAGGCGCACTCCCGAGGGGGGCAGGGCATGGAGGGTGACCTCCCAGGCGCGGGATAACGGCTCGGGTGCACAGAACAGCGTGCACGCCCTGCAGCTGGGGGCGGAGCAAGCCCGCTTGGACTACTGCAATGCGCTCTACGTGGGGCTACCTTTGAAGGTGACCAGGAAACTACAACTAATCCAGAATGCAGCAGCTAGACTGGTGACTGGGAACGGCCGCCGAGATCATATAACACCGGTCTTGAAAGACCTACATTGGCTCCCAGTATGTTTCCAAGCACAATTCAAAGTGTTGGTGCTGACCTTTAAAGCCCTAAACGGCCTCGGTCCAGCATACCTGAAGGAGCCTCTCCACCCCCATCGTTCTGCCCGGACACTGAGGTCCAGCTCTGAGGGCCTTCTGGCGGTTTCCTCACTGCGAGAAGCAAAGTTACAGGAAACCAGGCAGAGGGCCTTCTCGGTGGTGGCACCCGCCCTGTGGAACGCCCTCCCACTAGATGTCAAAGAGAAGAACAACTACCAGACTTTTAGAAGACATCTGAAGGCAGCCCTGTTTAGGGAAGCTTTTAATGTTTAATAGACTATTGTAGTTTAATATTCTGTTGGAAGCCGCCCAGAGTGGCTGGGGAAACCCAGCCAGATGGGTGGGGTATAAATAACAGATTATTATTATTATTATTATTATGGTGGACATTTTTACAGCTTGGGGTCGTTTTGACAGCTTAGGGTAAGCTTGGAAGTCACAGGTGGGCGGTGCACCAATGTCACCCCCCTCAGCAAAGATACCCGGGGCAATCTGCCCCCACCGCACCCCCCTGCCTGGAACATGCTCCACAGCCTTCTATATCGAAGCGTATCATCTGTTTGTCACCAGAACCCTCCATTGCAGAAAGCTCCCCACCCCATACCTAACAGGGAAAAGAACAAGCCATAAATTTCCAACAATTTGTTTATTTCGAAGGGTCAGACACATCCAATGCCAGCTTCTAGGAGGATCTGGAAATCTGGGGGAGCCGAAGACGGGAGAGGGCCTCAAATCACTCCCGGGCCCCCCAAGCCAACAGCGGCCCTTGGAACGGGAAAGCCGCTGCCTCGCGCCTCGGAGCGCTCGCCGCAACTGGCAGCTCATTCCTTGGGCTCCATAACTCGCTTGCGCAACAGGAAGCTCTTGAGGGTGGGCTTGACGACGCCTTTGAGGGTTGCCCAGCGCTTGGCTCTCCGGGTTGCCCGGTGCTCTATTGCGGCCTGGGTCTGCAAGGACTCGGTCACCAGGTCCGGGGTGTACGCCTGGAACATGGGCTGGAGGTCTGTGTACTGGATGCAGCGATAGATGCGGGGCTGCAGAGAGAGGAGGACTCAGTCAGGGAGCCCAAGAGAACCATGCGGATCTCCAACCCTGTTTTAGCCCAAATGTGTGTTTTCTTTTTATTTAATTCTTTGTTTTTAAAAATTCAATCGGTTTATCATTGCACGAGCCAAAGGCCACAACGATTTCATTGCAATTTTGCAGTACAGAAACCTACAAACCTAGAATTAGGACCCTCGTACCTATGGGGCCGCCTCTCCTGGTACGTCCCACGGAGGACCTTACAGTCTTCAAATAAAAACATCTTGGAGATCCCGGGCCACAGGGAGGTTAGGCTGGCCTCAACCAGAGCCAGGGCCTTTTCGGCCTTGGCCCCAATCTGGTGGAACGCTCTTTCACAAGAGACTAGGGCCCTGCGGGACTTGACATCTTTCCTGCAAGACAGAGCTGTTCCACCAGGCCTTTGGCCAAGGCACAGCCTGACCCCCTCCTTTGGTAATCCTCACAGAACTCTAGCCCAACGATTGCCATTAATTTGCTTCTGAATTGATTTTAGAATGAATTGATTTTAGAATGTATTTCAATTAATTGACTGTGTTTTTATGTAAACTGTGCTATTTTTACTGTTGTTAGCCGCTCTGAGCCTGGCTTTGGCTGGGGAGGGCGGGATATAAATTTTTTTAAAAATATTATTATTTATTAATATAATTACACACACACACACACACACACACATATATATATATATATATATATATGCATTATATAATTACATCAGTAATATGAGGGAATGGAAGCAGAGTTGCCAACAACAAGTTCAAACCTAGCTCAGCTTCAGATTAAACCTCAGAATTTCGAAAGCAACTTATGGCAATGCAGGGTGATTCATAATGAAGTATACGGTTTCCAGATGCTGTAAGACAGTAACAGGCGATGACACGGACCACAACTGCAAACCATGAGGGAGATGTACTCATAAATTTGTGTTCCACTACTGGGGGAAGTGACGTAGGTGATAGCGCGCCGTGTCCCATGACAAGTCAGGCAAAATGGCTGCGTCTGCAGTGGAGAGGGCGTTTTGTGTTCTTGAACTGAGAAAACGCAATCGGTAACTGTTGTGTGACAGCATTTTAGATCGCGATTCAGAAGAAAACATCCAAGCAGAAAATGTATCTACGATTGGCATAAGAAGTTTGAAACTACGGGCTGTTTGTGCAAACTTAGAAGTCCTGGACGACCACGTGTATTGGAAGAAGTCATCAATAGTGTTTGCGCTACCATTCAATGAAGCCCAGGAAAATCAACATGTAGGGTGAGTCACATTTGGGCAGAAATGGATTACTGATTCGATGTGTGTTGTGTGACAAAGGCTGCAGACATAGAACATCTCTGACTGTTTCTAAAAAAAAACTTCAAACATTCCCCTACAATTCTGTTACAGGTAACATAAGATATATTACATTCTTCTTCTTTTTATAGTGCGTTGAAACTGTATACTTCATTAAGAATCACCCTGTATTATCCAACTCTCCCATTCCTCATCTCTTTCTTTCTTTCTTTCTTTCTTTCTTTCTTTCTTTCTTTCTTTCTCTTTTTGCTGCCAGTGCACAAACAGCCACTTTATGTGTCAAAAAATTATTAGAGTCACTCAAAGCGAACTGAACCTTTTCTGCAGAGTTTACCCATTTCCGTAAATCAGCATATCAATTTGCAATCACAGTTCACTGACTTTCAGGTGGAATGCAGATACCCCCAGCAAAGAATGAGAAGCCAGAGGGATAAGAGAAGCTCCCTCCTTGCTGCTGTATTTGAATAATCCATATTATCCATTTTAGCCTCGCCCCAGAGCCACCCGCCCATGTCTGGCCAAACGTTCTGACGCAGCGATGTTCCAGACAATGGGGAAACAAGTGGCAAAGCAGGAAATTCCTAGGCAGTAACTAACTCAGACCTTCCAAGTGTCCCTATTTTCCAGACAATCCTGGATTTAGAGAAGCCGTCCCGGTTTCCGATTTGATCCCGGAATGTCCCGCTCTTCTTTGTTGTGGTTGTTTAGTTGTGTCCGACTCTTCGTGACCCCCTGGACCAGAGCACGCCAGGCACTCCTGTCTTCCACTGCCTCCCGCAGTTTGGTCAAACTCATGCTGGTAGCTTCCAGAACACTGTCCCACCATCTCATCCTCTGTCGTCCCCTTCTCCTTGTGCCCTCCATCTTTCCCAACATCAGGGTCTTTTCCAGGGAGTCTTCTCTTCTCATGAGGTGGCCAAAGTCTTGGAGCCTCAGCTTCAGGATCTGTCCTTCCAGTGAGCACTCAGGCCTGATTTCCTTCCGAATGGAGAGGTTTGATCTTCTTGCAGTCCATGGGACTCTCAAGAGTCTCCTCCAGCACCAGAATTCAAAAGCATCCATTCTTCGGCGATCAGCCTTCTTTATGGTCCAGCTCTCACTTCCGTACATCACTACTGGGAAAACCATAGCTTGAACCATACTACTTTTTCTTTAGGACGTCGCTATTTTCATTGGAGACATGTTAGAGGGCATGGGGTTATTTGAGCTCCCACCACCCCTTCACCCCGCCGACTCTCATCTTCTCCTGGAGCTCACTTACCTGGTCCTTGTGGGCTACGTAGGCCTTCATTTCCGGGAGCTGCTTCAAGACGGGGCGCGGAAACTTCTGCTTGTAGGCACTGCCCAGGATATCGCTCTTCTGCGCTCACCGAGAGATTTAAGCCAGAGAAGTCGCTTAGCTGGGCCCTCCTCCCTTCCCCTGCCTCTGGCTCCCCTCCCCTGAGCTACCCAATGGTACCCACCTGCCTTTCCCGCCCCTTCCCTGCCCTGCATGCCTTGGAGCCATAGAACCGCAAAGTTGGAAGGGAACCCCAAAGGCCATCCAGCCCAACCCCGGCAATGCAGGGGCGACAACTAAAGCATCCCTGACAGGTGACTATCCAACCTCTGCTTTGAAAACTCCGACAAAGGAGAGCCCACCACCTTCCACCTTTTGAACTGATTTTAGAATGAATTGATTTTACAATGCATTTCAATTAATTGATTGTGATTTTATGTAAACTGTGTTACTTTTACTGTTGTTAGCCGCTCTGAGCCAGGTTTCGGCTGGGGAGGGCAGGATATAAATAAAATTTTATTTATTTATTTATTTTTATTTTTATTTTTATTTTTATTTTTATTTTTATTTTTATTTATTTTATTATTATTATTCCGAGCGAGTCCGTTCCACTGTCGAATGGCTTGTAGCGTCAGAAAGCTCTTCCTAATGCTTGGGCTGGAATCTCCTTTCTGTGAGATAGCCAGCGTCCGATAACCAACGTGCTTAAGTCCAATTACTGCATGAAGGGGTTAACCCCATAGAGCAGCAGTTATCAAAGGGTGTGACGCGCCACCCTGGCGTGGCAGCAGAGGATGGCAAGTGTGGCAGGAAGATTCAAGGACAATCAAAGAAACATCTAAACATTTCAGTATAGGTTAGTATCAATAAAAAAAAATGAATTGCAAAAAAATATACAGAATAACTTTCTGACCACAAGAACTGTTTGGCAGCGCAACAGATTCCCTCAGAGGGTGGTGGGCTTCATTCGGAGGTTTTAAACAAAGATTTAAACAAACCTGCCATGGATGCTGTAGTTGTGAATCCTGCATTGCAGGGGGTTGGTCTAGATGACCCCCAGAGCCCCTTCCAACTCTTCAATTCTATGCCACATCAAGGCCTTCACCTGGAAGCCCTATCCAGCTCTGTTAGCTGCAAGTTTCAGTGGGTAGATGGCATTGACTGACGTTCTAGCGCTCATTGGCTGGGTGTAGCCAGGGGGGCAGCTGCCGCCCCCATCAAGTAAATAAATATAAAAACTTAACTAAAAGTGGAAATAATCAGAATATTTGAAATTAAAATGCTCAGGCCACTCGGATGCTATTGTGGCGCCTTCTAGCGATGTCACTGACAACCCGACTGAGAGATAGGCGTGGCCATCGCGTCGCAGGCAGCTCGGTTCTGGAACAGGACAAACAGGTACCCTGCCCTCTCCCATGTGCTCTGGTCACTTTTTAGACAGCAGATGACCCGCCCCACCCCGCCAAGAAGCAAGAGATCTTCCTCACCAGCTTCCCAAACTCTTCCCACTGCTGATAAGAGGCCTCAATTTGCTCGTCTGTGATCTGGATGATTCGCGTCTCTTTATGCATCATTTCATGCATCTTGCTGGCAGCGTCGTGGGACGACTTGACGTGCAGGAAATCCATCAGCATGGACTGCTGCCTCCTCTGCTGGCTCAGCGTCTGCACGATGTTGCGGGTGCTCCTGCAAGCAGAAACGGGGCGGGGGGGAGAAATAATGACCCTGGTGCATGCAAACAAGCACCTCCTCCATGCGCCGCTGTGAGAGGTCCCTCGGTGGCAGCACCAGAACAGGGCCTTTTCTGTGGTGGCTCCTCACTTGTGGAATGCTCTGACACCTTTGTTACCTGTCTTTAGGCACCAGGGGAAAACATTCCGCTTCAACCAGGCCTTTAACTGTTAATCCCAGACCCTCCAAGTGTCCCTGTCTTCCAGAAGCCATCCTGCTTTCTGATTTGTGTGGGATGTGATCCATTGGTACAGTCAAATTAACATTCCCTGCATGTGACCTGGGAGATGGGCATGGGCTGGGCTGACTCCATAAAAGAGCCAGGTCACGCAGCTGTTTTAGTCTAGTTTAGTCTTACAGTTTTGTCTTCTTGAAGTTGTCTGGTTCTCTCTCTTGCTGCAATGCTGCTCTCCTGCAGCCATTTTTTATTCTACTAATGTAATTTTGCTGTCTGCTGGCTCTCAGCCAGCAGCACATGAGTTCAGTATCCCTACTGTATGAGATGAACTCACACTGTAACTACCAAGTAAAGCCTGCCTTTCAGGAATCAAATGGTGAACTGAAATGTGAGTAAACTTCTTGTTACAGTGGACCCTCGGGTTACGTTTAGGTAATGTAACTTTCGGTTTGTACCTCTTAAAAATGGGATGCGGGTGGCGCTGTGGGTTAAACCACAGAGCCTAGGACTTGCCGATCAGAAGGTCGGCGGTTCGAATCCCCGTGACGGGGTGAGCTCCCGTTGCTCGGTCCCTGCTCCTGCCAACCTAGCAGTTCGAAAGCACGTCAAAGTGCAAGTAGATAAATAGGTACCGCTCCGGCGGGAAGGTAAACGGCTTTTCCGTGCGCTGCTCTGGTTCACCAGAAGTGGATTAGTCATGCTGGCCACATGACCCGGAAGCTGTACGTCGGCTCCCTCAGCCAATAAAGCGAGATGAGCGCCGCAACCCCAGAGTTGTCCGCGACTGGACCTAATGTTCAGGGGTCCCCTTTACCTTTACCTCTTAATTGAAAAATCTGCTGCTTGCGGTGGCAGTGTGTGGCTTCGGCTGCAGGGCATGTTAGAGCTGTGAGCAGACTCAAGCCTCTTCATTCCCCGACGCAGCACCGGCAGCCGGGGGGTTGGATTATGGCAAGTTACCAACGCTCCACTGGACCTCCGGAGTACCCACTATTCCATGGGGATTTTTCGGGGGGCGCCTAGCCCTGGCACTCACCCCCAAAGCCATGACACCCTGGACCGTGTCCTTCCTTAATAGGATGACACAGAGCTTGCCGCCATTTCCCTTGGCAGCGGACCGGAAGTCCCAAGATTCCCACAATTTGATCCCGGAATGTCTCGCTTTTCCTTTTTTCATTGGAAAAATGTTGGAGGGGATGCTGTTTCTAGCAGCAACTAGCCGCTGTGTTCTCCATAGCGCTCGGGGGGGGCACTATTTTCCGTGCTGCAGGTACAAGATTGCAGCAAAGGGGCCCCTCCGCTGCAGGGCCAAGAAAAGGCGTCCGCCTCTGTTTACTCACTCCCAGTGGGGCTGCCGGCCTTCGTTCAGGACCTTCAGGGTCTGCAGCGAGCCTGTTCGGCGGATGTCCTCAGGCACTTCTGCTGCCATCATGGACTGCAATTCCAGCCTCCACACCGCCTGCCCAAACGTCCCTGCGAGAGAAGCACCTAATCTGAGCACCCTCCCTTTTGCCAAAGCAGAACACGCACACTAGACACTGGATTTTGGTACTGGCTGCAAAAGTCAGCGCCTCGGGAAATCTCAGCCTGGTGTTATTTTTAGCCACTTTCCAGTCCCTAATGGCCACGGAAAATAGACCAAGGTTTCGAGAGAAGCTTAGAACTTGCCCCTAGTGATATATCCCTGAGGGCAAATTAGAGTCTGAGCACAACTTCCAGTGGGGAAAGGGAGGCTGCCCTCCGTAGTTCGTTGGCCTAGCTAGCTGAAGACAGTTTGCAATCTAAGAAAACGTATGCAAACTTTCTTTCTTTGCATTGCATGCATTAGTCAGAGAATCCAGCTGATCTCAGGGCAGAAGAAAGATTGCCTTGCTGTGGAAAGTGTCAAAGGGGTGTGTGTCAGGGGTCCTATCATAGAATCATGGAGTTGGAAGAGACCCTGAGGTCCAGTGCCAAGGGCCTTCTGGCGGTTCCCTCCCTGCAAGAAGCCAAGTTACAGGGAACCAGGCAGAGGGCCTTCTCGGTGGTGGCGCCCGCCCTGTGGAACGCCCTCCCACCAGATGTCAAAGAGAAAAACTACTACCAGACTTTTAGAAGACACCTGAAGGCAGCCCTGTTTAGGGAAGCTTTTAACGTTTAATGCTGTATTGTTTTTAACACTTGATTGGGAGCTTTTGATGTTTAATAGACTATTGTATTTTAATATTTTGTTGGAAGCCGCCAAGAGTGGCTGGGGAAACCCAGCCAGATGGGCGGGGTATAAATAAATTATTATTGTTATTATTATTATTATTACCCCCTGCGATGCAGGAATATCAACCAGATCACACATGACAGATGAGCATCCCCCACCTTATAAAGACTAGGACTAGCCGCCTGAGAAAGAGCATCTATCCAAATGCGATTTTGGTTTTAAACGCAGTGTAAGCTAGTCTCTGTGGGAGTATATTGTATTTAATTATGGGGTATCAGAGTTTTTAGGGGGCTAACCAGGTTGGGATAGATGGGATAGCAGGCTTGTTGGTTTTTGAATGTCTGGTGTAGATTTTCTCAATTTCGTTGTTCTGTATGGGACAATGACAATAAAGATTATCGTATCGTAAATTACTTTGATAAAATACATATTTTGTTATGTGCAAATGACTTTAGGTACCTATTAGGTCCATAAATTACCATACAGCATATATTCAACCCAAAAAACAGCGACAATTTGTTGTTGACAAAAGACAGCTGGACGTATAAAGGGCCCCGTTACCTCCAGGAGCTGAGGGCCTCATCAAACCTAAATCCGGCCCTGATTCAAAGTGCGGAGAAGAAAACTTCCTGGGCCTCCAGGAATCATTCGCTGTCAGGCCTGGGACCTAAATGTGGCCCTCCCAAACCCTCTATCTGGCCCCTGAAACCTTCCCCAGGCCACACACCTTCCTCCCACCCCAGAGCTACAGGCGCATCGACATGGTGCAGGTTTGGAGATGTGGGCAGTTCCTTTTCTTTCTGCTGCCCGACTGCAGCAGCTCAGGGTGAATGGACTTCCAGCATTGCAGCGGGCTGGGCTGGATGACCCTCGGGGTCCCACCCAATTCAATGATTCCGTCGCTCTGCTCCCCTGCCCCGGACCAGCCTCCTGGTCTCCCACGACACCATCCGAGAGAAAATGCCTCACCCACGTGTCTCCCCGAGAGCATCCAGAGCTTGATTGTGCTGTCGTGGCTGGAAGTGAGAATCGCCCTGAATCTCTCCACGTATTTGATGCTGCCCACGTTCTTCAAGTGTCCCCTCCAGGAGCTCAGGCAGACGGGGGGAATCAGAGAGGTGAACCAGCCCTCGTGTTCCTGCCGCAGAAAATTAAAGAGGCCCCTGTTACACCGGATGCTGAAGCCCGTCGTCAGGAAGGCGGCAGACCTAAACAGCCTTGGTCCTGTATCCCTGAAGGAGTGTCTCCACCCCCATCGTTCTGCCTGGACACTGAGGTCCACCTCCGAGGACCTTCTGGCGGTTCCCTCACTGCGAGAAGCCAAGTTACAGGGAGCCAGGCAGAGGGACTTCTCAGTGGTGGCGCCCGCCCTGTGTAACTCCCTCCCACCAGATGTCAAAGAGAAAAATAACTACCAGACTTTTAGAAGACATCTGAAGGCAGCCCTGTTTAGTGAAGCTTTTAATGTTTGATGTATTACGGTATTTTAATATTTTGTTGGAAGCTGCCCAGAGTGGCTGGGGAAGCCCAGCCAGGTGGGTGGGGTATAAATAATAAATAATTATTATTATAGTATTAATAATAATATTGAGTGCTGTATTGCTTTTAACACTCGATTGGAAGCCGCCCAGAGTGGCTGGGGAAACTCAGCCAGATGGGTGGGGTATAAATAATAAATTGTTGTTGTTGTTGTTGCTGGGAATAGTTCCTGGTTTGGAAGGAAATCTTGTGGGGGGAGGGAGGACCCTTCTGAGTCTTGTGGGAGATGGGCTAAAAGCTACCAAAACTTGCAGACTTTATGTCTGGGATGCATGAGTTAAAGGAGTGTTCTGGGGTCAGACGGCGAAGTAGAATCAACAATAAAATGGAGAAAGCTGTCATTATTAAATAATCACACAATCCAACGTGTGCCATGTTGCCCAAACACTTCCTCTCACGCAGTCCCATTGGGACAGCTTAGTACCTCTCTGGAAAAAGGATGTCACGCTTCTAACCTCTTCGGTTATACCGGAGGAACTGAAGTCCGAAGGAATTCTGCAGTAATCAGGGATTAAGCCGCGAAAAGCGTTCTGGCTCAGCTGCGGAAGATTCTCGTCGCTAATCTCTGACTCAGGATCTATCTCCCCTCTCGGTGTGCAGTAATTCATGATATCCCAGATCTAGGAAAAAGGGAGGGAATGGTGAGCAGAGGACCCTGACTCGGGATCTTTCCGCGCCAGGGGTGCCTCCAGCCTTCTCGGTACGTTGCAGGAGAGAGTCAAGAAAATGCCAGAACTTTAGGCTTGCGCAGCTAATAGTGGATAAAAAGGCCTCTGTTGTCCTAGCGCAACAAATCCGCTTCTAAAAAAAAGAATAGGACTGTTTGCGGTCTGGAAAGCCACAGGGAAATGTACTGGGAAATGTGCAAAGGACAAGAGGCTAACAGAGAGGTGTGTGAACGACCTGCAAGGAAACCCAGAGGAATGGTACAAAAATTTAAAAGACCAAATGTAATGCAAATAAATAATTGTTTTGAAACTGCATCAGGAGGAAGGGCAGGATACGAAATACAGTCGTACCTCAAAAGTCGAACGGAATCCGTTCCAGAAATCCATTTGACTTCCAAAACGTTCAGAAACCAAGGCGCGGCTTCCAATTAGTTTCCAATTGTGCAGGTGCACCAGAAACAATAGCGGAAGCAACACCAGACACTCGGCTTCCCAGAAAAGTTCCAAAACCAGAACACTCACTCACGTTTTTCGATCATTCAGGAGCTGGAACATTCGACTCCCAAGGCTTTGGGAGCCAAGGTACGACTGTATTTCAAAAAGCAGCTTGCAAATTATGACTGTGCATCATTAAAATGCACAACAATTAACATGCACAATGAAAACAATCCCATTAAAATAGAAATGTCTACGGTGTGCTTTGCTCGCTCCCTGTCTGGAGCGCATCCACGTGACTCAGCAAGCAAATCGTGGCGGCTTTGTGTTTGCCCCTTGGCTCTGCCACCCTTCTCACAACGCAGAACGTCTGGCATTTTCAAAAAGAGCAGAGCGGCTGTGCAATAGCCACAGGCGCAGCCACCCTTGGTGCAAGCCACCTTCCTTTCATTTTCCACAGGGGACATTCAGAGGGTGGAGCCATGGCCAGTACCTGAGCAAACATTTCATATCCTGCTAACTGCCTTCACAAGGTTACAGTGATCTCCTGCTAAATTTGCCCGTTTGCCCTCTGACGAAGAAATGACTAGTCCATAATTTTAATGGTAGGTTTATTGTAGCTGCGAGAGACAGAATGACAACAGGAAAACCCCCCAGAAACCCAGAAGACAAAAGTCAGAGATTGGAGGGCATTATAATGAGTGAAATAAGTATTTGATCCCTTTGCAAAAGATGACTTAGCACTTGGTGGCAAAACCCTTGTTGGCAATTACAGAGGTCAGAAGTTTCTTGTAGGTGGCCGCCAGGTTTTGTCATTTCTGGTCATTTCTTCGTCAGAGGGCTAACGGGCAAATTTAGCAGGTGATCAAATACTTTTCCCCCCTTCACTGTATATACCTGAGCAGCTGTGTCAAGCACAGAAACCCAGTGGCGTAGCAAGTGGGGAGGGCAGCAGGGGCCGGGGCCCCGGGCACATTTTGAGGAGGGGGCAGGGATGGCTGCCAGCACCCAGAGCATGGAGGAACAAGCTCCCTTAGCCCCAACCCCATGAGGCATTGTGGCCAAGGGAGCTCATTTCTCCCTCGGCATGCCAGGTGGGCAAGGCTGGGCTGCCTCCGTGGGCTCCTTCACCCTCTGGGCCCCACCCACTGTGGGTTCATGCAACGCCCCTGCAGGAACCCATAGGGAAGCTGTGGGACTGGAGGCAACAAAAGCACCATGGAGTTTGGGAGCAGAGAAAGGACAAGGAGAATTTGATTCTATTCACATTTAAAGGCAAACCTACTTAATTCACACCATGCAAACCGAAAACACAACCATCCTTTGAGATTCACACTCCTCCGAATTGTCTGAGCTTTCAGTTCTCTGTGTAGGAGATGAAGAAATAACCATTTGGGCTTCAGGTCCCACCAGCCTCAGGCATCACGGCTGCGACGGGAGTTACTGGGAGATCTGCATTGGCTCCCAGTATGTTTCCAATCACAATTCAAAGTGTTGGTGCTGACCTTTAAAACCCTAAACAGCCTCGGTCCAGGATACCTGAAGGAGCGTCTCCACCCCCATCGTTCTGCCCAGACACTGAGGTCCAGTGCCAAGGGCCTTCTGGTGGTTCCCTCACTGCAAGAAGCCAAGTTACAGGGAACCAGGCAGAGGGCCTTCTCGGTGGTGGCGCCCGCCCTGTGGAACGCCCTCCCACCAGATGTCAAAGAGAAAAACTACTACCAGACTTTTAGAAGACACCTGAAGGCAGCCCTGTTTAGGGAAGCTTTTAATGTTTAATGCTGTATTGTTTTTAACACTTGATTGGGAGCTGCCCAGAGTGGCTGGGGAAATTCAGCAAGATGGGTGGGGTATAAATAAGTTGTTGTTGTTGTTGTTGTTGTTGTTGTTGTTGTTGTTGTTGTTGTTACAGTCCAGAACATCTGGAGGGCACTGAGGCAAACAGGCAGCCAGGAGTTGGAGGCACCATGCCCAGAATATGGAGCCATCAACTGCCTAGTCCCTAATCCACAGGGAAGTGGGAGCACTGACCTTCAAGTAGCCCAAGGAATCCCCAGTGAAGAGGACTAGGTTCTTGTCATCTGTGCTCATGGAACAGACCACGGTGTCCTGGGCATGTCCGTGGCCTCCTCGGAATTTGCCCAGCATCCCTCCTTTGCCGCCGAACGTCCAAGCGTAGATGTTCCCGTCGGAGCAGCTGGTCAGCAAAATGGCTGTGTGAGAGTCTCGCTCGCGAGCTTTCAGAAAGAGGATCTAGAAAGGCAAAGACGGGTAAATCGAGAGACCTTTCAGAATCGCAGTGACTGCGGGGGTTTTCCCAGTGTGGTGCTTTGCAGAGGATGTGGTCCTAAACTGCCCACATCCTTGACCACACTGGGTGTGGCCGATGGGAGTGATAGTTCACAGGATCTGGCGGGCACCAGGTGGTTGGTAATTGGTCTCAGGGAGGGGCCCAGTTCTTTGGCTAACACCCTCTTGGAAGCTGCTAGGAAAACTTCTCCAGCTGTGAGTGCACAGGGTTGGACCTTGGAACCCACTGCAACTCTGCGATTCCATGTGACAGTGCCGTACAATGGCGGCAGCCAATGAGAACCGTAAGTGTGGAGCTCATTCCTGCACCGTGCGAAATATTCACACCGTTTTGGATACGGCAGGCGTCAATATGGATGACGCCTGAAGCAACGAGAGCAATTGCATCTTATCATCATTGCCCAGTGCTTCCATCTGCTTCCAGTTTGACAGCTCTATTGCTGCCCTCGTTGTAAACCTTCCCTTCCTTGATCTCGCCATACATCTCAATCTCAAATTTATGTGGCTTTTTGGCAAAAATCATTATTATTATTATTATTATTATTATTATTTATTTATACCCCACCCCTCTGGCTCGGCTTCCAACAAAATATTAAAATACCATTATGCATCAAACATTAAAAGCTTCCCTAAACGGGGCTGCCTTCAGATGTCTTCTAAAAGTCTGGTAGTTGTTTATCTCTTTGACATCTGGTGAGAGGGCGTTCCACAGGGTGGGTGCCACCACCAAGAAGGCCCCCTGCCTGGTTTGGATTTGATATCCCGCCTTTCACTCCCTTTAAGGAGTCTCAAAGCGGCTAACATTCTCCTTTCCCTTCCTCCCCCACAACAAACACTCTGTGAGGTGAGTGGGGCTGAGAGATTTCAAAGAAGTGTGACTAGCCCAACGTCACCCAGCAACTGCATGTGGAGGAGCGGAGACGCGAACAGGGTTCCCCAGATTATGATTCTATCGCTCTTAACCACTACACCACACTACACCGCCAGAAGGCCCTTGGCGCTGGACCTCAGTGTCAGGGTAGAATGATGGGGATGGAGACGCTCCTTCAGGTTACGAACACTCCATTCAGAGTGAAAAGAAGCACTTAGCGGATGAAGGGGCAAGGTGGAAGACTGTGATGCACTCTGGGGAAATGGCAATCCCACATTGATAGAAAAAATTATTTCCTTGAGTAAAGAAACGAGCGCAGAAATGAGCGCTATTAAAAATTGGAGTTTGCGCAGGGCTGCTCTTGGCCGAACCCAGACCCCATGCTACTGGACCCGTGGCAGAGGAACCGGCGGCACTAACCTTCTCTACACCAACCCGGCTGGCGATGACTTCTTCCTGCCATGTAGGGGTCTCGGCCTTCGGTGAGCCAGTCTCAGGGGCTGCGTGAGCATGAGAACCAGTGGCAGTCTTGTCGCTTCCTTCGGGTTCCCAGGCTACCTGCAAAGTCGAGAGAAACATCATCAGGCTTTTTCTAAGAAGGTCCGCTAGTGCTCTGGCCTGGCTGCTTGTGAAGACATCTCAAATCCGCAGCATGTGCCTCACCAGGGACCATTGGTGCAGATTTTATAGATTCCACCACATACAGGGTTAACCCTGTTGCACCCTGCCAAGATCATAAAAGTGATATTGGGCTGTTATTAATTTTATTGATTTATTTGCATTGCATTGCGTTTCTCTCCTTCCTTTGATGTTCTTAAGCAGAGGTTGAATGGCCATCTGTCAGAGACACTTTAGCTGAGATTCCTAAATGACCCGTGGGGGTCCCTTCGAATGCTACAATTCTATGATTCCATGAAATTAGAATTCTTCCATGGAAATCTAGCCATGGGAAGAGCAATTAATCAGCTGAAAATAAAGAAGGCAGACGAGAGGAAGGAATCTTGAGGTTAAAAAAACCCACTACCAGCAAAGCCAAAAAACAGCTGCAGACTCACACACACTCATGCTTAAGATCTTTAAGGACCAATAGTAAATACAGTGGACGCTCGGGTTGCGAACGTGATCCATGCGGGATGCATGTTCACAACCCGCAGCGTTCGCAACCTGCATCTGCTCATCTACGCATGCGTGGGTTGCAATTCAGCGCTTCTGCGCATGTACAAAGCGTGATTTAGCACTACTGCGCATGCGTGGCTGCCGAAACCTGGAAGTAACCCGTTCTGGTACTTCCGGGTTTCGGCAGTCCACAATCTGAAAAAATGCAACATGAAGCGGCTGTAACCCGAGGTATGACTGTATACAAGAAGCCAGAGGTGGAGAAGACAATTGGGGGTTGCACAATGCACATAGGTCTGGCTCCAGGCCAAGATAGGAAACGCACTGAGAAGGGAAGGGTGTCTAAGAGAGAAAGACCTGCCTGGGTTCCCTGTCTTCAGGCACAAGCCGGCAGCATAATGCACCATGCCATGTGCTCGCCAACACTTTGCACATTAACTGAGCAGAGAAAAGCAGGGCTGCCCACTCCTCTTGCCCCCCACATCAGCCCCAAGGAGGTTCCCCCCCCCAAAAAAAAACCCTACCTGGGGCTTCATGATGTGGCTTCCGGGAACGGACGTAGCTGGGCGCATGATGCGGTTTCCGGGCATGGCTGAAGCCGGGCGCCTCTGGGGAATAGGAGATGTCACCTGGTGCGACAAAAGAAGAATGGCAGACGAAATTAATGGACTACGCAGAATTGGGTAAAATGACAGGAAGGATTCGAAGCCTGTGGGACCGGAGATTCACAGAAGATTGAAAGAAATTTACGAATTATTTGAAGAGCAACTGTAATCAACAAATTACGCTAGTAGGAATATATGAAATATTGCAAAGACGAGAAAGAAGAAAGATATTAGTTATGAGATTGAAATGTAATAGTGAAAGTAAGAAATGTAAATTAAGTGGAAAGATTGGAAAATTTTCAGATGTGATTGATGGAAGTCAAAAAAATTGTACAGTGGTACCTTGGGATGCGAACGTAAGACGCGACTGCGCAAATTGCGCAGGTCGCATTTCGCCGCTTCCGCGCATGCGCGCGACATCATTTTGCGCGTCTGTGCATGCGCAAGCGGCAAAACCCAGAAGTAATGCACTCCGTGACTTCTGGGTCGCCACGGAGCGCAACCCGAAAATATTGTAAGCTGAAGCGTATTCATCCCGAGGTATGACTGTATAAGATATAAAAGTGTGTTTAATAATTGCTGGAAATGATACGTTAAAAAACCTATATATATATATATATATATATATATATAAAAGAGATGTCACCTGGTGAGTCTTTGCGCTGGCCGGCCGCTGAGGGATGGCAGTTTTGAAGGCGGTGGCCTTTCTTGAGCAGGCGAAGCACTTCTTCATCGCCTGCCGATGGTTGCAGCCTGTCTTCTTGGGGCCCTTGTTCAGCAAGGGGATGTCTGGGTCCGAGGAGAACTCCTGGTGAAAGAGGACGCCATTTCAGTGCAACCAGGCACACCGCTTGCCCCACCCCCTCACCCCCAAATATTGAAGGGTGGGAGCAGGCCAGGCCAGCTGCTGTCCCTTGGAAGAGGAGGGCTTGGGATCCCTTGGCCTCATCCCAGCAAAGGGATGTGGTGTTTCTTCCCACCATCAGGAAAGCCCACGTTGGGTCAACAGGTGAACTTTTAAATGGTTGGTGTGAGAGAGAGCATCTTGCCAGATGCATCCCATGACATAGGAAAAGAAATTTCATTTTGGAAAGGGGCCTTCAAGATTTCCAATGTAGAAAGATTAGAAATCCAAATGCAATAGTAGAAGCAACTGTACGGATTTTGTTACTTTTCCCCGCCTATGAAATCATCTCTATTTACACATTAAAAACTATGCATAATCACACACATTGTTCTGTTACGGAGGAAAAAGAATGTACACAAGGAGAAAATAGAAAAGAAAAACAAGAAAAAAGATGGGGGGGAAATAGAAAGTTTAACTAAAAATATTATCCACGACATACAGGTTTTTAGGAATTACAAACCATCATCGACATTCTTTTAAACATATAAATCTAATAAGAGTTCGTTTTATCTTCACCTTATCAATTTTGTTAAACCATTTTGTTATTGCTAAACAACTGGGATTTGTTTAATGACTTCCTTCTACCACTATGCGGTTCCTACATTCTCATCTCTTAGACTTTCTGTGTCCTTTCCTGTTCTGCGGGAACCTTTTCTCTTATCTCTGTGGAATTTAGTCTATGCTCAACCAAGAGCAATCATTGGAAACATACGACATCATGTAATTTTTAAAAACATCCCATTCTTTCTAAATTTTATTTCTCGAATTTCTTATTGATTCTGTTAGTTTCGCTAGTTCAAGATATTCACATAGCTTTAGACGCCATTCTCCTCTTCCAGTATTTTGCTACAAGAATCCTGGCGGCCGTATTGGCATAAAGAAAAACTCTTTTATTAACCTTTGGGATGTTTATTGTAAAAATACCCAATAAAAATAATTCTGGTGCTTTTGTAAATGTGTATTTTAACATTTTCTTCAATTCATCATATATCATGTCCCAAAATGATTTAATTTTGGGACACGTCCACCACATGTGGGAAAAGTTTCCATTTTCATGCTGACACCTCCAACACTTGCTGCTGTTTTATTTTTTATTTTTTTGTTAATCTTTGCCAATTTTGATGGAGTCAAATACCAACTGTATACCATCTTCACCAGGGCACTTCAGGAGACTTTCTGAGCCCAGGGATTAGTCTTCAGAAATGAAATGAGCTCAGGTGGAATAAACCATGTTGTTATTGCTAAACAACTGGGAGTCGGACACTCTTGCTGATCTCCGGCAAACCTGCCGCCCAGAGATCTATTCTCAAATCTGTCTCGTGGGGCATTTTCCCTGAGCAAAACTGCACAGCAGCCAGCAGTGGCAGGCGGAAAAGGCTACTGCTCTCTGGAGTGGGAGTTTTCACTCCTCTGAAGCCCCAGGGAAATGCCAACCGCCTTGGTAATTTACAAAAGAGAGCCTTTGTGGCGTATGGGGCTTTGAACGTTACCCTTTGGGGAGCAAGGATCAAGGGGCTCTCGGATGCGTTGAATCGGCAGAACGCCTGCCCAGAGTGGACGCTCCACAGGACGATGTCTCCGTTGCAGGATGCGGTCGCCAAAAGATTCTTGCCGTAGCTGTCCATGCACGAGATGTCGTCAGAGTGGTAGGACTTCCAGTGCTTGCACTCAATCACTTTCTCGTCTTCCTTGTTGTCTCTAGTTAGGAGAAATTAAGTAGCCCCGTCGCAGCTGTCCAGGGAGAGGAGAGGAGCAGGAGGCAGAATCCTCCCCTTACATCACAGAAAAGGGGGGAAGCCAATAATAATAATAATAATAATAATAATAATAATAATAATAATAATAATTTATTATTTATACCCCACCTATCTGGCTAGGTTTCCCCAGCCACTCTGGGCAGCTTCCAACAGAATATCAAAACACAATAACCTATTAAACATTAAAAGCTTCCCTAAACAGGGCTGCCTTCAGATGTCTTCTAAAAGTCTGGTAGTTGTTCTTCTCTTTGACATCTGGTGGGAGGGTGTTCCACAGGGCGGGTGCCACTACCGAGACCGAGAAGGCCCTCTGTCTGGTTCCCTGTAACTTGGCTTCTCACAGGGAGGGAACCACCAGAAGGCCCTCGGAGCTGGACCTCAGTGGCCGGGCAGAACGATGGAGGTGGAGACACTCCTTCAGCTATACAGGACTGAGGCCATTTAGGGCTTCAAAGGTCAGCACCAACACTTTGAATTGTGCTCGGAAACGTACTGGGAGCCAGTTTAGGTCTTTCAAGACCGGTGTTATGTGGTCTTGGCAGCCGCTCCCAGTCACCAATCTAGCTACCGCATTCTGGATTAGTTGTAGTTTCCAGGTCGCCTTCAAAGGTAGCCCCACATAGAGCGCATTGCAGTAGTCCAAGCAGGAGATAACTAGAGCATGCACCACTCTGGAGAGACAGTCTATGGGCAGGGAGGGTCTCATCCTGCGTACCAGATGGAGCTGGTAGACAGGTGCTCTGGACACAGAATGGACGTGCGCCTCCATGGACAGCTGCGAGTTCAGAATGACTCCCAGGCTGCGCACCTGGTCCTTCAGGGGCACAGTTACCCCATATTAGCTCTTTGTTAAGATCTTAGAGCAGCCTCATGTGCATAATGGGGGAACTGTTATCATCCCTGCAAACGGCACGAAAACAGACAGGGCAAGTATGAACAGGCTTTCATCTGCATGTCATTCTTCCAATCAAAATCCCCCCGAAGAAAGGTATACCAGCAAACGTCTCCTTTCTCATACTGGAGGGTTTTATGCAAATGTTAATTTATACCATATTTTTCGCTCCATAAGACGCAGCTTTTTCCTCCTAAAAATTAAGGGGAAATGTCTGTGCATCTTATGGAGCGAATGCGTGGTCCCTGGAGCAGAATTGCCCAGGGGCAAAAAGCAGATCGTGCTTTTTTTTTTTTTTTTTAGAAAGAGGGGAGGGGGTGTTGAAACACAGCCGCTGAGCAGCTGATCGGCAAGCGATCAGGAGGGGATAAGGGACTCTAGAGATAAAGGAGGTTGCCTTGGAGGAGGGAGGTAAAAGCATATGGATCCTCAGGACTTTTGCATCGGGTCACCCCAAATTCACCATCAGATCGCATAGCCAGTGGCGTAGCGTGGGTTGTCAGCACCCGGGGCAAGGCAAGTAATTTGCGCCCCCTAACCCGTGGATTTTAGCACTCGAGTGCGAGCGCCGGCCCCCCAGATGTTGCGGCCGGCCCCCCCTGCACCCCCCACGCTACGCCACTGCACATAGCATGTCCATGGCTATAGCCTGCACCAAAGAAAATCACACACACACTGTTTCGTGGGGCTGCAATGGCACAAAAACGTGGTTACCAAGCACGGATCCACATGGATTGTCAGGATTTTTGCATTGGGCTATCCCAAACTCACCATCAAATCACATATCATGTCAGTGGCCACAGCATGAACCACAAAAATCATACACTGTTTCATTCAGAATATTTTTTTTCTCGTTTTCCTCCTCTAAAAACTAGGTGCGTCTTATGGTCAGGTGCGTCTTATGGAGCGAAAAATACGGTGTTGCCCGGGTCTTTAAGTGTCTAGCAATGGCCTGGCCTTGAAGTGGAGAACATTGGAAACCCCCCATCCCACCAGCACTTGGTCTCTACTTACAGGTACCAGGTCACTCTCTTGCTCCACCCAGCCACGAAAATCTTCTGGTTCATGTACAAGACGCAGCCGATCTATTGCGGAGACGCAAAAGTGCAGAAAGCCGGTTATACAGACAAACAAGGTGCACACAAAAGCCCGAGTTGAGGCGTTGGAGAGTAAGAATCAGGCTGGGCAGATGAGAGACAGAGCTACGCCTGATTTCTGCTGAAATTTCCAAGGCTTTGGCTATGGGAGAAGCCAGTCCCTTTTGGGGTGTTATTGCATCGTCAGTGCAGGTTGTATACTATAATAATAATTATTTTTATTATTTATTATTTATACCCTGCCCATCTGGCTGGGTTTCCCCAGTCACTCAGGGCGGCTTCCAACAGAATATTAAAATGCAATAATCTATTAAACATTAAAAGCTTCCCTAAACAGGGCTGCCTTCATGTGCAAATAAACCATATATCCTAAAGACACCACAGTCTCCCCTGTCCCTCATTCTGGGGAAAGCGCCAGGAACCCCTGGAATCTCGCACTGCCCGGAGATTGGTGTGGCGCACGAGAGTATGGCGGTGCAGTTCAGAGGAGGAATTCCTCACCAATATCAGCTGCAGTTCTGGTGTCTCGCTCTGGATAAAGCACCTTGCCCAACCCCTTCCTCACTGCCAGGTCAGACCCTGAGGGCAGAACAGAGGGTGCCACTGCTCCTGCTGAGAGGGCAGGGCAGCTCCTGCAGATCAGATCAGCCATTGCCCAGAATACTGCGGGGCATGGACTGGGCAGCGACTTGTAAACGCAGCAGATTCATAGAATCAAAAAAGTGTAGAGTTTCAAGGGATTCGTGAAAAGATTTCCCAGTATCCCCAGAGCACTTGGGAGGGAGTTGTGGCCGAGGCTTATGCCCCTCGTATCTACGGGACCACCTCTCCTGATATGCCCCACAGAGGACCTTAAGGTCCATGAATAATCATAGTTTAGAGGTCCCGGGCCCTAAGGAAGTCAGACTATCCTCCACCAGGGCCAGGGCCTTCTCAGTGGTGGCTCCGACCTGGTGGAATGCTCTGTCCCATGAGATCAGGGCCCTGCAGGATTTAACCTCCTTCCGTCGGGCCTGTAAGACAGAGCTATTCCGCCTGGCCTTTATTTTGAATTCAGCCTGATCTTTTATTTCCCTTCTCTTCCCTCTCCCTCCCCTTTTTATGAAGATTGCCCGCTCTGGGATCCCACAGCTAATTCTCCCCTGGCCTCCTTGCTGGCCCAAGTAGGACTGATTTAGCCAGCTAGCCCTGGGGATTAACTAATGCTTATTTCCCCTAAATTGATTTCTGAATTTTGAATTTTATTGTTATTCATGTTTTTATACTGTATTTTATGCTGCTTTTACAATTAAATTCGTTGTTAGCTGCCCTGAGCCCGGTTTTTGAACTGGGAAGGGCGGGGTATAAATAAAAAATTATTATTATTATTATTATTTATTATTCTGAGGTGGCCAGTCACTGCCTTGTGCATCCCCTCCAGAGCAGCAAAGGTTTCTCTGGCTGAGAAGGGTCATCCAACCAGAATTAATGAGAAGATGGCGACTGCCAGCAGCGAAAAGACTTTTGGATTAATTCGGCAAAAACAACAGTGTGTGAGGAGATGTTGCAACAGACAGAGGGGAATCATACACCTAAAATCCACACAGAAACGCATCATTTTACTTCAACTCGCTTCTGGGAACAACTCACGAGGCCGTGAAAGAAAGAAGGTTAACAACAGGGAGATTTAAAGGAACTATTAGAAACGACTATCAAAAGCAGTAGAGATATAAGATGATCAGAGCCCCCCCGAACTTGAAGCATGGGAAGTCCCAATAAATCTTTTTATAATTCAGCAGAATATTTGGATTATTCGATATGTATAGGTATAATCTGGATTATTTAATGTGATTTGATTGGAGTGTTAAAATGGAAAACATAATAAAAATGATTTTAAAAAGAGAGAGAGAGAAGGGTTATTGAACCAGATTCTCATTTCGCCCCCTGCGCTGACCTCAGCCTTGTCGTCAAAAGGTAGCTCTATCAGGCAGGCGCCGTTGTTGAAGTTCCACAATTTGATGGTCCCGTTTTTCAGGGCTGTGATCAGCCGCCTCTCAGGGGTATCAAAGGTCATTGCCGTGATTTCCACCGGCTGCCCTGACGAGGTGGAAAACTCCATCACTTTCTGCCCGGTCATGATATCCCAAACGGTGATGACCCCGCTGTAGCAGCCGCTGACCACCTGTGGGAGAAAACCAGAATGGACAGTTAACTCGAGAAGGTCGGTCAGATTCACAATGTGCATTTGCACACGCACTCTCCGTTCGTTGAGAGTTCTCGCAACCAGAAAAATAATTTAAAGCAAGCAAGGCCATCCACCTTCAGGGACAAACACGCCGGCAGGCCAGCCTTCAAAAATGCACGACACGGCAATATTTTGTTGCTCTTCCCAACTCTAAAAACAAGAAAAGCATAAAAGAGCAGCAGGGGACAATTTAGATGAAACCATTGCAATTCAAAAAGTCGCAAAGCTGTTTCAAGTCTAGGGGAGCAAGCATTGTTCTCCTGAATAATAATAATAATAATAATAATAATAATAATAATAATAATTTATTTCTACCCCACCCATCTGGCTTGGTTTCCCCGGCCACTCTGGGCGGCTCCTAACAAAAGATTAAAAATACATTAAAACATCAGTCATTAAAAATTTCCCTAAACAGGGCTGCCTTCAGGTGTCTTCTAAATGAACGGTAGAGAGGTTGCCTGACTTCTCAGGGAAGTGTATTCCACAAACAGGGACCCGCCACTGAGAAGATGCTCTCTCTATCCTTACACAGCTCTTAAACTGCAGGTAGGTTCATACAGAGAGAAACTGCATTCCACAGGACGTTCCACAGGGCGGGTGCCACTGCCGAGAAGGCCCTCTGCCTGGTTCCCTGTAACCTCGCTTCTCGCAGGGAGGGAACGGCCAGAAGGCCCTCGGCGCTGGACCTCAGTGTCCGGGCAGAACAATGGAGGTGGAGACGCTCCTTCAGATATACAGGACCGAGGCCGTTTAGGGCTTTAAAGGTCAGCACCAACACTTTGAATTGTGCTCGGAAACGTCCTGGGAGCCAATGTGGGTCTTTCAGGACCGGTGTTATGCGGTCTCTGCAGCCGCTCCCAGTCACCAGTCTAGCTGCCGCGTTCTGGATTAGTTGTAGTTTCCGGGTCACCTTCAAAGGTAGCCCCACAGAGAGCGCATTGCAGTAGTCCAAGCGAGAGATAATACAGTGGTACCTTGGGTTACCTACACTTCAGATTACACACGCTTCAGGTTACAGACTCCACTAACCCAGAAATAGTACCTCGGGTTAAGAACTTTGCTTCAGGTAGAGAACACTTTGGACATGCCCCTTTATTGTCCCTCTCCTCTCTGCCACCATTCCTGCTGAGAACGAACCAACCTGCCTTACAGCAGCTCACATCATTGGTCCACCTAGATGGTCCACACTTTTCCCTCCCAGGTAAACATCCCCAGGTGCTTCCCTCTTCCCAGCCAGGTGTTCACCTGCTTAAAGTTCTTGTTGTAGAGTGCACAGCACACCGGCTGGTCCTGGGTCTTGGCATCCAAGTCGACATACTCCACGCCGTAGAAAAAGCCAAGCTGCAGCAAAACGACACAGGAGATTTTCCCAGAGGAGCCAAGCATGGGCAGAGGCACCTCGGAGCAGCTCCCCGACAGGAGAAATTGCCTAGAGGTGACCATTCGCCATTGGATGCCAACAAGCCCCACCCACCGCGCAAAAACTGTGCCCTGCAAGCAGCAGGCAGGCAGCAGAAACCCCAAAATTCTTTCTTCTTTCAATGAAAGAATGGCAAATTACAATTTGTGAATATATATACATCTGGCAAGACTCACAGCATTTATAAGGGGACAATCGTACCAAAAATTATTAAAAGAATGGGGATGTGCTAAAGAGTATATGAAAAAAACATTGTTCTGGAGTAAGTATATCGATATGTAATGAATGATGGTTTGCAGGGTTAAAGAAAGAAAAAAATGGTGCAAAAAGTATAAAGATAGAAGTAATCTACATTAGACACAGCAATTTAGAAAGAGTAAAAATTTCGAGGTCTTAGAACGAAGGAAGGAAGTCAATATGTGTATATGTACGTAATGATTAGAATGATGATACGGTTTTATTTGTTGATGTGTGTTTTAGTTTTTGGTTTTTTTCTTGTGGTTTTTTTCTTGTTTGTACTGCTCTATTTTGGATTCAATGTTTGTAATTTTTGTTGTAATTTTGCATTGAAAATAAAAAAAATAAAAAAGAAACCCCAAAATTCAAAATTATGCTAATAACTCAGTTTGCAAACTATGAGGTAGCAGCAGCAGCAGCCCAAGTCGAGAGAGGAGCCATTTCTCGCCTTCTGATCCCACGGTCCTTCACCGGCCCCCTCCTCACCGTGTAAGTGGCGCAAATGATGTAATTGCAGGGCCGGTGGTAGTAGGTGGCCGAGATGGGGTAGTTGCCCAGGGGGACGTTCCTGCCGTGGATCGACTGCAGGCAGAAGTGATCCAGCAGATCCCAGACGCGGATGTTCTGAGAGAGAGAGAGGAGAGGGGAAGGCAGAGGGCCTGAAAGGGCTGGAGCAGGGAGTCAATATAAACTCTTTATATCATACAGAACATTGAACCATATGAAATACGTACTCTCTGCAGAACCAAATAAACAGAAACCTTCTAAATCTCTGAAAGTCACAAAATATGCATAGAATGTTTTCAAGAGAATTCATCAAGAGTGCATATTTTGTGACTTAGAAGGTTTCTGTTTATTTGGTTTTGCAGAGAGTGCATATTTCATATATTTCATATTGTTCAATGTTCTGCATAGATTATATAAAGAGTTTATATTGACATCGCATTATTGTACTTGGTCATCGCGTTGCCTTTGGATATTACTGATATTTGTTCGCAACACAGGGCTTTAATTGTTTGGCAGTCCTTGGTGGGCAGAGTTGCTCGGGTGCTGCTCGGAGACTTCCCATAATGGGCCCCTGCTCAGCCACTGTGAGCATCAAAAAAGATCCTGGTTGCTGGATGAGGCCAATGGACCATCTTGTCCAGCATCCTGTTCTCACAGCAGCTGTTGGAACAGTCGAACTCTGCTCCAGGGCAGGTTAAATTAACCTCCAGTTAAAAGCTCTAGGCCTCCAGTCCCACCCTTCCTTTTTTAAAAAAATAATATTTTTTATTGATTTTCCATTAAACATGCATGCATACATACATACCTTGTACAAATAAATCTCATATTTATCTAAGCTCTGCCGAGCATTGGACTTCCCTCCATTCCTTCGGGAAGTATCATATAGTTTCTAACATTGCGCATTTTGTATATTTTGCTTTGTCTATCATACGCTGTTAGAGTTATTCTAACCCTGCCAGTGTCTTTAATGTTTTACAATTGTCTCTCATATACATCAAGTATTTACTCCAACTTTCTTGAAACTTCTGTTCATCCTGGTCTCTTAGTTTTCCTGATATTCTAGCCAGCTCTGCATAATTCATCATTTTGACCTGCCATTCCTTAATGGTAGGTATTACATCTGTTTTCCAGTTCTGGGCCAACATAGTTCTTGCCGCCGTCGTGGCATATAGCCCCACCCTTCCACTTCCTGGGGGACGGACGGACAGGGATCCCCCACATTTCCAAGCAGGTGCAAGGGGCATTCCCTTTCCCCGCCTCTCGCACCCAAACCCCTACTTTGTCTTTGGAGACGCTGACGATGGTGTTCCTCTGCCCGTTGATCATGATGTGGGTGACAGCCGTGGAGTGGCCCTTCATCTGCGTGATGGGGCTGCTGGTTACATAGGGGTTCCAGATGCGGACCAGGGGCTCGTACCCTCCCGTCACTGCCAAAAGACAAAGCGCATCTCAGGAGCTCCGGCGGAATCGCTCCACTTTTGCCATATCCTGTATACCAGAAGGAGCATCTCCACCCCCATCATCCAGCCCAGACACTGAGGTCCAGCGCCGAGGGCCTTCTGGCGGTTCCCTCACTGCAAGAAGCCAAGTTAGAGGGAACCAGGCAGAGGGCCTTCTCGGTGGTGGTGCCCACCTGTGGAACACCCTCCCACCAGATGTCAAAGAGAAGAACAACTACCAGACTTTTAGAAGACATCTGAAGGCAGCCCTGTTTAGGGAAGTTTTTAATGTTTAATAGGTTATTGTGTTTTGATATCCTGTTGGAGGCCGCCCAGAGTGGTTGGGAAGACCCAGCCAGATGGGCAGGGTATAAGTAATAAATTATTATTATCAGTACTTTTTTTCTTTAAAAAAATGTTAAGGGGTACTCTCATTTTCCTACTCATATTGAAATACTGCCCCTCAATGAGGCCAAACTTAGGTTCACAAAATGTTTAGGGGTATGCGCACCCCCAGAATAAAAGCACTGATGATGATGATGATTATGATTATATTGTTGTTGTTGTTGTTGTTGTTGTTGTTGTTTTATGTTCTAACTGCAGCACTGAGGGAACATATTTTATAATGCAATGATGTTAGCAGCTAATCATGCCATTGCATTAGAAAATACATCCCATCAGTGGCACCGTTAGCGGGACCTGCAGCCACTTTTAAGGGAGCCCAGCCAGATGGGCGGGGTATAAATATATTATTATTATTATTATCATCATCATCATCATCATCATCATCATTATCATCATTTGCGGGGTGCACTGACTGATCGATCTGCGGAACTGTCTGCATCGCTTTCTTGGGGCAGCCATCGCAAAGCATAAGCTGATGGCAATAGTGCAGAAGGATTGCAGCAGACACATCAGAACAACACAAGTCCCTCATCCCTTATTTAGAGCCTTCAAATTTAAAACAAACACCTTGGATTAGGAACAGAAAGGAGCCAGTTCAGTTGTTTCAAGGGCAGTGTTTTGCCTCTGCTCTCCATCATCTCAGACCTCCAGAGGTATGCTGAGACATTTGGAGAATCAATTTGCGGTTTTATATTTTGATTTTGTTCTGTGAACCACCCTGAGAGCTCATAGGGCGGTGTATATAAATTCAATAAATAAAATAAAATAATAAACTAACTGGGTCACACCCTTCTTCCCGGTTAACCACCAGGGCAGCAAGGCCGTTTCGGTGCCTCGACTGGGTTAGAAACGAGACTCGACCGGATCCAGGTAAATCGTTGCCAACTGAGAATACCTGAAGGTGCCGTTCTCTCAGGCACCTGGTCCCCAAAGAGGATACCGGCTCCAGAAGGAGGCGGTTTTAAGGAGCCGTTTCTAGAGAACGTACCGAGGATGTTCATTTCCGAGGAATAGTCAAAGCAAAGGATGCCTTTCTTCAGAACGATCACCGCTGATCTGGGACAAATGGAAGAGCGGAGGTGTCGATTAAGTACGCCCGTCTCTCTTCTTTTTCTTTCAAAAATAAATGGCTGGCTGAGTTTCTGAAGGAACGGGCCAGAAAGACATTTGCCCAAAGCATGGTGGGCTGCAGGATGTTTTGCTAGAGACACCCGACCATGATCCAGGAAGGAGCAGAGGCGCAGAGATCAACCTGGATCTCTGCAGCAAGTCTGCAGATTGCAAAGTGCATTAGACCATCTGACCAAGTAGGTTCTTGCCTAAGAAACCTCAAGGCGACGTGAGGCCTGTCCTGTGTTTAGAAACCAAGGGGCCAAACCCTTTCCCTTTCCTGTCTGAAAACCCACTCTTTACTGCTGAATTGGAGCAAACGTCAATCTGAGGAAAATCTGGCTGAAGTTTTCTCTGATTCAGCGGTAGAGATGAGGTTTTCCAAGGGGGAAGATGCAGGGCGAGTGGGAGTCTGGATGAGCTCTAACCCTGCTATCTTTTAAATCAGTGTTTCTCAACCTGTGGGTCCCCAGATGTTGTTGGACTACAACTCCCATCATTCCTAGCCAGCATGACAACATCTGGGGACCCACAGGTGGAGACCACTGCTTTAAATGCTTTCATTTCACACTTTTCTACTATGAACTGAAAACAGAGATGTTGGATGCACCCTTGTTAACTATGAAAATCCTTTTCATAAAAACATTTAAAAAACAAAAACAAATTATTGCTCCTGAAGAGAACAATGAAGTGCAACACCACCATCTGCTGTCCAGTTCCTGGAACTGCAACCTTGAACTTTTGGTGATCGTAATTCCTGGCTCTTGCAGGCTGTGAAGTATATCATATGCACAATCTTGTTGCAATCCTTAGAACAACCTTGTAAAGCAGAAGGCCACTGACATTATCCCCCCTTATTTCAAGCCAGGGAGGCGGCTGAGACGGAGCTCGCCTAAGACCGCTGAGTGTGTGGGAAAGATTAGATTCAAACCAGGGAATTTAAGATTCAGAGCTGGCTTAAAGGTAAAGGTAAAGGGACCCCTGACCATTAGGTCCAGTCATGGCCGGCTCTGGGGTTGCGGTGCTCATCTTGCTTTACTGGCCGAGGGAGCCGGCGTACAGCTTCCGGGTCATGTGGCCAGCAGGACTAAGCCACTTCTGGCGAACCAGAGCAGCGCACGGAAACGCCGTTTACCTTCCCGCCGGAGCGGTACCTATTTATCTACTTGCACTTTGAGGTGCTTTCGAACTGCTAGGTTGGCAGGAGCAGGGACCGAGCAACGGGAGCTCAGCCCGTCGCGGGGATTCGAACCGCCGACCTTCTGATTGGCAAGTCATAGAATCATAGAATCATAGAGTTGGAAGAGACCACAAGGGCCATCGAGTCCAACCCCCTGCCAAGCAGGAAACACCATCAGAGCACTCCTGACATATGGTTGTCAAGCCTCTGCTTAAAGACCTCCAAAGAAGGAGACTCCACCACACTCCTTGGCAGCAAATTCCACTGTCGAACAGCTCTTACTGTCAGGAAGTTCTTCCTAAAGTTTAGGTGGAATCTTCTTTCTTGTAGTTTGGATCCATTGCTCCGTGTCCGCTTCTCTGGAGCAGCAGAAAACAACCTTTCTCCCTCCTCTATGTGACATCCTTTTATATATTTGAACATGGCTATCATATCACCCCTTAACCTCCTCTTCTCCAGGCTAAACATGCCCAGCTCCCTTAGCCGTTCCTCATAAGGCATCGTTTCCAGGCCTTTGACCATTTTGGTTGCCCTCCTCTGGACACGTTCCAGCTTGTCAATGTCCTTCTTGAACTGTGGTGCCCAGAACTGGACACAGTACTCCAGGTGAGGTCTGACCAGAGCAGAATACAGTGGCACTATTACTTCCCTTGATCTAGAAGTCCTGTGGTTTAACCCACAGCGCCGCCACCACCAAACTCCCTAGCCAAGTTTGTCCAAGGGAATCATTTGCCCTGCTTTGCCCATGTAAACCAGAAACAGGAGGCAAGGTGAGGAGGATGCCTCAGGCGGCAGGCTCCGGAGAGACAGCAGATCCCAAGGTTGATCTCTATTCCCTGCTTGTTCCCAAGGTAGATCTTCAATCACTCCTTCTCCTCATTTTGTGCCCTGACAAGAAAGGTAATGCCTTCTTGCGGAACAGACACCCTTGTCCTGATTTTGCAGAGAAGGGGAGAGGAGAGGGCAGCTCTTCCCACAGGTCCTTTGGGGGCGGGAGGCCAGCTCATGTCTTCTCCCCATAGGAGATGCAAGCATTCCTCAGAGAGAGAATACCAGCACCTTGTCGATTTCACTTCCTCGGCTGAAATCAGAGTGGAGGAGTACCTGGCTATACCTTCAAATCCTGGGAGGTTCTGTCCTCCCCAAAGTAACGTTAAAAAAAAAGACCTCCAGATTTAAAGATTTAACCTTTAAAGCCCTATGCGGCCTAGGACCCTCGTACCTACGGGACCGCCTCTCCTGGTATGTCCCACGGAGGACCCTACGGTCTTCAAACAAAAACATCTTGGAGGTCCCAGGACACAGGAAGGTTAGGCTGGCCTCAACCAGAGCCAGGGCTTTTTCGGCCGTGGCCCTGATCTGGTGGAACGCTCTGTCCCAAGAGACCAGGGCCCTGCGGGACTTGACATCTTTCCGCAGACCTGCAAGACGGAGCTGTTCCACCAGGACTTTGGCCAAGGCACAGCCTGACCCCCTCTCTCCTTCTGTAAACCCCATAGAACTCTAGCCCAATGGTTGCCATTAATTTGATTTTGAATTGATTTTAAAATGAATGGATTTTAGAATGCTGTGTTACTTTGATTGTTGTTAGCCGCTCTGAGCCCGGCTTCGGCTGGGGAGGGCGGGATATAAATAAAATTATTATTAGTATTATTATTATTAGTAGTAGTAGTAGTAGTAGTAGTAGTAGTATTTCCCAGGGGCCTTTCTGGGACCCAGGTTTCCCATTTGAAAGGTCCCTTGGAAACTCTTGTGCATTTACAGCCTCAGCCACAAATTCCTGATGGATACTTCCCATATTTTATGGCTCTCTGAAGTTTCTGACCCTTTCCCTACCCACCTTCCGGTGGAAACAGTAACGGCGTTTCAATCCCACCTTGGGTTCATTTCCAGAGCAGAGAGAAAAAGGCCTCTCTTACTGGGTTTTACCAATGTTATGGAGCGGGAGAGAGGTGAGGGCCATGGCAGTCTTCTCGGCTGGCGTGCAGGAGGCGACCAGGTTGAGCTGCGGGATGTACTTGATCTGTTGGCACCAGTCTCCGTGCAAAGCCTGGAGTGGAGGGAGAGGAAGAAGAGGAGGAGGAGGAGGAGGAGGAGGAAGAAGAAGACGACAACTAAACTTTGCAAAAAAGAAAGGCCAGAGAGCTGTTAACTAAAAGGAGCACTCTATCTGCCTGCATGCCATCTTTTGGAAATCCCAAAGGAGATGTGTACGCGTTAACCTGCTTAAAACGCATGCTGGGTCCTTCTTTTCTCAATTCAGTTCAAAGCTGGTTTGGAGGCAAATGCAACAAAATGCAGTATTCCATAAGAAAAGACATGCATTGTGGCTAACATCGTGCGTGAGCCTCTTCCCAAACCAGAGAACTGGATGCAGATTACCGGTAATTGAAGTGTGTACACAGCCCTTTAGATTCCTCCCTTGACCAGAAACCTCTCACTTTCTCAATTAACAAGAAGGAGAAAGGTTGCTGTTTTCATGGTAATGGAAATACCGTATTTTTCGCTCTATAAGATGCACCTAGAGGGGGAGAACAAGGAAAAAAAATATTCTCTCCCTCTCTGCGCAGCACCCCTTCAGGGCTATCCCTGAACGGCAGCTATCCCTGAAGCCAAGAGAGCAAGAGGGGTCAGTGCACACCGCCCCCTCTTGCTCTCCTGCATTCGCTCCATAAGACGCACACAAATTTCCCCTTACTTTTTAGGAGGGGAAAAGTGCGTCTTATAGAGCAAAAAATACGGTAAATGCGTCTTCGTCTCCCATTTACCCTCCTGCTTTTCTCCAATGTCATGCCTGGTCATATAGGTTTTGCAGGGTTTTGAAGCAATTCCAGAAGATGCAAAACCTGTATGCCAGAGGCAAGAGTCTGTGCAGAGCATGAGCAAAGATCCCCTTTTCAAACTCCCTGGAAGACGGCTATTGTACGTCTCCAGCCTTAATCATCTGTTGTCTCGGCGAATTTGTAAAAGGTGTATTCGTTTTGGCTTGAACCACACAGACATAATAATCAAGATCTTTGAAAACTGGGAGTGGGAGCCTGAACGAGAGACAGAGAGGAGAACGAAGCAAAACTCACTTCCTCAGGACCTTTCCATGATTTGGCAATTCAGATTATAATGGCAAGGCCAGGAGCAGGTACCTGGAATAGCCAAAGCCCCGCAGGTTGGGTGAATACTGGTTCCAACCACCACTTGCCCATCAGTGAAAAACTTAATGGAATTTAAGCCGCCTCCGAGGTACAGCAGATGCCAACATCGTACCTGTTCTTCCAAGATTTTACAGGGAACTTGAATTAGCAAAGAGAACTGCAAAATTTAGTTGTAAGGCTGCCGCCTTATTCTATTTTATTATGATATTTTAATTGGGGGTTTTATCACACACTTTTTTTTATTTATTTTGATCGTTTTCACTGCGGTTCTTAAAAAAATAAAATTAAAGGTTAGGATAGAAACACGTTTAATAAATCAATATTAAAAGCAGGGAGCGCCTGGCAGAAATCACGCTAACTCTGGAGCAGGCAGGTTCATGGGGAAAACTCACAGGGACATGGAAATTCCTGTATTGTTCGGCCTTGTTTTTCAGGAGGATGTGGACGGGGACTCTAGACATGCCACCTGTGAGGACAAGATCCAGGGAAAAACATTGTGCGCCAGCAGAGCCAAAATATAATGCATTGGTTCTACTCCCTCTGTTGTGACAGTTAATCCACAACAGATTAATAATAATAATAATAATAATAATAATAATAATAATTTATTACTTTTACCCCACCCACCTGACTGGGTTGCCCCAGCCACGCTGAGTACCCTCCAAGAGAATATAAAAGAACACACAATACATCCGAAATTAAACGTTTCCCAATACAGGGCTGCCTTCAGATGCCCACAAAAGGTTGCATAATGGGTTACCTCTTTGACATCCGACTGGAGAGTTGAGAATTGGCTAAAAGCACAAGTTGGAGTTCATAGTTTTCGCACATTCCACTAAGCCATGGTCTGTTTCACAAACTATGAGCTGTCCCACAGGCAACTGAGGAAACATTGGCTTGTTTCTCCAGAGTTTGCTTTGTTTTCCAACTGCTAAACCACCTTTGTAGTTTAGCTTAGTGAATGTCTGGGGTGGGGTATCTGTGTGGCGTAGGAAGGGGGGTGCGGTAGGGCCGGTTCGCCCCGGGTGTCACCCAGAGGGGGGTGACAAACTGGAAAAAATAAGTACAGTGGATGCTCAGGTTGCGAACATGATCCATGGGCAGGGTTCCCATATGACGTTGGGCCATAGACCTGTAGCTTAGTAAACCATGGCATAGCATTACATGTAAACAAAACGAATCTCTCTCTGAAGGTCTGATCTGGAGTAATGGATCTACAACCTTAACAGAGTCCTTACTTGGCGTTCATTTGCTACCACTGATGCTCAGCATATGAATAAAGCAAATATTGCAAAGGCATCCCTACCGCTCAATCTCTCATCTGAAAGGAAAGCTCTGTCAGTGCTCAGCAAAAGGGGGAGCACCAAAGATCAAACATCGCAATAAGGGTCGACTTGCACCCCTTTTGTGGAGGCTCAGGGACCAGCAGCTCCCCCTCTGCCTGGCCAGTGTTGTGAGCTGTCCCCTGCACCAGCCTGGACCAACTTGGCTCACCTATGTAGCTGCGGACATTGAAAAGCCCGTTCATCACGACATCCGATGAGGTGAAGATCAGGACGTTCCCTTTCACGTCCCCAACAGAGAAGATCGCTTTGCGGCCATCGGTCCTAGTTCAGGTAGGAAAAGAAAAGGGATGAAAACCTGCAGGTGCAGCACAGGTGCGGAACAGGTGAGAGCTTGGCCTACCTGGGAAGCAGGTCAGCCTTGGACAGAAGCTCTGCCTGCTTCTTTGCTCCAGGTAGCAGAGCAGAGCGCTGGAATTGGGATCCAAAATGGGCATCGCTCCAGATTTCCTCTGGCCACAAGGCAGGAGCATAAAGTACTGGGGGTGGGGGGTGTGAGTTGTTTTGTTTGTTATTATTATTAAAAAATTGTCCAGTAGCACCTTAGAGACAAACTAAGTTTGTTATTGGCATGAGCTTTTGTGCGCATGCACACTTCTTCAGAGGGGCACGGGTGGCGCTGTGGGTTAAACCACAGAGCCTAGGACTTGCCGATCAGAAGGTCGGCGGTTCGAATCCCCGCAACAGGGTGAGCTCCCATTGCTCGGTCCCTGCTCTTGCCCACCTAGCAGTTCAAAAGCACGTCCAAGTGCAAGTAGATAAATAGGTACCGCTCTGGCGGGAAGGTAAACGGCGTTTCCGTGCGCTGCTCTGGTTTCACCAGAAGCGGTTTAGTCATGCTGGCCACATGACCCGGAAGCTGTACGCCGGCTCCCTCGGCCAATAAAGCGAGATGAGCGCCGCAACCCCAGAGTCGGCCACGACTGGACCTAATGGTCAGGGGTCCCTTTACCTTTACCTTACACTTCTTCAGATACACTGAAACAGAAGTCACCAGACCCTTATATATAGGGGGAGCGGTTTTTCTCAGGAGGGTAGTAGAAGATGGGTGATTGACTCAATGAGTATGGTAAACCTGTGGACGACTGTTAATGACTGCAATTAGTCCTACAGGAAAAAGCAAGGGATAGTATGCAGATGACCCCACCCTCCCACTATATATAAGGGTCTGGTGACTTCTGTTTCAGCATCTGAAGAAGTGTGCATGCACACGAAAGCTTATACACAAAACAAACTTAGTTGGTCTCTAAGGTGCTGCTGGGCTTTTTTATTATTATTATTTCGACTGCGTCAGACCAACACGGCCACCTACCTGAATCTAGAATCATGTTACGCATTTTTGCATTTCTATACTGTAAACTGACCTATGATCCTTGGGTAAAGGGTGGTATATACATCTTAAAGAATCTTAAAGAGGAATATCGGCATGTTATTGAATCAACCAAATCCACTGATAAGCAGAGGGAAGGGACAAGCCTTGTTCTTCTGTATTGACATGCGCAATAAACTCAAACCAGATTTCTGCAAATCTATCCTTTTTTGCATTGTCCCCTGGAGACGCGTGGTTTGCCGCTCAACTTTTCTAATACTGTAAAGCAAGTTGCCAAACTGTGAAATGCCAAAATGAAATACTGGCTCCGTTTAGATCTCTCCTGACATGGGCCATTGCAACTCTAGTGGCCGCCCCCTCCCCCCCCCAAAAAAAAGCAAGAAGAAGGAACAATTAGCTCTTCATTATGTATATTAAGATCAGCTTCCTCAAAAATAGGTAACAGTGTGAGCTGGGGAGAAGGGATAAGACAACAATTTGAAACTTGTATTGATTTCTTTTAAAAAACGCAGAACCGACGGTTTGTGCTTTTCCCCATTCCCACCGTAAATGAATAGGGGATCCAGCAACTGGGCAGCCCCCGTAATTCTAATTGCCAAGTGTGGTGGTGTCGATGGTTAGCGTGGGCCGGGTCTGGAAACAGGGTGTTGGTTGTGGCTGGGGCTGGTCCAGCCTGCGTCTGGGGAGATGCTGAGAGGGGGGTGAGAGGGGAAACGCCCCCAGGCTCTTCTCTTGACGTACCAGTAGTCCATAGCCGTGGCACACCCTTCCAAGTCGACGAGAGTGAAGATCCGGTCGCATTTATTGCCACCAATGTCAAAGAACTCTGGGTGGAAAGAGGGAAAGCGGAACAGTTTATTCGAGGGCCGTGTGTGCATCGCTCCCTTTCCCAGCTACAGATCTGAACTGACTCCACTGAAAGGCATTGCGCTTTGAAGACATAATGGAAGCTGCATCAGAGTTTGACCTCCAGAGTCTCTATTCGCAAACACAAAGCACCACTGGATGCGCCAGTCAAACATCTTCTCCCTTTCCCCGTAACACAGCTTCCCCTGTGAAACTGGTGGGAAGTTGACGCAGAAGTCCAGAACATGCAAAAACTAAGTTCCCCTGGACACAGTACGGAACCAACCTGTGGAACTCTTGGCTGCATGGTGCGTATTTTGAGCAAAAGGGTTGCAAGCTCAGCATACAGAGGCACACACTTTATTTGGGGAAGCAGGGATTGCAAGGCAATTGGGCGGCAGAGGGGACCTTCCCCTTTGCGTTCTGCACTTACCAATATCCTGGTCTGTCGTTGCAACTGCCAGTAAGTTGATATTGGTAAGGCACACCATGTCAATCACCCAGAGTTTCAAACTGTGACGTCTTTTGCTCTGGTCCAGCTGCATAGAGAGAGGGGGGTTCGCAGAGCAAAAAAAGTGATGGGGGAGACAGAAGGAAGGAAGGTTTGCTGTTTGCACATCACGTATTTCATGTCTGGAGCCCCATACTGCTGGCAGGCTCCGAGACAGGAGGAGGAAGATGAAGAAGAACCGGGGGGGGGGTATGATGGGGGGGTGGACCTGGCTCGGAGGGCAAGGAAACGAGGAAGCAGGGATGCTTCCTCCAACCTTCCTGTGGAGCAGAGAACCTCAGCTTCTCGGCTTTCGTTGAAAGATTCAGGACATAGAAATGAAAGTCCTTCTTTTTCTTTTTCAAAGATTTTATTGATTTACAAAAGTGTGTGCAATGTCTCTCTCTCTCTCTCTCTCTCTCTCTCTCTCTCTCTCTCTCTTTTCCCAAGTAACATTTTTTACAGATCAGTTTCATTTGTTGAGACATTAGGAAGAAAAGGGGAAAGAGGTGGCGGGGGAAAATGTGAGTGGGGATGGGGTCGGGTGGCGACGTTTCTATTTTACTTACTATATGTAGGGTTTGGTGTCAGTGTTTCTTGTGCAGGTTCTCTGCTGTTCACTTGTGTTCCTTTGGTGGTGAGAGAGGTTGGGCTTGGCCTAGGGTGTGGTTGTTCATTTGTGGTTGGCTGTGGTGGTCTTTGTTTTCGTGTGTGAGTGGGGTGGGTGGGTGTTTTGGGTCAGGTTAGCCATATTGATCAGTATGCTGTTGGTGGATTTTTGTCCTTGTCTTGTTGGGCTGTGTATGTGATAAAGGGGAGCCATACCGGGGTGAAGGCGTCTTCTTCTATTTGTCCCCGTGGCAGTTTCAGTTTATTGGTTAATTTTTCTATTAGCGCTGTTTCCCATACTATTTGGTACCATTGGTCCATGCTTACTCCTGACAGGTCTCTCCAGTGTCTGGCTATGATGCTTCTGGCTGCTGAAAGTAGGTGGATTGTGAGTTCTTTGAGGTGTAAGTGGGCATTATTGTCATGAAAGTCCTTCTTCAGGCAGTGCAGCGTTAATCTAGGGAACTCCCTCCCGCAGAAGGCAGCAATGGTCTCTGTCCAACTTGGACAGCTTAAAGAGAGGATTAGACTAATTCATGGAGAAGAGGACTATTGATGGCTACTAGCTGGGATGGTTTTGCTCTGCCTCCACAGATGCTTCTGAATACCAGTTTACCAGAAACCACAGGAGGAGGAGAGAGTTGCTCTTGTGCTCGGATCCTGCTGTGCTGGTTTCCCACTTGCATTTAGGGAGAGGCTAGGTTTGCATACTTAAAGTATATTAAAGCACTTCTATTGCCTTATCACAGCAAATCTGCCTTTTGAGGGTTGCTTTTTTATTTGTTTTTAAATAATAATAATAATAATAATAATAATAATTTATTTATACCCCGCCCATCTGGCTGGGCTTCCCCAGCCACTCTGGGTGGCTTCCAACAAAATATTAAAATACCGTAATGCATCAAACATTAGAAGCTTCCCTAAACAGGGCTGCCTTCAGATGTCTTCTAAAAGTCTGGTAGTTGTTCTCTTTGACATCTGGTGGGAGGGCGTTCCACAGGGTGGGCGCCACCACCAAGAAGGCCCTCTGCCTGGTTCCCTGTAACCTCACTTCTCACAATTAGGGAACCGCCAGAAGGCCCTCGGCGCTGGACCTCAGTGTCCGGGCAGAATGATGGGGGTGGAGACGCTCCTTCAGGTATACTGAACCGAGGCCGTTTAGGGTTTTCAAGGTCAGCACCAACACTTTGAATTGTGCTCGGAAGCGTACTGGGAGCCAGTGTAGGTCTTTCAAGACCAGTGTTTGGAAAATAAAGGATAAATGTTATGGCGAGTGCAGGATGACTAACGCAAAGAAGCCTTAAACGCCCTTCATGCAAATCAGGATGGGTGATCATTGTCATGCAACCTTCACACATTCAGATCAGAACAAATGTTCAATAAAGACCAGATGCAAGCTAACTTTCACCTGGGTTTTGTAAGTAGGTCTTCTAGAGGGGTCCTGAGAAACATGTTAAGCCACCGTGCGATTTCATTTGCTCTCCACTCACTCAACTCCACCTTGGAGCAAATCCTGGCTTTAAAATCCTGGCTCTGAATGCCACCAGCCATAGCAGAACATGCCCACTTGGGACCAACTGACCTACAAAATCACCTTGCCCCATATACGACCCCTCAAAGGCTTCAATCGGCGGAAACGGCACGACCGACAGGCCCCACTTGAAACCCTTTTTGTAAGAACTCAGTTGTTTAGTCTGGCAGCACCGAGACTTTGGAACTCCCTGCCTATTGATCTCAAGCCGGTGCCTTCGCTGTATTCCTTTCAGCATCTGCTAAGAACATTATTGCTCAGACAAGCCTGCCCAGGGGCTTAGAAAGTTGATGTGAATTTTCACCTGCTTTAGTACTTCAACTTTACATTTTTTTTCTTGGCTTTTCTTGGGAGACTCAAGAGAAAAGGAGAGTCCTCCGTACCAAACCACCATCCCAGGTTGGCCAGGCTACCTACCACAACAGTACGAAGCCTTTTAAAGGTGTCGCTCCAGTATTGCAGGATCCCGTCCCTGCTCACGGTCAGGAATCGCCCAGACGGCGATCGGCTTTTCCTCGCCCTCTCCAAAAGCCCCCTGTTCTGGTTTGGGAAAAACTGGATCTTGACAATTTCCTCAGAGTGAGCCCTGGAGGAAAAGGAAGAGGGGAAAGAAAGAAAATGGCTACAGACACATATACTGTGCTTAGGAACATAGCAAGCAAACTTAAAACCTTAAACTTAAAACCTTTAAAAAAATATTATTTTTTTATTCCGTCAGGCCTCTGCAGGCAGTTAAGAATACATCTCCTGGCAACAGTTTATTGATGCTTAACCTTTTTTCTACTTTTAAACTGTTTTAAAGTTTGTTTTCATGCTTTTATTGTAGGGCTTCTGTTTTTTAGCACGGTGAACCGCTTTGGTGTGTTTTGTGATTGCGGCATATCAATGCTTTTATAAATAAAAAACAAGAGATCTGTACTCCTGTGAGATCAGAAAACCATGCAAGGGCAAAGGTGCATTTGCCATCAGAATTCATAGGTGAGCGTTTTGAGACCTTGGAGAGCACAGGATTCATTTCAGTCCAAGCGGAAAGCAATTCCACCATCCAGGAGAGCTCTGGGCTTGTCTTAACTCACCCCAGGCTAAGTTCCCATCAGTGTGTCCAGTCCCAGCACAGAATCACCTCTTAATGTAAATTGGTTATTGTATTTTAATATTCTGTTGGAAGCCGCCCAGAGTGGCTGGGGAAACCCAGCCAGATGGCCGGGGTATAAACAATATATTATTATTATTATTATTATTATTATTATTATTATTGGAACCTTCCTCCGCATGACTGTGGTCAGCCTCCTCAGTTTCTGGTGCCATCAGCCTGCCCCTTTGCCCTTCCACATCACAGACGCAGAATCTCGTCCTCTCCCTTTTATGAGGGTCAACCAAAAAGTCACAAAATAGTGAGTACTGCAAGGACCACAATAGCTCCAGGACCACCTCTCTCCAGATGAACTGGCCCAGACCCTGTGATCAACTTCTGTGGCTTTTCTCTGTGTGCCTCCTCCATGAGAGACCCGGAAGGCTGGCACCACAAGAACAGGGCCTTTTCTGCAGTGGCGCCCTCTTTGTTGAACACTCTCCCCAGGGAAGCTCGCCTGGCACCTTCAGGCGCCAGGCAAAAACGTTACTCTTCAACAAGGCCTTTGTCTGATTGACATCTGATGCTCTTTTAAATGTGTTGTGGGAGAGGTTATTGGTTTGCTTTGGTTTTTGTTGTGTACTTTTGTGTTTTCTACCTTGAATTTTTATGTTGCGAACCGCCCTAAGGTCTACAGACGAAGGACGGTAGACAAATTAAATAAACAGCAAGTGAGATTTCAGGTTCTTGAAATTTTATTATGTTCTGATATTCTGCTGGGGGCTGCCCAAACTGGTGGGGAGGCCCAGCCAGATGGGCGGAGTATAAATAATGGAATGATGGTGACGTTGATGATGATTTTGTCGTTTGTACCCCACCCATCTGGCTGGGTGTTGCTCCGGCCACTCTGGGAGGCTTCCAGCATATATTTGTTGTTGTTTAGTCGTTTAGTCGTGTCCGACTCTTCGTGACCCCCTGGACCAGAGCACACCAGGCACTCCTGTCTTCCACTGCCTCCCGCAGTTTGATCAAACTCATGCTGGTAGCTTCGAGGACACTGTCCCACCATCTCGTCCTCTATCGTCCCCTTCTTCTTGCGCCCTCCATCTTTCCCAACATCGGGGTCTTTTCCAGGGAGTCTTCTCTTCTCAGGAGGTGGCCAAAGTCTTGGAGCCTCAGCTTCAGGATCTGTCCTTCCAGTGAGGACTCAGAGCTGATTTCCTTCACAATGGAGAGTTTTGATCTTCTTGCAGTCCATGGGACTCTCAAGAGTCTCCTCCAGCACCAGAATTCAAAAGCATCAATTCTTCGGCGATCAGCCTTCTTTATGGTCCAGCTCTCACTTCCATACATCACTACTGGGAAAAATATAGCTTTCACCATATGGACCTTTGTCAACAAGGTGATCTCTCTGCTTTTTCCAGCATATATATAGAAACATAATTAAACATTAAAAACATGCACAAACCTTCACCTGCCACAGATGTACGGCAGCTACCTTTTTGTGTTTTTATTTTGTAAACTGCCCTGTGGTCTTCGGATGAAAGGCGGTATACTAATTAAATAATAATAATATAATACAGTGGACGCTCGGGTTGCGAATGTGATCCGTGCAGGATGCACATTCGCAACCCGCAGCAGCATGCCTGCACACACGCGGATTGCGATTTGGCACTTCTGCACATGTGCAACTGCCGAAGCCCGGAAGTAGCCCGTTCCAGTACTTCTGGGTTTCGGCGGGGCCGTATCCCAAAAAAACAACAACCTGAAGCGTCTGTAACCCGAGGTATGACTGTAATGTCTTCAGCAGACTGCATGTCAACCAAAGAAGCGACTGGGAGTAAAGGGACCCCTGGCCATTAGGTCCAGTTGTGGCTGACTCTGGGGTTGCGGCGCTCCTCTCGCTTTATTGGCCGAGGGAGCCGGCGTACAGCTTCCGGGTCATGTGGCCAGCATGACTAAGCCACTTCTGGCGAACCAGAGCAGCGCACAGAAACGCCGTTTCCTTTCCCGCCAGAGCGGTACCTATTGATCTACTTGCACTTTGACGTGCTTTCAAACTGCTAGGTGGGCAAGAGCAGGGACCGAGCAATGGGAGCTCACCCTGTTGCGGGGATTCGAACCACCGACCTTCTGATCAGCAAGTCCTAGGCTCTGTGATTTAACCCACAGCGCCACCCATTGCAACTGGAGATACCAACAGAGGGGGAAAAGGTTTGCCATGGACGCCACAAAGTCTGTATTTGTTGGCAGACTTAAGACGGGGTGTAGGAGGTAATAGCACAGTTGCACAAGGGCGGCCTTTTGCAAAGTCATCGAGAGCAGGGCTGGATTTTGCATTCATCCCTAGAGGGCAAAGAGCAACATTCCATCTGCATCAGCAACAGGCGGGACAGGAATCCTTTGCTCCTGGGGACCAGGAGTGGCAAATTCTGTCTGAAAGGTGAATGGGAAAACCACCTCCGTCAAGAAGTTAAACCAGGGGTTCCCAAAATGGGAGGTAGCACCCCACAAGGGGGCAGTAGGATTCCCGGGGGCTGGGGGCTGGGGGGGGAACAAGGGCAGCAAGGGGGTGGCTTTCAGGTTTTGAAAAGCTGGTCTTGCTGGATCAATTTCTTCAGTTTTGTTAAAGCAATTAAACTGAGTAGTTTCGATTGGGTTTTGAAAAAACATGCAATTATTTTTTTTAATTTTCAATGCAACATTACAACAAAAATTACAAACATAAAGTCCAAAACAAAGCAGTACAAACAACGGGGGGGGGGGGAGAGAACACACATCTACAAAGAAAACCGTATCGTCATATGTACGTAATGATTAGTATGAAAAAAAAGTGCTATTAATCGTTCGTGTCTTGAATTTGATTGTGCTATGATCTTCCTTCAACATCAAGAAAACTAAGATCATGGCCACTGGTCCCATCGCCTCCTGGCAAATAGAAGGGGAAGAAATGGAGGCAGTGAGAGATTTTACTTTCTTGGGCTCCATGATCACTGCAGATGGTGACAGCAGCCACAAAATTAAAAGACGCCTCCTTCTTGGGAGAAAAGCAATGACAAACTTAGACAGCATCTTAAAAAGCAGAGACATTACCTTGCCGACAAAGGGCCCTATAGTTAAAGCTATGGTTTTCCCAGTAGTGATGTATGGAAGTGAGAGCTGGACCATAAAGAAGGCTGATCGCCGAAGAATGGATGCTTTTGAATTCTGGTGCTGGAGGAGACTCTTGAGAGTCCCATGGACTGCAAGAAGATCAAACCTCTCCATTCCGGAGGAAATCAGCCCTGAGTGCTCACTGGAAGGACAGATCCTGAAGCTGAGGCTCCAAGACTTTGGCCACCTCATGAGAAGAGAAGACTCCCTGGAAAAGACCCTGATGTTGGGAAAGATGGAGGGCACAAGGAGAAGGGGACGACAGAGGACAAGATGGTGGGATAGTGTTCTCGATGCTACCAGCATGAGTTTGACCAAACTGCGGGAGGCAGTGGAAGACAGGAGGGCCTGGTTTGCTCTGGTCCAGGGGGTCACGAAGAGGCGGACGCGACTAAACGACTAAACAACAACATGTTCTTCCTTAGTGGGTCGTGCAAGCCAGCATTCTGAATTATGCATTTTAATAGGGTAAAGTAGGAGGCGCTGAGGGTGAGTTTATGGAACAGGAAGGGCTTTGCCTCAATAAAGTTTAGGAACCACTGAGTTGAAGAGTGCCATTTGCTTCTCCTCTCAGTCTGCAGCCTCCGCCTCGGAATTTGGTCTCCAAATTGACCTCAGGGCCACAGCTTCCAGAATCCTCATTTCAAACAATCAAGGAGCTGGAAGGGAATCTGAGCATCATCTAGAAGTCCAACTCCCTGAAATGCAGGAATATGAAGCTGCCCCATACGGGGATCAAACCTGCAACCTTGGCGTTATCAGCGCCATGTTTAACCCGACTGAGCTCTACTTAAAAGAAAAATCCTTGCTCCTCCTTCCCCGCAGCCACCCACTCCTTGCTTTGTGTAACGCCTTGACTGATGAAGAGTCCTCTGCCCCATCCTGACTATTCATTTATAGCAATATCATATCACTTTAACCATCATGGCGTCCTCCAAAGAATGGGATCTGCAGCTGGTTAAGATTGCCTTGGCCCAGTATACCTGAAGGAGCGTCTCCACCCCCATTGTTCTGCCTGGACACTGAGGCCCAGCTCCGAGGGCCTTCTGGAGGTTCCCTCCTTGCGAGAATCAAGGTTACAGGGAACCAGACAAAGGGCCTTCTCGGTGGTGGCACCTGCCCTGCGGAATGCCCTCCCATCAGATGTCAAGGAAATAAACAACCATCTGACTTTTAGAAGACATCTGAAGGCAGCCCTGTTTAGGGAAGTTTTTAGTGGCTGATGTTTTAATGTATTTTTGATATTTTGTTGGAAGCCGCCCAGAGTGGCTGGGGAAACTCAGCCAGATGGGCGGGGTATAAATAATAAATTATTATTATTATTATTATTATTATTATTATTATTATTACACACACACACACCCCATTCCCCTCCAGAGCTGCAATTCCCAGGGAATTCCCCTGGGAAAAGGGACTGGCTGTTCAGCCACTCTAGGAATTGGCAGCTCCACTTGGCCTTAACCCCTTCCCTCACGCCCAGAGGGCAAAGGGACCCTTACACGGAAACCGGTTTCATGGTCGTCTGGAACTCGGGAAGCATCTTATTTTTCAGCATGTCGTCCTTCCCTCTGTATTCACGCAGCATGTAATTCAGATACTCCTCCTGCAGGGAGAGAAATTGCCGTTGTTATTCTCACTCTCTCCGCCAGCACGGTGCTTTTCCAAGGATTCTCTCGGGCCCGGCTAATATGTAACCCAGCCGATCCCAGTCTTACACGCCACCCCAATCTCTGAGTGGAGAGAGACTGCTGGAGTTCCAGGCCCTCACCCAAGTTTGGTTTCCTTGGGGTGAAGGTCAGCAGAGACTGTGGTATCTATAGGACAGAGTTCCCCAAACTTGAGTCTCCAGCTGTTTCTGAACTACAATTCCCATCATCCCTAGCCAGCATGTCAGGGATGATGGGAACCGTAGTCCAAAAACAGCTGGAGACCCAAGTTTGGGAAATCCTGCTTTAGGAGCATGTGGTGTCTTTATGATTGTTATAGTATTTACACATATATGGAACCTGATCATAGGATGGGAACAGGCTTGTTTTTGTTGAGATTTCGATTTCGCCTTAAGGAACAGACGTGTGGAATTGTTGCATGTCACATGTCTGTTTACATTCCAGCACAATATGCCGGGAACTTCCGTTGTGTATAGTTTTTGCTTTTCCCGTTGTCTCTGAGATGACATGAGAGAGAGAGACGACATGTTTCTTTGTCCTGATTTATGATTAATAAATCTGTAGTTGTAGTATGCTTCCAGAAGCCTCACGCCTATTCTGTGTGAGCAGTACTCTCTGCTGATAGCGTGCCCTGGCTTTGAAGCCCGGGTCGCTGATTTACGTCGGAGCTGGGGTCAATGGAAGAAGACTGCACAGCTGGGGCTTGCCAGCTGGCCTCCCGGCCCTCTACATGTCGACAGTTTTCTTCTGCTCTGGACAGTAGGACTTGAACCAACGGCTTCAAGTTGCAAGAAAGGAGATTCCGACAGAACATCAGGAATAACTTTCCGATGTCAAGAGCTATTTGACTGTGGAACAGAAGGTTGTGGGCTTACAATCTACAAGGCAGCCATGGGGACAATGTTGGGGAGTCAACTAAGGCAAGGGTGGGACAGGGAGCTACAAACAGAAAGTCTTGCTGGGAGAGGGGGTTGTAGACCCAAGTGGGAAAAGACTGTAAGTGTTTTGCCAAGTTGGTGCCCTCAAGAGGTTTTGGATGGCAACTTCCATCAGCCGAGGCCAAAGGATAGACCAATCTATTTATAGGATTGTTACGGAAATTACGGGGGGGGGGCACATCTTTAAAGTTAAATGTTGCAAATATTATGCCTGAATGTATCCTTTCAACTTGACAGCTCAGGGAAGTTACCTAGCTTTAAAAATAAATAAAGTCAACTCCTTTGCCAGTTTCCTCCATTCCAACACTATTTTGCCCTTGAAAATTAGGGACTCCAGGAAGTGCCCAGAGGTGACAATTGCTGAGCTGATTGTTGGCCAAGGAAAGCCTAATCCCATCACTGGACTTGCCAAGGGGCCAGGCATGCAAAGGAAGTTCTCTTGTACTTTGGGTGGTGGGACTTCAGAGGTGTTTGCCTATGCTCATCTTATACCTTGGTCTTGCCCTGACATGTCTACTTATGCTAATCATGTACCAAGGACTTGTCGGGACATGTTTGCCAAGGTTGAACTAGTGTAACCCCTGTCTACCCTCCCCTTTGGTGGCATGTCAATGATGTAGCAATGATGCGGCACGAACAGTATTCTGGGATATGGTGGGAAAGTTTTAAAAGTCCTTGTCACCCCATCCTCTGGGTTCAAAATTCCTCTTTGAACCTGTTGCGCAATAAACTTTGGTCTACAGCTATTTGCTCCGGTTGGTGGCTGGACTCCTTCCTTTATTCCGAAGGGAGCCGTGGGCTCTGCCCGACCAGCTGGGTGACTGAGCAGCCTCGCACCTAGATTGTTCCATAACAGGATGCTGAGGAGCAGAGGAAAAGCCCAGGGCGTGCAACGCAGGGCGTGCCATTCAGCATCCCGGGAATCTGAGCTACCATTTAAAAACAGCAGAGCGAGTTTCTAGCCCTGAGGGCGGCAATGATATTCTTTACAGCGCGGAGACCAGAAGCCAGAGGGTGGCCAAGTCAGATTTCTCAGGGAGCGCTGAGCATCTGTGCCCTGCAATAACTCCTCGCCCCACCTGTGCCAGCCAAAACCACAGGAGTTATGCAGAATGGCTTCTCAAAACTTTGCAGAACAAATGAAAGCAGGCACTTGCCCAGTCCACGGCGCCGTCACAGTTGGTGTCCACCTTCATGAAAATCACGTCAATGTCTTCATCGGAAACGTCCCCCATGATCTTCTTCATGGCGCTTCGGAATTCTTCCATGTCCAGACCTGAAAGGCAGGAAAGCAACTGTGTAATTAATTTAATTGTAATAATAATAATAATAATAATAATAATAATAATAATAATAAATTTTATTTATATCCCGCCCTCCCCAGCCGAAGCCGGGCTCAGGGCGGCTAACAACAATAAAATAGTACAACATTGTAAATTAGTACAGCAGGTATAAGTCGGAAGTTTCTTTTCTTTGCTGATTCAAATAGTGGATGTAATTATGCCTTTATTCACACTTTCATTCTTCTTTCTCTTTGTTTTTTCTTTCTTCTGTTCTTTTCCATTCTTTTCATTTTGCAGTCATACCTCAGGTTACAGATGCTCCAGGTTGCGTTTTTTCGGGTTACGGACCCGCCAAAACCCGGAAGTATCGGAACGGGTTACTTCCGGGTTTCGGGTGTCACGCATGCGCAGAAGCGCTAAAACGCGCTTTGCACATAAGCGCGAATCGTAACCCGCGTGTGCGCAGACGCACCACTGTGGGTTGCAAACACTGCATGTTGCGAAAATGCATCCCACAAGGATCACGTTCGCAACCCAAGCGTCCACTGTATATTTATATTCTCTATAATCTTTATAACATAGTGAATGCTATTTTGTTGGTATCGTATGTATTTTAAGAATCTGTTTGTCTAATAAAAACTTCAATAAAACATGGGAAGAATGGCAAACCAAGATGATGGACTATGTCGAAATGGCACAATTAACCGGGAAGCTCAGAAATCGGACTTCCGGGGTGGTACCATCGGCAATGGCAGACTCCCTCTGAACTGGAGGGACTAGCTCCGCGCGAAACGGGTCTTTTCCGCTACGGCGAAGCAGGGACCCTTTTAAAAATCACAGGCGGATGAAGCCTGTGACCATGGGACTCGGCGGGCACCCTTAGCGCCCCCCCAACCCGCAAAGGAACCCACTAACGGGCTCCGAAGCGAAGAGGGGGAAGCGGTGCAGTGCTGTGAGTCAACTGCTATTTCCGTGGAGCGAAGCCGCATAGCCGTTGCCGGAGAGCACTGCCTTTTTCCTGGGACAATTTGGCTTCTAAAATAAGCACCCGTGAGTACTTAAAACTTTGAACAAATTGGACTTTAAACAAGGATTTGCGAGCAGAAAGGGATTCAAAAATTTACTTCAATTTGGTAGTGAAACGGGAAGGTCTAAACAGGAAGTCAGCCTTCCGTTTCTTTGTAGATAGAATAAAGCAAAGACAACGTAAACTAGAGCTTAGAAAATCGCTTCTAAAGGATCGGCTTTCATCATTTAAAATCCTCGAACCCCCCTTCGGCAGCAGGAGAAGAAGGGGATCATTTTTGGACTGTTTAAACCTGCAGAAGTGAGTTTAAAGTAAAGTAACTTTCCACCGTCCTGATCCTGGAGCGGGGTGTCAGGACTGACGTTTGAAGCTCATTGACCAGAGACAAACGTTTTTGACAGATAGCTAAAAGATGAGAAACATAGTGATTCCTATGATTTTAAAGGAACAAATATTGACAAAATATCTCAAAAAAGAAACTTTGTTGCAAGAACAATTAGAAGTTTCCCCCCTAGAGGGAGACTGGGAAACTGTAACTAATTGCAGGGAGCTTGCAGCTGTCACAGATTACAATCGTGGGAAAAGGCTTGTGACCTTGTAGGACAATGTATTCAGAAGCTCTGTTGTGTGCTCTCTGTAAAATAAATGCTCTACTGGAACAGTTAACCACGAAGACGGATTTGATGACTAATGCGGCCAGAATTTTTGAACAGGCAGTGGGAAACTATATGGAGCCCACTCAGGAATTAAATCAGGAGTGTGCCCTGACAGAACAGATGAGAGAAGAGGATGTTGCTGAATCTTGGGCGCCAGAGATGGAGGGAGCTGCGGCCCAGCAGGAATATGAGCTTTTGGATTTGACAAATGAACTTGGAAAAAGCCAGATTAGGAACGATAAAGTTTGGACTGATTTGGAAATGGGGGGTTAGATAGACCCCCCTATGCAGGGATGTTTGGACTTTCCGAGTCTGGCAATGGGCCGTGAGATGTTTGGAGCTGTGGGGGCTCTCAACTTTGGAGGGATTCTGAAACATGTCTTTAAATACTACATGGAGTTTAGTCTGGAGTATGGAAAAGGAGCTGATTTGTTGAAAAGGGTCAAAAACATTACCAACCTGGAGTTCCCACGAGTGAAAGGTGAATATGAAGAAGAGCTGATGAAGGGACATGGTAGAGACTTAAGGGCCTCGGATATAAGGTTATCAGGTTAATGCGCTAGATCGATGGGATAAAAAGGACTGACAAAACCCGGGACCAGGAGGAAGGGACGCTGGATGAAGATTGGATTGTTTCTATTTCTTTTTTTTTACTACTAGGATTGTTTTATAAAACTGATGACTGTTAGAAAAATGTTGGAACGAAATTACTTGGCTCTAGCAAAAATGTTTAAAATAAGATTTAAGTTTTAAGGTTTTTTATAAGATAAGATGAAAATAGATAAAGGCAATGTAATGACAGAATATTATGAAATATGGAAAGGATTTGCTGCGATAATTAATAACTGGGATACAAAAAAAGGGAGGAGGAGGAGGTCAAAGAAAGAAGGTAATGAAAGTTGAAGATTTGAGAATGTTGGTTTTATTTTTATATGTTTGTGGTGTATATTTGTTTTTTGAATTTGTATTGTTGGATGTGGTTTGTTTTTCTTTTTCTCTTTTTTGTTTCTTTTTTCTTTTTCTGCTTTGTCTTTTTTTGTAATTTTAAAAATTTTCAATAAATATCATTTAAAAAAAAAACAGAAATCAAGAAGACAAGAACTTTAAATAAAAGAAGAAGAAGATTGGGGAAAGTTTATCGCTCCCCTTATGGTCTTGATTTATTGGCTACTTTTAAAATGAGGCTGCATTTTAAATTGCATTTTAACCTGTATTTTAAATTGTGCCGTTGGGGTGGCGACGAGATCGCACTGGCCTATCTATTCTGAATGCATTCTGAATGTTCTTATGTGATGCCAATAAAGGTTACTTGTCTTGACTTGAAATTGGTTTTTCCCCCCCTATCATGTTTTTTACTGTGATTGTTAGCAGCCCTGAGCCCGGCTCTGGCCAGGGAGGGCGGGGTATAAATAAATTATTATTATTATTATTATTATATTGATATGCAGTTGTAAATATTAACATTAGGACCCATGAAAGGGATTGGGGTGGGGGGAGCCAGGACATTCAAAGCACTCTCGATATTTGGATTTTGAACTGATGTTTGTAATATATTTACATTTTTTAAAAATCGAATAAAAAAATCATTTAAATAATAATAATAAGAGCTCCCCTCCCCAGGCACAGAACGTTACTCTGCAACCAGAAGGGACACCAAAAAACGGAGGATCCTGAGGGAAATGCCCCCAGTGCTGGTAGGACACCTGCCTTGCCTGCAGAAGGACCAGATCCTCAGCGTCCCCAGGGGAAAGGACTCAGCCTGGAAGCTTGGAGGGTGGCTGAATTTAATCCATCTTAGTGTTTCAACTTCTTGTAAGTTTTAAAGCACTGCTGTAAATCTTTCTCAGGATTTTTCTGTGTTGCCTTTTTGTAAATCGCTTTGAGGTGTTGGTGTATTATTAGTAGTAGTAGTAGTATACATGTTATTACAGTGGTACCTCGGGTTAAGTACTTAATTCGTTCCAGAGGTCCGTTCTTAACCTGAAACTGTTGTTAACCTGAAGCAGCACTTTAGCTAATGGGGCCTCCTGTTGCCGCCGCCGGAGCACAATTTCTGTTCTCATCCTGAAGCAAAGTTCTTAACCCTTGGTACTATTTCTGGGTTAGCGGAGTCTGTAACCTGAAGCGTGTGTAACCCGAGGTACCACTGTATTACTTACTTACTTACTTACTTACTTACTTACTTACTTACTTATTTTTAATTTTCCAAAAGCCAAAGAAATACAAAAAATACAGAAGAAACAAGAAGTTAAAAAAAGAAATAAAAATACAGAAAAATTTTAAAAAATTCACAGACCAAACCAAACATTCCCCTCCCCTCTTTTGAGATGTATGTAATGAATGAAAAAGAAAAATGAATAATTTCCGTTGTTCTTGAAGTTTGAATCTGGAGTGGACCAGGGGGGGTCTGGAGTTGTGAGGGCTCTTAATTTTGGAAAGACTTTGAAATATGCTTTTAAATACTTTCTGTACTACAGTGTGGACTGTGGGGAATGGGACTGTGGGGAATGGGCTGATCTGCTGAGGAGAGATGGAGATACTTTTGGATTGGAGGCCTCCCGAGACCTACCCCCCAATGAGAAAGGAAAGGAAATAAGAAAAAGATCAACAAAAGATAAAGTTAAGGGCAGGTATAAACAAGAAGAAGAGCTGCAGAAGGGACATGGAAAAGATTTAAGAGCCTCGGACATAAGAGCACCAGGTTGATGGATTAGATAGAGCGAAAGGACTGACAAAACCCGAGACCAGGAAGAAGAGACGATGGATGAAGATTGGAAGAAAGTTTCAAAATTGATTTAGAAAAGTATTGTAAAATTAATGAGTATTAGAAAAATGTTGGAAAGAAATTATTTGGCTCTAGCAGAAATGTCTTTTTTAAAAAAATTGTGTGTGGGTTTGATAGGAGCCCACAGAAAGTAGCCTCACCTCCTCCGCCATCGATGTCCGCCTCGCGGAACATGCGCTCCAGCTTCCGCAAGTGGTCATAGTTGATCTGGTCCTCCACCTGCTTGGTGCGAGACTCATCGTACAAGCCGGCAGCCTTCATCAGCTGCCTGTGGGATGAGCACACCGGGCCCAACTTGCTCAGGAGACCAGGAAGCCTGGGCTGGGAGGAAGGAAGGAAGACAGGGGGTCAGTCCGTCACCGAAAACACCAAAAGACACCCTTGGAAGAAAGGGCTTGAGCTGCCGCCATTTCCCTAAGTCATTGGTCCATTTCTTCACGTTTGGTGGGAATGCCCTTTCATAAAAAGCTTTTGGAAGTGAAATAAAAAAATTAAGGTCTTATATGTATAATAAGGGACGCGGGTGGTGCTGTGGGTTAAACCATGGAGCCTCTTGGGCTTGCCGATCAGAAGGTCGGCAGTCCGAATCCCCGCCACGGGGTGAGCTCCCGTTGCTCGGTCCCTGCTCCTGCCAACCTAGCAGTTTGAAAGCACGTCAAAGTGCAAGTAGATAAATAGGTACCGCTCCGGTGGGAAGGTCAACGGCGTTTCCGTGCGCTGCTCTGGTTTGCCAGAAGTGGCTTAGTCATGCTGGCCACATGACCCGGAAGCTGTACGCCAGCTCCCTCGGCCAGTAAAGCGAGATGAGGGCCGCAACCCCAGAGTCGGTCATGACTGGACCTAATTGGTCAGGGGTCCCTTTACCTTTACCTATATATTATGAAAATGGCCAATATACAGTAAACAAGCAGAAACTGCAACTGCCCTCGTTCCCCCATCAGTCAGCATAATTGTTGTTGTTTAGTCGTTTAATCATGTCCGACTCTTCGTGACCCCCCTGGACCAGAACACGCCAGGCACTCCTGTCTTCCACTGCCTCCCGCAGTTTGGTCAGACTCATGTTAGTAGCTTCGAGAACACTGTCCAACCATCTTGTCCTCTGTCGTCCCCTTCTCCTTGTGCCCTCCATCTTTCCCAACATCAGGGTCTTTTCCAGGGAGTCTTCTCTTCTCATGAAGTGGCCAAAGTATTGGGAGCCTCAGCTTCAGGATCTGTCCTTCCAGTGAGCACTCAGGGCTGATTTTCTTCAGAATGGATAGGTTTGATCTTCTTGCAGTCCATGGGACTCTCAAGAGTCTCCTCCAGCACCAGAATTCAAAAGCATCAATTCTACAGCGATCAGCCTTCTTTATGGTCCAGCTCTCACCATAATATATATGCTTTAGTAAAACAACCAGAGCATAAACAAGAAGTCTCTACAGTGGTGCCTCGCAAGACGAAATTAATCCATTCCGCGAGTATCTTCGTCTAGCGGTTTTTTCGTCTTGCGAAGCAACCCTATTAGCGGCTTAGCGGATCAGCGCTATTAGCGGTTTAGCGGCTATTAAAGGCTTAGCGGCTTAGAGGCTTAGCTGCTAAAAGGCTATTAAAGGCTTAGCGGCTTAGAAAAAGGGGGGGGAGCGAAAAAAAATCTCAAGACTCGCAAGACATTTTCGTCTTGCAAAGCAAGCCCATAGGGAAATTCGTCCTGTGAAGAGCATTGAAAAACGGAAAACCCTTTCGTCTAGCGGGTTTTCCGTCTTGCGAGGCATTCGTCTTGCGGGGCACCACTGTATAATGTATATGTTTCAGGGCTTGTACAGATTCAAGAATGGTGTATGCTACAAAGGAGAATATTTTGAGAATAAAATGGCAAAGGCATCTTTTATTATCCAGATGGATACTGATATGATGGAGGGTGGGTGGAGGACCAAAGACATGGAAGTGGCTTTTACTAAAATGTAAGTGGAGACACATACGATGGATAGTGGTTCAAACACTACAGGCATGGGCAAGGTACATATCTGTATCAGAGCCAAGAGCCACATTCACTCACAGTCAAATCTTCCAGGGTCCGTGCACTGGTGGTGGGCGAAAATGTGGATAGGGCTCTTGCATTTGCACAACAGGCCAAGTTCAAGCCAATTCAGTTCCAGAGCTTTCTGCACACAAATCTCCATCTAGGTAAGTTAAGAGGCATCATCACAGTTCAAGGCCACTTTGCAGCCAGGGGAAAGCACTGGCTGTAAACCAGAAGGTTGATGGTTCGAGCCCAACCAGGGACAGCTGTGGGCAAGATTCCTGAATTGCAGGGGGTTGGACTAGAGGAACCTGGTGGTCCCTTCCAACTCTACAGTTCTATGAAGCATGGCCAGAGAAGGCCTGGCAGAGAGGCCTCAGATATCCCAGATTACAGCTTGCTGTAAACCGCTTTGATATATTTTCATGGCATACGTACATACGACTTTTGACAGATGCATAAATAAACAACAGTACATCTTCCCAACTCATACTTACTGGGGCGGGAGCTGGTGCCGGAGGAAGCTGCTGAGTGGCAGGGTCTTTCTCAAATTCGAGGCCTCCCCTAAAAATATTGAAAAGAAAGCAAAACCAATGAGCACTTTTAAGTATTTGAAAGACAAGGTCCCCACTCCTTTGGATGGATTCAAGGCTGTGGGCTTTCAGCTTCTCTGAGATTTAAGGAGTGGTCTTGGGTGTGTTCCTCGTGCTCTGCCTCAGTGCTTCCTTCTGTAAAATGGGTAATGGTCACTCAACCAGGAAGCTCACACTTAGCTAGGAGCTTTATGGCACGTAAACCGAGGTTATGGGCACAACGATGGAATGTCTAGGTGCACTTTTTAATAACAAGAATACAAAGCTGAAAATGAATTGACTGCAGCTAAAATATTATGTTCATTTTTTTACATGGTCTAGCCCTTCCCCTGCCCACCCCCCTAATATTCTTAAGAGGGTCTCTTCTCCAGTCTTCAGAAAGTAGCTGGAAGTGGGCAGACAGAAAAAGGTCCTCCTTTCCTTCCATGCAGCAGTTTTAATCTGAAATCTTAGGCGCAGTACTGCACCCAGAGCTCAAAAACTGCTCATGCTACTGAAATTCATTATTGCAAAACGTGCCTAGGACAATGGGAATTTTGAGGGGAAGGGTTGCCAACTGACCTGAGAAAGGCCTCCTCCTGTGCCTTGAAGAACAGCTTGATCAACAGAAATCAGCAAGTGGGGCTTTTCCCAGCTTGCAAGAGAAGCACCAATCTATGTTTCATTATGATCCCACAGCAAATAACCCTCCTTAAAAGTAGTATGAGAGATTGGCACAGTTGCCTGTTAACAACAGCTGATCAAAGCTGTTGTGAAAGGCACAGGAGCGGAAGCTGGGAAAGAAAGTTGGCAACCTGAGCTGCAAGGGGAGCCTCAAAGAGGAGGCTGCCGGGAAGATGGAGAGCAGGCAGGTGGCAATGGGGACAGGGATGGTTTTCCCAGTAGTGATGTATGGAAGTGAGAGCTGGACCATAAAGAAGGCTGATCGCCGAAGAATGGATGCTTTTGAATTCTGGTGCTGGAGGAGACTCTTGAGAGTCCCATGGACTGCAAGAAGATCAAACCTATCCATTCTGAAGGAAATTAGTCCTGAGTGCTCACTGGAAGGACAGATCATGAAGCTGTCTAAGACTTTGGCCACCTCATGAGAAGAAAAGACTCCCTGGAAAAGACCCTGATGTTGGGAAAGATGGAGGGCACAAGGAGAAGGGGAGGACGGAGGACGAGATGGTTGGACAGTGTTCTCGAAGCTACCAGCATGACTTTGACCAAACTGCAGGAGACAGTGGAAGACAGAAGTGCCTGGCGTGCTCTGGTCCAGGGGGTCACGAAGAGTCGGACACGACTAAACAACAACATGCCAAGCAGAGGCAGGTATGCCAGGTAGTGAAAGCAAGGCCTGGAGTAGCTCGTTGCTGCTCCACAGAAGATGGGCGAGAGGAGGAGGCAGCAAAAAGAAGGCAGAAGCAGATGCTTGAAAACGAAGAATCTTTAAAAGCATTTGTGTGCACAAGCTTGCATCAACTGGAGCAAGAAGTGGTACCTTTCCGTTCAGCTCCGGACGTTCAAGATGCTATAACCACACTCTGTGCAGATCTGCAAAATTCTGGGAGATGCTTATGGGTGGCCAGCGATTAATCTGAAACGGATTTCTTTTCTAACGGCGTTCACTACTGCCCACGGGGAAGTAGGATCGTCAGCACGAGGCAGCACTTGCCGCTCTGCTCTGGCCAGTAAAACTGTTTTCTGCCAGGGATCTGAAAAGCCGGTAAACTCCAGGTTCCGTCCCCCCCTCCCAGGCCCCGCCCCTGAGATCCACCTGCCCCTCCTTTGGGGATTCCAGGCAGGCTGGAATCCCCAAGGGCAAGCGGCTTGGATGGGACCAAAGTTCAGCAGGCAAACAGCAGCTCTGCATGGCAAAAGAGGGGGCTCAGTCCCTGGCATTGCCTGCTAAGCGGGTCAGGGAGCCTGAAACTATTGGGTTCTTGCCGGAAGGAGTAGTGGGCAAAGCCAGGCTCCGTAGACTCCAGATACATGCACTGCTTCCTATGCCAGCTCACTGTATCCCCGGTTTTCCTTGACTGCAATCCCTCGCCCTGCTCCTTTTAAACATGGAACTGTAGAGTTGGAAGGGTCCCTGAGGGTCATCTAGTCCCACCCCACCCCAAATGCAGGCATGTTTTGCCCAGCATGGGGCGTGAACTCATGACCTTGAGAGCAAGTGTCTCTAGCGAATGAGCTATCCCAGTTTACATGTTGTTGTTTAGTCGTGTCCGACTCTTCGTGACCCCCTGGACCAGAGCACGCCAGGCACTCCTGTCTTCCACTGCCTCCCGCAGTTTGGTCAAACTCATGCTGGTCGCTTCGAGAACACTGTCCAACCATCTCGTCCTCTGTCGTCTCCTTCTCCTTGTGCCCTCCATCTTTCCCAACATCAGGGTCTTTTCCAGGGAGTCTTCTCATGAGGTGGCCAAAGTCTTGGAGCCTCAGCTTCAGGATCTGTCCTTCCAGTGATCACTCAGGGCTGATTTCCTTCAGAATGGATAGGTTTGAACTTCTTGCAGTCCATCGGACTCTCAACAGTCTCCTCCAGCACCAGAATTCAACATACAAAGAGCATTCACAGGATCATGCCAATGGTCTGCTCCTATCTGTTGATCAAAGACCCCTCCCAATCTCTGAGCATCTGCCGGATCAGGGCAGTGGCCCGTCTACTCCAGAGTCCTATTCTCACAGAGGCCAACCAAGAGGACCCAAAGGGAAACCACCCCCAGCAGGATCTGAACACAAGAGAAACTTTCCTCTCCTGTGGTTTCCAGCAATGGAGATCCAGAAGCATTGCTGCCTCCAGCCGAGGAGGGAAGAAAACAGCTTTCATGGCGAGTAGTCATTGACAGCCCTTTCCTCTGTGAATTGGTCTAATCCTCATCAAGGCTAGTGGCCCTCACTGCCTCCTATGGGACTTCCACAGTTTAACTATGTGCTGCATAAATAAGTACAGTGGTACCTCGGTTTTTGAATGTAATCCCATTCCGGAAGACAATTAGACTTCAGAAACGTTCGGAAACCGAGGCGCAAAGGGCGGTCTGCTAATTCAATCATGAAAATTGTGAAAAACAGCAGGTTCAGAGCAGAAGCCATTTGACTTCCGAGGCGCGTTTGAAAACGGAAGCATTTACTTCCGGGTTGCTGGCGTTTGGAAATCGAAACGTTCGGCAACAGAGATGTCGGAAAAGTGAGGTACCTGTACAGTCATACCTCGGGTTACAGACGCTTCAGGTTGCGTTTTTTCGGGTTACAGATGCACCGAAACCCAGAAGTACCAGAACGGGTTTCAACGCTTTGCACATGCACAGAAGCGCCAGATTGCAACCCGCGCATGTGCAGATGTGGCACTGCGGGTTGCGGACGCTGCAGGTTGCGAACGTGCCTCCTGCACGGATCACTTTTGCAACTCGAGTGTCCACTGTACTTTATTTTATGTCTCCTGTCCACTCAACAAAACTCTCTCACACACAACCCTGCTCCTCCCCATGTGTGAGCAACCCAGGCCCTCCATAAATCTGGGGGTAACTCCAGAACAGATTTGGGGGGCACAGAAGGAAGGAGTCTCATTGCACAAGCGGTGATAGGACGCTTACTTAGCACAGCATTGAAAATATACAGTCCCTCTTTAAGGCATAGGCTGCATCCTGTTCCTTGGGCAGGGCTGTTTTCCAAAGGGGCCTGACAGGCTACATGGACTTCCGAGTGCACTCAGCAAAGTCTTTGATGGGCAGAGGTTCAACAGGTGAAGCGTTGCACAGCTTGGAAGTGCAGCAGATGGGAGAAGCTGCACCTGTTGGTTTCTTTGGCTTGCCATTGACAGCCCTCTCCTCCCTGTGGTGGGTGGGGGCTAACTTGTTAAATCTTTATTTTTTATCTAAATTTAAATCTGAATCTAAATTTTAAAGGATTCATAACCTTGTTTTTATCCTGCCATATACTGCTTTGATGGCCGCAGGCTGTGAAGTGGTTTATAAATTTGTAAAACAAATTATAAATGAATAGCTGTTTTCCAGGGAATCTATGTCATCTAGGATGTGCTTGCTGCTCAGGGTACAATGCTCACTTGGCTCTTGTGGGACCGCAACTGTGATAGGAATTTTATGGTCTTAGATATATGGTAATGTTCATAAGTGTACCAACCAAGCACGTACATAGATCAGCACTGGAAGACCAACCTGGAACCATTTTGATTCCTAAACTGAGCCAATGTTTTCTCTGCAAGGTCAAAGTGGGAAACCTTCCCATTGTCTCTTTCCTCACAAATCCTGTCTTAAGGGCACATTTAAGATATGAATAGGGTGTGAGCCTGTGACCTGGCCCAGGAACTAAGTATTTATCACTACAAAAGAATGGCCAGGCTCCCCAGGCTATCCAACCAAGTAACCTGCCAGACAGGAGATAAACAACGACAGGAGAAAAACAACATTCAAATTTCTGTTTTAAGACTGCCTTTTCTGTGATGTAGGTATGATGTTTCTGGGGTTGGTCTTGATCTACAGGGTGGGGATTTCAAAAGTCTTTATAAGGCCTTGCGCGCCATTTTTCTGGGTTCCTCCTCTCTCCTGCGGGTGAGGGGAGCACCCTGTTGCAACAGATCAATAAAAGATCAGGCTTACTAGCTGCTTTGCTTCTCAATATTCTCTGGTTGGCCTCTGTTACTCTCTCCTACCAATAGGGAACCTATGTAAGGACTCTATATGGGCTCTTGGATACCCCATAAGGGGAAAAGGGCAATTTTTGTTTACAACACAACTCTCATAAGTACAGCTGCGTCGGCTTGGGACTGATGAGAGTTGCACTCAGGCAACATCTGGAGGGCACCAGGTTGGCAGACGGTTGGCTGAACGCGCAGGATGTGACAACCTTGCAAGGGCAAAGCAGGTCAGAGTCTCAGTTCTGCCTGACACACACACTCAAGATGCTGCCTTCAATCAATCATGTAAGGTAGCCAAGATGGCGGTGTTGGAACTACAACTCCCAGAACCCCCAACTATTGGCTGGGCTAGCTGGGGCTGATGGGAGCTGCAGTCCAACAACACCTGGACACAAAAAGATGAACAGCTTATGAAAGCTGTTTTAAGAGATGCCACGCTACAGCCAGAATTTTGCAGGCTCTTACCGTATTTGTCGCTCTATAAGACGCACCAGACCATAAGACGCACCTAGTTTTTGGAGGAGGAAAACAAGAAAAAAATATTCTGAATCCCAGAAGCGAAAGCAGCAATCCCTCTTGCTGTTCTGGCTTCTGGGATAGCTGCGCAGCCTGCATTCGCTCCATAAGACGCACACACATTTCCCCTTACTTTTTAGGAGGGAAAAAGTAAGTCTTATAGAGCAAAAAATACGGTAATCTGTTTTGCAGGATGTTGCCTTCCCTTCACCTGTAGTCAGACTCAAAGGGTGCACTGAGGAGCCATTGCTGCTGAGAGAGTTGAGGCATCAGCTGTCATGACACACACACATGTGCTTTCGCATATCATGTCTGGGACAAACAAAACTGTGCCCCGCATCCTTGGCCCATCAAGCCCACTGTATCACCTGGTCTGACTGGCAGCAACGCCCTCTGCAAGGGAATCCCAGGAAGACCAGTGACTCTTTGGCTGGGTCGTTCCCACGTTTGGGAAATTGGTAAGTTACCTGAAGGAGCAAATGCATAGCTTAGAGGTACTCCTGGGAACATCTTTGCTGCTAGAGGCCCAAGTTTCCTCTCTGGCTAGGACTGCCTTTTATCAGCTTTGTTTGGTTCACCGACTATGGCCGTTCCCAGACAGGCATAGCCTGACCACTGAAGTCCATGCATTGGTAACCTCAAGGCTAGACTACTGTAATGTGCTCTCCGTGGGGCTGCCCTTGGGCCTGGTTCAGAAGCTCCAGCTGGCGCAGAAGTGAGAGCTTCTGGTCAGAAACATGTGGCACCGTTGTTAAAGCAGCTGCCCTGACTGCCCATCGACTACCAAGCCAGGTTCACAGAATGATAGTATCATAGAATTGTAGAATTGGAAGGAACCACAAGAGTCATTTAGTCCAAGCCCTGCAAGGCAGGAATCTCAGCTAAAGCAGCTATGGCAGATGACCATCCACCCTCTGCTTAAAAGTCTTCAAGGATGGAGAGTCACCCACCTCCCAAGGGAGACCACTCCACTGTCAAACAGCTCTGATTGCCAAAAAGTTTTTTCCGTATGTCTAGCCGGAATCTCCTTTCCTGCAATTTGAAGCCATTGGTTCGAGTCCTACCTTCCAGAGCAGGAGAAAACAAGCATGTTCCCTATTCCATGTGACAATCCTTGAGGTATATGAAGATGGCTATCATATCTCCTCTCTTCCAGATGGGTGGCACTGTGGTCTAAACCACAGAGCCTAAGGGCTTGCCGATCAGAAGGTCGGTGAGCTCCTGTTGTTTGGTTCCAGCTCCTGCCAACCTAGCAGTTCAAAAGCACGTCAAAGTGCAAGCAGATAAATAGGTACCGCTCCAGTGGGAAGGTAAACAGCGTTTTCATGCCCTGCTCTGGTTCGCCAGAAGCAGCTTAGTCATGCTGGCCACATGACCCGGAAGCTGTACGCCGGCTCCCTTGGCTATAGAGCGAAATGAGCTTGCAACCCCAGAGTTGTCCATAACTGGACCTAATGGTCAAGGGTGCCTTTACCTTTTATCATATTTCCTCTTTTCCAAGCTAAACATACCCTGTTTCTTCAACCGCTCCTCACAAGGCTTGGTTTCCAGACCCTTGATCATCTTGGCTGCCCTCTTCTGCACACCTTCCAGCTTGTCAATACCCTTGTCTTAATTTATAAAGCCCTGAATAATTTAGATGCAGAGTACCTTAAGGATTGCCTGAGCCATTCTATCCCAGCTCGATCAGGGAGAGAGGGCAGGTAAACAGGGAGTGACTATAATACACAGGGACACCTTATTATCTACCAGTGAGCTTCAGAGAGGGTAACAAACAAGCAGCAGAGAGGACCCTGCCTCCAAAGAGCCTACAATCCACATTTAGGACTGCCACCAGCCAGCTGGGTCTAGTGGGTGGGGAGGCTTCTTAAGCACAGAGCACATTCTCCATGCACACATAGGCAGGCGTTGGAAGGGGAAGGGAGAGCCTTTCACCAAACGCATAAGCATATTCTGATTTAATGTGAATTTGCATTTCTGCTTGGTGCACAGGTAGGAAGTTGGGAGCAGACAAACACATTAAGGGAAAGATCCGGTGGCCCTGCCCCAACACTCACCAGCTCACGGAGGGGTGGACGCTGAGTTTCCGGGGTGTGCTCAGCAGGGAACTTGTGGGCCTCTCCGTGCTGCTATCTTCATACCTATTGCCCTCCATCTTCAGCAAAGAGCTCAGCAGTCCGCTTGCTTAGTATCCAACCTCTGCAGGACTCTGCAATCAACTTGCAAGGATTCAGCCGCTTGAGTGCCAATAAACTCAACTGTGATGTCACGCTTCAGAATGATTACCTCATTTCACTGAACTTCAGGAAGAGACAGCCGGGGCCTAGAATTCTCTCTGCTAAGCATGCACTTAAAATATTGGTTTGAGATGAGGGTGGGAGGTGTGAGTTCAAGGACTAGTAAATGAATAGAATGTTAGACAGGGAATGTGCGGGGGTAACAGGCAAAGGCAGGCTGGAATTTTCCCCCAAAGACTATGCTTACAACAGAGGATTTGAGGTGGTGTAGGTCTCTTCTTCAGAGGAGTAGCTCCTGGTAAACAGAAATGGGAGGCGATATTTGGGGCATATGGGCGTGCATAGGGAGAGGGGCAGAGATGCAGCAGCCCAGTTGGAAATGATCTTCCGGAGCACTCAGTAAAACCAGACGACAAAGGAAAGCAGGTGAAATCAGAGCTGGGGCACAAAAATGTAAGTGTTATTTGCAAATTATAAAAGGGACACAGAACGAAGAGGAACCACAGTCAGAGTATTGGTCAGATATTTTAGTATAGATTGTGGTTCCATGTTGTGATGGGTTTGGGGGACGTTGGTGTTTGTGTGCAAGATGCCTTAGCAGGGCTTAACCTGAAAGCAAAAAATATTCCAGTAGCTATCAACTACTAGGCAGAATGGCTTTGCTCTAACCTCCACTGTCAAATACCAGTTTCTAGTGATATTCAATTTCTGCTCAGTATAGACCTATTGAAATTAATAGACCCAACTTTGTGGGTTTCGTTAATTTCTTTGGGTCTACCCTGAGTAAAACTTAGTTGACTACCAACCACCCCTGTTATCCCAGGTTCTAGTCAAACACTCAAGGGCTGTACCACATTGACTTTGTGTCCCCATGAATTCTTCCAGTCTTTAAACGGCTTTGCCACACTAGGCAGGGCAATGTGGACGTCCCGTAGACGGGGACAACCAAAACCTACTTCCTAAACTGCAGGTCCCTTTTTCTTTGCGTTCATTTAGGATATCACAACTGGAAGAACTTTGCCCTGGATGACTGCAAACCACATTAGCTAAACTTGAACGTTGCTTGTCCAGATGTTGACCACGGAGCCCAACTATTGAGTGTACATCTGAGAAGGGAAAGTCCTGTCCTTTCGAAATAGGTAGGATTCTATAAGTGCATTCTGTTCCCCCCAGGATGTGCAGGACAGATTGAGATGCTCGTGGGGCAACTTCATGATGTCCTGCGCTCTAAGTGAGGGCATCCCTGTACATTGTGTTTACCTCTGAAGGCTGCCTCAGCTTGAAGCCACAACAGGAAGAGAGTGGGTTGCAGCCCAAAAAAGGGAGGCGTGTCACATTCCCAGAGGCTATTATTGCATGGTCTTTTCTCCAGCACTGGGCTTCAATTCTAAAAGCACTGCATTTTTATGTAGTGCCTTCATTTCACTCTCTTAAATGGAGGTGTGTCAATCCTAGATAGCCAAAACAAGTGGGAGGAGAATAGCAAGCTTTAAGGAAAAAAAGGCTATGCATGTTCCACTGTGGTCTAGGAGGCTTACTCTCAAGAAAGTGTGTTCCAATTCAATAGTACTGTGTCCATTTGAAAGCTGGGGAAAGGGAACTGGCTAATGCCCTGTTAGTTTAGGGAGATTACATTTAATCACTGGGTATCATGGTAGCAAGTGAGTCCCTTTGAGCCAATTCTCAAGTCTCTGGCATTAGGAAGGGCCATGACCTGGCTGTTAGCTTTCTGCCACTGGGAACAGGATGGGCATCTCGTGGCCAAATTCTCTCCATTCCTGGAGTGGAAACATTTACAACCTACTTCAGTGTTGTATGGGTGACGATCTGTAAACTGCTTTGAACACTGCAAGTTTCAAACAAATCTTTACCCAGCCAGAGAAATCACGATTCTGTGAAGACAATATTTTAATTGAAATGCTTGTAGTTTTATTTTAGTCTTGGAACAGTTACAGTAAGAATTGTCATTGCAAGTAAGAAGGTTGACAAGACTGAACAACAAGAGTTAAGAAAAGATATCCTGCAAGCCCACTTGCAAGACCAGACGTACGCTGTGGGGTACAGACAGGTCCATGTCTTAGTTTTTGGTTGTTCTATTTAGTCTGCCTTCCACATATCTTCAAAAAAGGCCAAGATTAAGGCAGGCTTGCTTGCATTTTTATTTTTCCCCAAATGAAAGGATCCTTTCAGCAGGAGAGGACTTTGCATCAGGTACTGTACCAGAAGAGCAGATTTACTATCATTTTGGGAGGAGAGGTTGTGGCAGTTCTTGGCCCAGATGACACAATGAAGACTTCTTACATATTATACGCAACTCATTAAAATCTCAACACTTCTCTGGCCAAAAAGTGGGAGTTCTACATGTGAAGCTGCTACACGCCAGATTAGGTATCTTATTCTGGTGAAGACACAGCAAACATCAACTGTACGATGCCATAAAGGCGTCATCTCTAGGACAGCAGCTGAGATTGTCACAGTTCACCAGGTAAACTGACCCACCTGCCTCTACCCCCCTTCAGCAAAGACAACCCTGTGGCACAAACACAGCCAAAATAATGATGTTGTCCTTGTGAGATAGGTATGAACTAGGCGGAGCCTCCTACTATCAGAGCATCAATACCTTGCAGACAATACATTTTCCTTCACGTGTGCAGGCAGCCAAACAGCAAAAAGATTTGGTGTGTCATTTTAAAAAACCCCAGCTAACTTCAGTGGATTGCTACGTATCATTTGCAAAGAGCTGTTACTCTTATAGTAGTCTTCAGAACCAGAGAAGGTATCTTGGGCAGTTATAAATGAAGAGTTGTCTCGTGGAACAAGCAGCCTCCATTGCCCATCTGTGCAGGCACTCAAAAAGTTTAACATGTGATAAGACATCACAGCAAGCAACTGCCTCTACATGAGGCTGCTTGTCAAAGACACTGACAACACACAGACAGAACTATCTACATGAGTAATAAGGTAACCCGGTGTTTCGTGGGCAGCAAGCCGCCACAGAGCAAGCACACAGAGTCACAGCAACTTTTGTTGAACAACCCTATTGCTAGCAAGGGATATCGGGAGGAACACACTGAAGCTCATCCTCAAGACGTTCTTTCACAAAACTGGTACAAATTGTGTCCACAGGGTTGCAGTGTGGTGCCCTTAGTAGCAATCTGATGCTGGGCAACTTCCAAGCAAAGAAACTGGGATCTCTGGGGGCCCAGAACAGAACCAGACCCACAAGAACATGACACTCCAGCAGACAGTTGCATTCTTGAAATAACAGAACTTTATTTAGAAACTGTTTAAAAGTAGAAAAAACCCTGTCAAGAGGAGTCTGGGTGGAATATGGTTTAGGGCACAAAGTATCTAGAAGGCCACAAGAGAAATAGCACCTCTGATGTTTTAAATAATGGCTTGCTTTTTTTGGCATTTGATGAATTTGGGTCTTCCTCTGAATTTCCATAGGGATTCATGCACTACACAACAGTTACCATAAAATGCTTTGCTTTCTACACACATTTAGAACACATAACCACTGGAAGCAAATGAACAAGAGCACACCAAGCCCAGAGGCTCAGTCTTAGCTGTGGCTGTGGGCAAGATCTCAAGAGGGCCCTCCCCAAAGAGCAGCAATCGACAGGGGGGGGGGGTAGGTGGGCGGGATTTGCTCCACGTAAGAGAGACAGGGTCAAGCATGAAATACTGTAATCGAGACTCATCTGAGCGCTGTATTTTCTGCAATATTGGATTTCCTATTTAATGCACACCAATCAGTGTTCTTTGCCAGGAGCACTGGCAAAGGCTTAAACGTTGGGAGGCTAACTCAAGGAGGACACACACAAACAGAGAGACAGTCTGGAGATCAAGACTGGCCTCAGTGCAGCACTGCAAAACAAAACTACCCAAATCAATACAGTTTAGTCAGCAGGCTTGGAAGAGGAGGAGGAGGAGGAAGGGGGCGCAGAGAGGAATAGGACCCACAAAATTCAATGGACCAGAGACACAAAAGCAGGTGGTGGGTGAGGGAGGGGGCTGGATGCAGGCTGCGAATTAGGTGAAGAGTTTCAAAAGGGATAGCCTTTTTGGTTTGGAAGACACCACATGCCATTGGCCACAGTACAGCAAAACCGAGAGGCCTTCAAGCACATCCGTATCTTACGCATTCTAGTCTTGCAACAGGCTACATACAGTAAAGTCTTTCCCCCTTACGACAGTCAGTGATCAGGAGGGCAGCTCTGAATAGATATTGGGCTGTTCTAATTACCCCTTACAGAGCCCTTACTGACTTGAGGCGCCAAGCAAGTCCTTCCAAAACAAGAAAGCCAGATGCTCAAACCCTAATATAGAACACACAAAATCTCTCATCACATTACTTCAATTTGGCATCTGGAAGCACATTTTAAGCCCCCTTAAGGCATCTCTTTAATTGCAGAACACATTTCATATTTGCTCAACCTTCCTGCGAAAAAGTCAATCCTGAAATTGCTCCACTACATACTCCCCACAGCCCACAAAAAGAAAAGAAAAACAGTATAGCAAACTCTCCACAAATCAGTGCCTTACCAGCAACCAAGCAACTCTGCAAACTCCAAATATTCAACCCCTTGCTTCCAAATTACACCAACTAGATGTTAATACTGCTCTGCTACAAAAGTGAGAAAAGAGCTCTCAAATTAAACCCATTGGAGGGGGGGAAGTATTAAAACTTACGCAAAGTGCACTTCAAGAGGTACTTTTTACTTATGAAAAGAATAAAATGGAGTATTTTAAGCACATGATTGGGGAAAGCTGATTTCTGAATTCTGCTATTGCTGCTCTGCTGGTACAGTCGGTGGACCACTAATACTCCTCTTGCTCCTCTGGTGGCGCTCCTTCATCTGGTATGACAAAACCTTCCTGAAAGGGAAAACAGAGATGCAGAGACCACTGCATTAATCAGCAAGGAACAGGGGGCAAAGGCAGGATGCCACCTTCCCTTAGAACAGGGGTTGCCAACCTTTCTAAACCAGTGGGCACACTGAGATTTTTTAAGTGCACTGTGGGCACCAGTCACAAAATGGCTGCCAAGGTGCAACATAAAATTAGAGAGAGTACTGTGCTGGTAGGTCTTTCCTCAAAACTGCATACTCAAAGAGGTGTAACCTACTGAATTTCTGCCTGCCACGCAGTTGCTAATGGCACAAGAGTCCTATTTTTCCCCAGTGCCAACCCTAAAACAGAGCCTAGCCTGGGCAGACGTGTATACCATTGTACTGCAAACTGACAACACAGTGAATCCTTAATGAGTGGCCGGCTTTTGATTCTACACAACAAGAGACTTACCTAAGCTTCCCTGCAAAATCTGCGCATTTTGCATTTGCCACTTTGCCTTTTTTGTAAAGTGGGTGAGAAGGACACCTTTTCTGTTGTGGCGCCCGCTCCACGGAACCACCTTTCTGAATTATGCTGGGCGCTCATATGAATAGTATTTTAGCACCTGCTGAAAACTCATTTATTCCCAAGTCTCTGCTAACAATTAACACCAGTCTGTTTGTTTGGGTTTTAGTATCTACATGGTTATTGTTTAGGTGTTGGTCTTGTAATTTTTGTACTGTGCTGTATACCACTTTGTGGTTTTCAAATGGAAAGTGGTATATTATTATTTTAAAATAATAGTTAAATAACCCCCACTGAAACCAGTGAAAACTGTACAAGAATACTTCTGAGTGGTTGAGGAGCTGAACTTCTCAGTGGGGTTTGCACAGGAGGGATCTTCCTAACTAAACTGTGTCCCAAACGCTGCTGCAAGAGCAAGCATAGGCATGATCTGGAATGTCTAAGCCAGAAATTGGGGGAAGCATTCACCAGATACTTACATCCGTGGCATAAAGAATCTCCACAATCCTTTGAAGAACAGGGTCACTCTCTCCTTCATTCTCCTGACAGATCAGCTCAATGTTCCTCAGTTTTCCAAAGTAGAAGTCTCTTTCCTTCTCCAAATCTTCCACAGTCATCTTTAATACATTGATCTGCCAGAGAACAATTCACAGTGCTTCTTACAGAGAAAATGCTTGTGCCCAAGAAGGAACAAAGGGGAGGGCTTGCACATTTAAGGCTGCAATCCTAAGTCTCATTAAACTCAATAGGGCTTGTTACCAAGTAGATGTGCATAGGATTGCATTGCAATGTTGCTCTACCAATGAAATGCAAGCGGTTTTTGTGGGTGGGTAACTCAGAGACAACTTTGTATGTTTTGAGGTTTTAAGCAACACTGTACTCCTCTTAAGTTAGATGAACCAATGGTGTGCAATGTAATGGGTGGGCAGTTTAAGCAGCAGTTTTCAGCACAGCTCTTGTGGTAAGAATGGCGTGGAAACAACTTCACCAAGGTCCAGTCCCAAAGCAACATCTGTAAGGCAGCCAGGGCAGTCACCATATCATGTGGTTCTACTTACCAAGACCAATTTGAGCAACATAACCACTGCCAACAACTCTCTTCCGCTACACATTTGGAGTCTATAGCTCATGAATGTAGAATATGGGTGGAATTCAATGTCATGCTAAGGCATTTTTGCTTGTCAGGTAGAACAATCTTTCTTCTCCCCCCATGTGCTATTCTGGGAGGGGGGGTTCCTGATCCTCCCAAGAAGATTTGGGGAGCGCATGGGGGTGGAGGCAAAGGGGAGTACTGTTGCACTAGCAGTACTTGTGCTGGCTTCTAAGAGCACAACCACTTAGCTGAATCTGGCCCGATGTCTAACAATACTGTTCACATCTCCATTACAAAGACGTGATCAGCACAGAAAACTCCAAAGTATCTCTCCCACAATCATGTTACTTTGTGATAATACACTGCAGTGCATTTGAGAGTCAAGACCACCCATGCTGTGAGCCTCTGCTGATCGGTGCAGCCTACTTGCTGGAAGCCCACCTGCTGGATCAGTTCAGCCGACTCTTCTTCCCCAATTCCTCCAGGAGCCTTTTTAACCATCGCAGGTCCAGTTTTATTAGCCACTGTTGTTCTCTGTGCAACCATGGGCCTCGCTGGGGCTGCAACACAGAAGGGTATTAGCTGCAGTTCCAAAATGCCCATTCCACACACCTGTGCTCCACATATTAGCCAACTAAAGTGAGACAGCACCCAAAGTGTACCATCCGGTGTGCAGGAAAGCACCTTAACCCTATAGCCTCAAAGAATGCCACCTCCCTGTGAAGTGCTAAGTACCGAACACAGGCTTTACAACCGCTTTCTGTAAGGAAGCAGGGCGCTCTACTCTTGCTGCTTTCTGTTCTTGAGTTCCCACAAAACTGTGATCTACAAAAGGAAAGCATTTCTAGCTGTTATATGCTGAACTGAATTACACAGTATACCACCAGATTAGGAGCACCTGGTCACAGGTAAGACACAAGGCAATCCCCTTCCTGCTGGGGAGGAGCAGGATTAAAGGGCAGTCTCAAGCAAAGGGTGTTTGTTTCCTGACTGGAGACTGGCACACCCTTGTGAAATATAGGAAGCGACAAGTTTCAACAACAGCCTGGATTTCAACAATGACTCGCAGGCATACATTAAAAGGGCTGTGCAAGTGCCAGAGTGTGAACACATCTTCACACAAGCACAACCTTGCACCACCTCTCAGTGCTAAGCATAACTCCAGATATGAACCTGGATGGCACGTGGATGCTCATGCTATGTATTCATACTGGCACAAGAGGAATGAGGAGACAGAGCACACAACAGCGAGTCTCTGCCTCCAACAGAGACTTCCTCTCCAGGCTGCCACCCAATCCTCAGGTTCCTTGCTAGCAGCCTCTGGGCAAAAGCAGCCAAAGAATCTGGATCCCGCAAGCGCCTCACCCATACACAACGCGAAGGCATCCAATTATGAGAGCCCTGAACCACGAAGCTGGCCTGGTCAGACAGATTTGTCAAGAGCTTGCCTTACCTGTGCCAGTAGAGCTAAGATTCTTTTTGGGTTTGTTGAGCAGGGGTACGACAAGAGCAGGGGCTGGTGCCGTCTCCTGGCCTTGCCGAGCTGCCACGGGGTCATAGTCTTTCCCATCGTAGTTTGCATCAAAGAATTTTTTGAACCACTGAACAAATTCAAAATTATCCTGGAATTTTCCTTTCACTAATTTGTCCACAGGAATTATCTGAGGGAAGAGAGGAGTATATTTAGTCCAATGAGAAAAACAAAACACTCAAGATGTTTCTGAGATGAGTGGACAGAACTTGCCGGCTCCCATTCAAGAGATTCCTCCAGAAACTTGAGCCAGGCGTGAATAGGTAGGCCCAAAGTTTTCTGCACAGAGGTCATATTCCAACAAACTCTGGAGTGCATGCAGAACGCCAATAAGGAAGCAAGCACGGGAATGATATCAAAATAATGTTACAACAAGGAAAGCCGGTTTTTATAATATTCTCTCCCATTCAGAGTTTAAAAATTGTGATGCAACAATTGTGTCTGATGTTCTTCTGGCCCTGTCAGCCTCTTACCTGCAGTCTTCAATACACACTGTACATGTTTGAATATGCTATTCTGCCATTTTTCTGCTTTAAAGTCAGGTGCAATTGGTAATTTTAAAGTGATAATTTAAAATACAGTGGTACCTCGGGTTACAGATGCTTCAGGTTATGCGTTTTCGGGTTGTGCACTGCGCCGAACCCGGAAGTACCAGAACAGGTTACTTCTGGGTTTCGGCAATCACGCTTTGTGCCAAATAGCAACCCGTGTGTGCACAGACATGGCACTGCGGTTTGCAAACGTGCCTCCCGCACGGATCACGTTCGCAACCCGAGGTTCCATTGTAACGCAATTTTAAATTATGATTAAACTCAATCTGCCTTGCTCTCCACCACCATCGGCCACAGTCTCTCTGCACTCTCCTCCACCTCTTATTCTTTCCCCACCACAGAAGTCTCTGCACCTCTTCCCTGTTAAGCCCCAAGTGAATCCAACTGCGGCTGAAAGCAGCACATCAGGGTAAAGCACCAAATTCAATCACCATACGACAGGTGGGCAAGGCTGGCCCCAAATGGCCTGGTGGGTCTAATTAGGCCTGTGGGCCAGAGGTCCCCCATAGCTACTTTTCCGCATGTATACTGGTATAGTTTATGTGTATGTCTGGAAAAACACAGTACAATGTTAACACAGATTTTTACAGAGTGAGGTAGGAACGGGGATTTGGAATTTTCTCCTGAGGCCACAAATCATTTCAGAGTTGGTTGGCACACAGCCTTTCATGTTCTGCATAACTGATACAAAAGGAAAAGTGCCAGAAACCTTTAGAAAATGGAACCATTTAGCCTTTGGTAGTGGGCTGAGTCAGGGTGGGCTGAGATGGTGCAAACTATCCACAGCCCTCATGGGGAAGCCAGCAGTCTTCCATTGCTATTTTCATCGGTACAAAAGGGGCCTACTTGGCATATCACACATGCCCTAACGAAAGCTCAACAGCTAATTTTTTTTCCCCTAAGGAAAAGCAGCTTAGAGGAAGGTGCTTCCCCCCCCCCCCCCCGACATTTCTCTGCTACAAAGTGCTCTTTTCTCCCACCGATTTCCTCCTGTGGGGCATCAAAATGCATCTGTTCTTACACAGTTTTGGAAGCCGTGTGTGTGCTGGGTTGGTGGAGGGAAGCATATTTTACAACCAAAAAGTAGGCAGACGCCAAAGAGCCTCCTTTCCCTCCACCACCTTCCCCCTCTCTTGCATGCATGTTTGCTTCATGCAAGTAGCCTCAAAGGCTGGTTCCCACTGAGGGAAAGCAACCGCTTCCAGGCAAGTCACACGGGGATCTTTCGCTTAAATCTACACTATGACAAGGTCACCTTCAAGACAAGCGGAGGCAGTTTTGCTGTTGTAGGCTGACAAGTGTTTTTGCACTTGTCTGACAAGTTGCAAAAAGGGAGAGTTTGGATGTTCTGCCCTTCTATAGAAGACTATGAATTATTAGTCCATGCACAGTAGTCCAGGGAAGTGTACTTCTGCTGCTTCTTGGAATTTTTCATTATTTCAGTGCTCTTATAGTTTTAATTCAACAGCAACTATTGTATTTATAGATCTTTTCTGTACAAATCAGGGAAACAGCTTTAAAAGACAGGAACTGCAACTGAGACCAAGATATGGTTAGTTAAATGCAGATGGCATTCAGCATTATCTGAAGAAATGCACCTAGTTTAGGCTGACCAATACTGTTAGGTGACAGAACCCCTGATTTATCAACTTTTAATGAGAAACTGAGCAAGTAAACACTGCCTGATGAGTGGCAGCTGCCAAGAATAAGTAGAAAAGATCAGCAATTTAGGACAAAAGCAACACCAAGACTGTAAAAGAAAAGGAATATTTTAAGCCATCATCCTGAAAACTGCATTTTTCCATAAAGGTGATTCAAAGCAAGTGCATTCCAAGACAAAAGAGCTTACTTTGTCAACACCCATTCGTTTAAAACCTGCTTGTAGGACCTTGTAGTTTTGGATGTATTCGTGTTCCAACTTTGCCTGGAATTTTACTTTCTTCAGTGTTACAGAACCAGGGAACAGCATATCCATAAACTGACAATAAGCAGCACCTGAAAGGATAAATAAAAACAGGCACACTTGTGAAAAATTGAACTCGAGCAAGTGGAATGTGACGAAGACAAGAAGTAATAGAAATGCTAGCATATTCACAACAGTAGCAATCGCCCTCCTGCAACCACATTTCAACAAGCCTGTGGGAGTGCAGTATGACCAGACATCCACTACAGCTGTCTCTGGGATTGCAAACCCTTAGAGCAGTCACTAACAAAGTTTTAAGTTTTGCAAGAAAATCCATTCTTCCATCTCCCACCCTATTCAACAAATAAGACAGGGGAGATCATGAGTTCTACCGCCTTTACAGTTCCTGGTTAGCAAAACCAGACCACTGGTAAGTCACTAGTCAACACACTGCACGGCATTATGGACAAACACTTCCAAGCTGTGACAATAAATTTGTCTCTTTGCTTGCTTTAGCAAGAGGTGCCTTTCCTCAACCCATGCTACTGCCACAATAAGACAACCACCCTTCGTTCAGGGATAGATATACCCTATTACATGGGTAGGCAAACTAAGGCCCAGGGGCCAGATCCAGCCCAATCACCTTCTAAATCTGGCCTGCGGACGGTCTGGGAATCAGCGTGTTTTTACAGGAGTAGAATGTGTGCTTTTATTTAAAATGCATCTCTGGGTTATTTGTGGGGCATAGGAATTTGTTCATTTTCCCCCCAAAATATAGTCCAGCCCCCCACAAGGTCTGAAGGTCAGTGGACCGGCCCCTGCTGGAAAAGTTTTCTGGCCCCTGCCCTATTATCATTGGCATTCAGCTGCTCCCCACAAACTGGGACATGTCCAAGCAACAGCCCTTATTCAACACATGCTAAGTAAAGGCGGTGCTATAAGCCTGCAATATTGCTACTGAACAGCTACCTCATTGCTGAGAACCTGTTACTGTGGAATATGCAGGCGCCAACATTTCCACTTCTCCCAACACCTTAACACTTAAATCAAGCCCATGATCAAAGTCAGTCACAGATTCTAAGAGAACAGATACCACAATAGAAAAAGCAGACATCTTCTGCAGGAAGGTAGCATGGAACTTTAACATCCCGGACTGTAACATTCCCTGTACCTAAACACAGTGGGCACATTCCACATGGAATATTACCTACACAAGGAAATTTATTTATAAGCGGCTTGAATGAAAAAGAATTCTCCAAGTTGTGCACAGATAAAATGATAGACAAAGCATAGCTGCCCTTCCACATTCTCATAAGGATGTCAGCCTTCCCCAAAAGCAAAATACTTCAGGAGTTGAAAACAAATTCAATGGACTCACAACATGAGGTAATTGTTATGCATGACTGTTATGTTACACTTACTCATGGCTTCTGAAAAATCACTTCACTTGCTGCATTTTTTTTGTTGTGTTAACAAAGCTCCACAGGTGGTACAATGAGGAAATTACTGTGACTGACCAGTTTGCTTCAGACAGTACAGGAGAATGGTAGTTAAAGCAGACTGCAAATAACCATTAAGGACAACATCTCTCAAAGTCTAGTTCTCCTCAAGCATAACAAAGGTGTTTCCGATCACCCTGATGAATCTAGAAGATTTTATTGTGATTACTCAATGACTGTTAACCTTCAAGAATGAGAATTCCTCAGTTCCCATTTCCTTACATCTTGATCCTATTGCTTCCTCAATCACTTCTGTTCTGTGGCAGCCATCAAGTTGACTACTCCAAAATTAACACAACACTTTATTTTTCCACTTTGTCAAAGCAGAATTTTTATCTTAGTGCCAATTCTTCTTCACTCTGAGCTCAGTACCCCCTCAACAGCACACATGTAGCCATGGATGAGGGCAGCACTGCTCCCCATTGCAGGTAATAAATGTTATGTATTAAACCTCTCAGTACATTTGCCCGGCCATGTATTCACTTATCTCATTCTTTACACCCTCCTTTTCCATCAATCAATTTTTCACAATGACCATCACTGCCTGCACTGTGTAGTTCCTAATTCAGATGTGACTTGAAAGCTCTCCTAGATCTTCAACAGTTACTGTGTCTGCACTAAGATATGCCTCATTCTCCCTTTGCTTTTCCTATTTGTACTGTACATTACAAGTCCACAAACTCGGTTTAACATTAAAAACAAAAACAAAACAAACAAGCAGCATTACAGCTTTGCAACACAGAAGCTCTGCTACCATCGCTATGGATTCATCTCCTTTGAGGTTTATCCACAGTACAGAGGTCTTGTGCAAGCATTGCTAACACCGGGCAACCTTCCATAGGGATTAATATAGGATTTTCAAAAACAGAACCTAGTTTTATCTTCTGCAAAGCTTAGAAATTCCCTTAAACAGAGGTGGCCCACGTTGGAATTCAGGTGTGGAGCCCAGATGGATTCAGATTGTTCCACTGGCTACATCTCTGCTAGAGATGGATGATATATAAATATTTTGTCTCTTACTGGTATGAACTCCAGAACATGATAAAGGATTAGAAATTTTTCACCCTGTAATATATAGAGAATGCACTGCCCTGCTGACCCAGCAGGCAGGAAGCGGCACTTTACTGCAAAGTAAATGGCCATTTCCTGCCTGCCCGCAATATCAAGCCCTTGCCTCCTCTCAGCTGGCATTGCAGAGTAAAGGGCTTTACCTTGCAGTAAAAGGTGCTTTATGCCTGCACAATCTGCAAGGCCATGGCTTTGCTCTTTAGTTATGCAGGTTCAAGGCACACACATCATGTCTTTAAGGCACACACTTAAAGAGTAGACTCAGCACCAAATCAGGCTAAGCACAGAAATCAGGCTAAGCAGGATATCAAGGTCTCTACTCTGCTTGGTGTGTGCCTTAAAGCCCCGTAGATCTTGAGCTCCTGCTTCTGTTCAGGAAATGATGCATCACTTTTGCAGTAAAGACTTTACACATTTGGAAACTAAGGTGCAGACAATGCTGAAAGTCAAGGCAAGACTGACAGGTATGAGGAACCTTTGGGCTTCCAGATACTACTGAAAGTACATCTCCCATCATTCCCAGCCACTGACCACGCTTGCTAGGCTTGAAGAGAGTTGTAGTTCAGCAACACCTGGAAGGCTATATAGCATCTACCACAAAAACCCTTCCATGCCACAAGCAAGGGATAAGAAGCTGAATGTACCTGTAGAAATGCATACATATTAAAAGTAGATGGTTCAAACAAGCATGCCACACCCTACACAGAAAGGCACAAAAACATTTGTACTCACTTGGCTGTGGAAATTTATTCTGAACTCAATATGAGAAGCAGTTAAGACAAGGCAAGCAAAGCAAAAACCTATCAAGACAGCCTTCTAGCACCCACCACTGATTTTTCAAAGGAAAATAGTAATGCTTTGGAAACCTCAAGCAGCAAGTTCCTCCGCTCTCAGCACTTTTCTTACCTGAGCAAAGCTGCTCTATCTTTGTCAAGTTCAATTGTAAGGACTCATTGATCCAGGCGAGCATGTCATGTCGACTCAAGTTATCGCTTGTCACCGAAGTGGAATACACATTAACGGCCATTTTCTGCAAGGGGAAATAACCAAGAAGGGATTTCGTTTATACACAGGCTAGTGAACCAGCACCTGCACATCTCATGCTCCAAGGAAGCCTTTTCCAGACATCAAGAGCACAGTCACATCTGTTGGATATAGGCCACCTCCTTAGTAAAACGTTTACTGGAGACAGTCTGGTTATTTATCAGAAATCTACTGTCTGAGTAATGTGATGAGACTATATTTATACATAGCTGGATGCAAATGCTGTACTCACACTCAGGCACATCAAGTAAACTTACTTTATTGTACCAGGAAATATACTGCAATAGGCATAACGATCCACTGCAGGGAAGAGTACTATAACCCATTCAATTTAACAACTGGCTCAGAAACATTCTCTTTTACCAATAATGCTTATTCTCTTTCCACAAAATAGATAAAAGAGTAGAGATGAGATTTAAGAAGAACTCAGAGATGAATAAATAAGTAAATGAAGAGGCAGAAAGAGATTAGGAAAGGCTGAACGGATGCACTGGGTCTTCAAGGAAGATGAGGTGCTTCATTTTAGGCAAATACATGTCACAGGAAAGTTTAGTGGTAGATTCTGAACACTGGAGGAAGAGGAGGAGATGGCAAAATGCAGCGCATTGGTGCATTTTTATGCCCAATATGAAGTCTGAAGCAGCTGTTTCAAGAGAGGGCATGAACTGTTTGTTCACATTTCACCCAAAATTAAATGGCAAGGTGTTTTTACACTAATGAAATTTAACTTGTGTGGTCAAAATAAAACAAACACAGTCTGGTTCAGAAACACATAGCAAAGCAGACATCCTCCTAATACAGTGGAACCTCAGGTTAAGTACCGGTACTTAATTCGTTCTGGAGGTCTGTTCTTAACCTGAAACTGTTCTTAACCTGAAGCACCACTTTAGCTAATGGGGCCTCCCGCTGCCGCCGGAGAATGATTTCTGTTCTCATCCTGAAGCAAAGTTCTTAACCCGAGGTACTATTTCTGGGTTAGCGGAGTCTGTAACCTGAAGTGTATGTAACCCAAGGTACCACTGTACTGGCAATGAAATCTAAGGGCCTAGCCAGTCACTTTGGTTTAGCAGGCCATATAATGAGGCTGCATTCACTACAATGGCAGGTATTACAATGGTGCCTCTGGTTGCAAACAGGATCCGTTCCGGAGGCCCGTTTGCAACATGAAAAGAGAGAGCGCAACCTGCAGTGGCACATCTGCGCGTGCGCAGGTTGCGATTCGCCGCTTCTGCGCATGCCTGTGACATCACTTTGTGCGTCTGCGCATGCGCGAGTGGCGAAACCCGGAAGTAACCCTTTCTGGTACTTCCGGGTCGCCGCGGGTTGTAACCTGAAAGAACGTAACAGGAAGCAAACGTAACATGAGGTATGACTGTACATGGAAGCATCAGTCTTGCTATCTTACCACAGATGCGTATCTATTTTATGAACAGGAGAGCACCCCCAACCTAAGGATCGTGTTCCACACAGGCTTGGGCGAGCTCTGCTTTCCAGATAAAAAATGTGGCATTGCTGCTTCAGGAGGCATCCTGGAGGGGGGAGTTTCCCAGAAACACCTCCAGGAGTCTCTGCAGGCGCACCCGTACTACGGTTCCCTTTTCCTTCTCACAGGGGAAGTGGCCCGACACCCCCAGCCCCCTCCCAGGCATGCGAATTGCCCGTGAAACTCGAGTTCCCCATGAGTGGGAGGGAACAAGCCTTGAACGGGGGCCAAAAATCAGTAGCTATGTGCTCTTCTCAGGAGCAGAGAGAGAAGCTTGGAGGAGCAAACTAGGCCAAGGCTGAAGGAGAGGGCGAGAGGGACGGGGTGGGACCCTTGCAAGGAGGGCTACCGGGGGGGGTTTGCTGGGCAAGTGCCCCTCCTTCCTTGCCAGGGGGGTCCCCGACATTTCCGGAACCGACCTATCCTCTCGAGTGCGGGGAACCCAGAGGTCCTCTAGACGGGGCAGGACCTACACCTGCCCCCTCATCATCATCATCGTCGTGGCGATGGGAGCCGGCGAGCCCAAGCCCTCCGGGGGGAAACACGCCGGCGGAGCGAGGCCGCCCCCAAGTCAGCCTCCCGCCTGGCCCGGTCCCCGGGGCGGGTCCCATTCCGGGGGTCCCACCCAGCCACCCACCCACCGGCAGGCGGGCGCCTCTTCCACGCAGAGGCGAGACTGAAAAGAGGCGCTGCCCCATTTGCATAAAAACCGCACTCATCTGCATATGCAAATAGCACGCGGAAGGTTCTGTCCCCCCCACCCCCACCCCGCGCGAGACGCGGCCTTTCGCTGGCGGCCGGAGCCAGGAGGGCGGGGCCCGGCCCGCCTCAGACTCGCCTCGCCGCCTGGCCAGGCCCAGCCCAGCCGGCCGCCGCCGCCCTCCCTTTCTCCTCAGCCGCCACCAACGGAAGGACGGACGGACGGACGGGTCTCCGTCTCCGCCGCCGCCGCGCCCTCAGAGCCCGTTACCTCAGTCGCTCGCCGTTCAAACCGGCCCCGCCCGCCTCGCCCGGGATATAGCGTCACGCGGCTACGCCGGCGGGCTGACGTCACTTCGGGGGAGAGCGGAGGAAAGAGGAAGGAGAGGCGCGTACGGCCGCGGGGAGGGGCTTCCCGAGGGGAAGAGGCGGGGTCGCCCTCCGTTGCTGAGAGACGGCGTTTCTTGCCCGCCTCCCGGCTTGAAAGACAGAGCGGCTGGCCAATTGGCGCGGCGGTGAGGAAAAGCGCGTGACGACCCCGCCTCCTTTCACAAAGCAACAAGCTGCAGGGTCGTAGGTTCGAGTCCCGCGTTCGGCTCAAAATTCCTGCGTTCCAGGGGGTTGGACTAGATGACCCTCGGGATCCCTTAGATTCTAGAAATCTAAGATTTGCTGTTTCCCTCTGAGGGCCACGCCCCCTTTGTACCCAATTCTCTTCAGAGACTTTATGACGGCTGGTTTTTGTAACGCGTGTCAGGGAGACGTCAGGCCTGCGCGTGTGAACGCTCCCTGCCTGCGCGTCCGGAGAGGCGCTTCAAGAAAGCGCCCGCGGCTTCCCCAGCCGTCGACTCTTAACCGCGCCCCCCTCACGCAGCAGGGACTACATTTCCCAGCGTGCCCCGAGGGGCGCACGCATTTCTCGGTTGCGCGAGTCCGTCTTTCCGGCCGCGCATGCTGGGTAATGTAGTCCATCTGGGGAAAGCGACCCCATGTTGCACGTGGGGTGATGACGCGCCGGCGGCCGGAAGTAGTTCCCGAGGGATGCTGGGTAGTGTAGTCCGATCGCGCTATTCATCTCTATGGAAACCATACATACCACCACCCCGCTTCGGGCCTTTGAGCATCCGCTGCCACCATTTCTCCGATGGAAATAGGGACGTCCTATTCCATCATCATAATAAAAAATTGTTATTTATATGCCACCAATTAAACATTAAAAATCAGATGGATGGCAGGATAGCTGTTGATCTCCTCAAGGTTGCATGGTTGTCTCCTTGGCTCAGGGGTCAGATAACTCCATTCCCTCCAACATTTCTCCAATGGAGAAGTGCAAGCTGGATTTAGAAGAGGCAGAGGAACCAGAGACCAAATTGCAAACATGCGCTGGATTATGGAGAAAGCTAGAGAGTTCCAGAAAGACATCTATGTCTGCTGCATTGACTATGCAAAAGCCTTTGACTGTGTCGACCACGGCAAACTATGGCAAGTTCTTAAAGAAATGGGAGTGCCTGATCACCTCATCTGTCTCCTAAGAAATCTCTATGCGGGACAAGAAGCTACAGTCAGAACTGGATATGGAACAACTGATTGGTTCAAAATTGGGAAAGGAGTACGGCAAGGCTGTATATTGTCTCCCTGCTTATTTAACTTATATGCAGAATTCATCAAGCGAAAGGCTGGGCTGGATGAATCCCAAGCCGGAATTAAGATTGCCGGAAGAAATATCAACAACCTCAGATATGCAGATGACACAACCTTGATGGCAGAAAGTGAAGAGGAATTAAAGAACCTTTTAATGAGGGTGAAAGAGGAGAGCGCAAAATATGGTCTGAAGCTCAACTTCAGAAAAACGAAGATCATGGCCATTGGGCCCATCACCTCCTGGCAAATAGAAGGGGAAGAAATGGAGGCAGTGAGAGATTTTACTTTCTTGGGCTCCATGATCACTGCAGTTGGTGACAGCAGTCACGAAATTAAAAGACGCCTGCTCCTTGGGAGAAAGGTGATGGCAAAGCTAGACAGCATCTTAAAAAGCAGGGACATCACCTTGCCAACAAAAGTCCGTATAGTTAAAGCTATGGTTTTCCCAGTAGTGATGTATGGAAGTGAGAGCTGGACCATAAAGAAGGTTGATCGCCGAAGAATGGATGCTTTTGAATTCTGGTGCTGGAGGAGACTCTTGAGAGTCCCATGGACTGCAAGAAGATCAAACGCATCCATTCTTAAGGAAATCAGCCCTGAGTGCTCACTGGAAGGACAGATCCTGAAGCTGAGGCTCCAATACTTTGGCCACCTCATGAGAAGAGAAGACTCCCTGGAAAAGACCCTGATGTTGGGAAAGATGGAGGGCACAAGGAGAAGGGGATGACAGAGGACTAGATGGTGGGACAGTGTTCTCGAAGCTACCAGCATGAGTTTGACTAAACTGCGGGAGGCCGTGGAAGACAGGAGTGCTCTGGTCCAGGGGGTCACGAAGAGGCAGACACGACTAAACGACTAAACAACATTCCATCACCATCATCATAAATTATTATTCATATGCCACCCAGTTAACATTAAAAATCAGATGGAAGGCAGGATAGCTGTTGGTCTCCTCAAGGTTGCATGGTTACTTGTCTCCTTGGCTCAGGGGTCAGATTGATAACTCCATTCCCTCCAACATTTCTCCAATGGAAATATATGGAGCAAAACCATGTCACCAGATTGGCTAAGGATGGCACACACTACCGTGGGTTGATGCCACGTGCATACAAACTTAAGGAAATTTTAATGCTTCTTCTTACCTGCCAGCTAAGAAGTGAATTTTCTATAAGTTTTGTTAAATAGTTACATCGTTTCACGCATTGACTTCCCACCAGCACATCCAGTGTGTTTGCTCAGACCCTTTTCTACTGAGTTATGTATCAAGCTCTTATATGTTACAGGAGAAAGAATAAGGAAATCGTAAGGCTTCTCCTTACCCACCAGCTAATAAGTGAATTTTGAATTCATGGAAGCTTATGCCAGAACAACTGTGTGTTTAAGTCTTTTAAAGTGCTGTAAACTGCTTTTTAGGAGTGTTGTGGAGATTGCAACTAAATAGGGAACACTAAGCCGTTTGATCACCTGAAAATGTGGTACAGTGGTACCTCGGGATGCAAACGGGATTCGTTCCGGAGCCCCGTTCACATCCTGAATGGAACGCAAGACGCGACGACGCATCTGCGCGTGCCCTGTTTCACCGCTTCCGCGCATGCACGTGACATCATTTTGAGTGCCTGCGGCAAAACCCGGAAGTACCGTGCTCCATTATTTCCGGGTTGCCGCAGAGCGCAAATTGAATGCGCTCATCCCGAAGTACATTCAACTCGAGGTATGACTGTATTAATATAAAGCGTTATTATATTGTGCCAATCTTTGTTACTAATCATTCAGTCGTATTTTTGAAAATGAGCAGGGTGCTTTGCAATCTTACTTTTGACAACTTGCTCTTGGTTTCATTTTACAGATGGGGCAACTGCACCTGCGATACAGTCATGGCTGGATTTGAGAGCAATTCAAGAAACTGAATTCGGCTATGGGAAGCCCACCAGCATGACAGAACTCTCCCCACTTCCGATTCCCAGCAACATCCCTCCTGCATCCTACAGATTTCTCCAGGCAATATGGTCCTTAGCATGAAATAACAGAGACCGGATCTGCAGTTCATTCCCCTTCTTTTCAACATTCTCATGGAATGCCAAACTCTTGTGGCTGGACCAACTTTAATCCTATTGCCAACAAAGATGCAAACTTGTGTGCATTCCCAATATCCCCCCAGCCCCCCACTCCTCCAGGGTGAGAAGTAAGACACATCATTAAATAAAGAGAGAACGAACAAGTGGGTGCTCAGTTATAGAACACTGACTTTAATTAAACAATGGAAAATGTTCGAGGTAAACTCTTTAGTAACCAATTGTTTTCATTTCCAGTAAAAAAAAACAAAAACAAAACACACAAACACAGAAAAACACAACAGCACCCAATTTCCCCCTTGCAAAGGCTCAGATGTTCACTTTGGTACTGAGCTTCCACTTCACAAAGCTCATAAAAATGAAAACAATAGAAACAAACAAAAAGAGAAAAACAAGTTTGTCATATGTTTTTATAAAAACGATAGTATAAAAAAACAGTTTTGGCATCAAAAATTCTAAAAATATAGCACCAACAAGAGACAGGAAAACCTTATAAAACATTGTCACAAGAACATGCCTGAAATGCATCTTTAAAAAGAGGCAAAAATGCAGTAAAATAGTGGATTTTGCCCAGCAACAGACATCATAGTTATTGCTGCTTTTTGTGCAAGTTTCACAAGTAGACAGTCGCCTCAGTTTCTTTTTCTACCTTGCTTCCTACAACTTGTCCTCCTCTGACGGAGGGTCTTTCAAGTCTTACTGTTTTTAGCAAAGAAGCCTAAACTTGTTGAAACGGCAGATCTGCTATTGTGGTCTGGAAAACAAAATAATAAAGGACAAGAAGGCACATATGGTTAACTCCCTTTCTTGAGTTACATACATTTCCATTTCCATTCCAGCTGTTTGGTTTCCATGGACAAAGCTTGGGGTCAGAGGAACCCATGTACTTTCTGATCAGTGGCTCACTTGCTACTTGTTTATCTTAAGATCCATTCATGTGGCAGGAAAATCAGTGGAATTCCAGCACATGGGAGGGTCATGGTTTCAAGTCCAGGTATTCCAAATAAGCCAGACCTGGTACCCCCTCCTGTAATGTGTCTTCCGAGGCATCTCCGCTCAAGATTACTGGCGTTCATTCTCAAGCAGAAAGTAGAGGCTCCAGCTTAGTGTAGGACCAATTCACTACTCCAGTGTTGGCAGTTTCTTCAGCGGTGGCACAGATGAGAGAGATGATACCTGGGTCAAGCAAAAAGTAGAGAAGGAGGAGGAAAGCTTCCTTCTCTGGTTTGAATTGGCTTCCCTGAGCTGTTCCTTCCTGAAGGACCTAGGCAGTGACAGAGAACTTACAGCCAACAGCCCAATTTGATGCAATGCCTGCTGGAGATAAATCTGGGCAAAGCTGACATTGCTGCAGCTATGCTGGGAAGCAGAGGAGGGCATCTCTGCCATACTTAGTATGTTCCCCGAGCAACATGTTTTTGGCTGTTGTTCAGTGGGGGAGCTTGGAGCACAGCTTGGACGTGGACCTTAAAATACTGATGGCGTGTGGGGAACAATCTTGAACAATCTGCGACGTGTCCACTAGGAAGGTCTCCTGCTCACAAGCCAATGGAACGAATGCGAGGAGTGTGTGCCCACAGTCGTGCCCTTCTGCTTGCTCTCATTCCTATCAGTGGAGCTTCCTTTTCCCCCTGAATGATTCTTGGCCAACCTGCTACCCATTCTGCTTGACATCAAGTCAAGTGCTATGGCAACCTCCATAGCAGTCTTCCCCAACGAAGAAGCCACCAGGTTAGGGAAGACTGCTCTAGGAGTTGTGGGCTAGAAAAGCACGTCCCCACAGCTGCCTGATCCGAAAAAGGTCTCCTTTCTTTGGCAAGTGGCACAGAACCAGGAGGCATGTGAAAGGATCTCTCCAGCTCCATCCTCCATGGGAAAGAACCCATTGAGTTGCATCGAATCCACTGTATCAAATGCTGCTTCTTAGCACATGGCAGTGCCTTGATGGGTGGAAAGAGAGACGATCTACAAAAACAAGTTGCCCCGGCAGACGGATGTCATTTCCTTTCCATAACAAAGCCAGTGGTACAAGGTAATGCCAACGGAGGGGTGGGGGAACAAAGATAACATTCATGAGGAAAATAGCAGCATCAATAAGTTTCGGACCTGATGTCCCTCTGCATGAAGTCCTGTTGGGGACATTGCAAACAAAGATCAACGTGTCCTACAGGTTTTGAGTCCACAGCAGCATAGGCATTTGTAGAATTTTTTGGAGGGTGGGGGCCAAATGTGACGCTCTTATTCCCCTTTGCTCAACCCCAAAGGCCAAGAGATCTTCTCTGCCCCGCAGGTGAAACAAGAATTTGTGGAGAAGCTCAGAGAAGCTCTTGCAAGGGGCTCTGGGTCACTTCAATGGGTCTGTGCAAGAAAAATCCAGGCGGACTGTATGTTAACTTTAACAGCATATTTTTTTAAGATAGATTAGCAGTTTAATAGTATACCTGGATGCATTTGGCAGAGTTGGTTGTTTGGTTTTCTTTTCCTCTAGCTACAATAATTATCCCACACTTGTGTTTCAGCTAAATTCCTCTTGAGGAATTTCCACCATTCACACATAACGTTGAAAAAAGCAGCAGCCAAGTATCTTGCTTTTTAAAAAAGTTTTGTTCTATATATTTATATATATTTTAGAAGTTTAAAAAGAAGGATAAAAAGGAGAAGAGTCTCCTCGTCTTATCCTGATTGTTCCAGTGTACAAAAAGCAGCAAGGCAGGATTGTTGCTGCAATTTTGGTTTCTTCATGATTGTCCCTGGAGAGATTCTGTCGCTCATCCTTTTAAAAATTATTTTTCAAGTTTGTGGGGTTTTCGTACAGCCCGTCAGAAAACTGCCTCTCAGTCGGGCAGCGACTGACATTGATCTTAGGGGGGAAATGCTTGGCTAATGCTGCAGTCGTGTCCCTCCATGGACACAACAGTGTTTTGCACGGTGAGTAAACAGAGGTCTTTTGACCTTTTAGAAATGTCAGTATTGATGGAAAGGAACATTCCCATCCTTCCAGTCTCCATGGTGGCGCTTGCAGATGGTGGCGAAGGGGAGATGCTGTGCTGTCGGTCGCACTTGCAGGAGGGTATCGTTCCAAGCTCCTTGCTGCCCTCCTCTCCCAAGGCTGCTTGCTCCAAGGAGACCTGGGCACCCCACCTGCTCCCTAGTCGCAGGCAAAATAATCCTTGAGTGGAGCAAACAGGTGGCGGATGACCGGGACACTCCATGCCCTGCCAAGCAGCTTCTGACGAGTTCCACGCCCCATGTTGGACAAGTCGGTGTAATGGTGGGGGAAGCCAAAGATCCTGTGGTAGCAGCAAAGAGAGTGGTTAGTTTAGTTTCTCTGATTTGCCTTAACAAAAGGAAGCCTCAAAGCAACGTACAGGGGTACCTCGGGTTACATATGCTTCAGGTTACATACACTTCAGGTTACAGACTCCACTAACCCAGAAATAGTACCTCGGGTTAAGAACGTTGTTTCAGGATAAGAACAGAAATTGTGCAGAGGCGGCGCGGCAGCAGCGGGAGGCCCCATTAGCTAAAGTGGTGCTTCAGGTTAAGAACAGTTTCAGGTTAAGAACGGACCTCCGGAACAAATTAAGTTCTTAACCTGAGGTACCACTGTACACTGTAAACCTATAATAAAATTACATAAGCAATATGAAACCTAGCAACAAGACTATCGTATGCCGGGGAAACAAGACGTTTCTGCCTATTGCAGAAACGTCGTTAGGGTGGTGCCCAGATAGCAGGGCTGGCCCAAGACACTTTGGCACCGCAAAATGGCATCCACCAGCCCCATGAGGGAAGAAGAGGCGTGCAAAGATGTACACCTGGAACAAGACGGAAATAAAGATTTACACTGGGAAGAATGGTGGGAGGAAACTGGTAGAGCCTCCTAATATTCACCAAGATGTCACTTTCCAGGTGCCACGGGTCAGATCCTGCCTCCAAGGATTGTGCCGCAAGGGCTGCTGTGGTGGTAGCAGCATGCAACACAGTCCTTGGAGGCCGGAATTGCTGCCCCATGGATACTGCCGCCCAAGGCGGTTGCCACATCTTGCCTCTTGGATGGGCTGGCCCTGCAAGAGGGCCTCCCCAAAGAGAGCGCTCCACAGACAGGGAGCAATGGCGGAGAAGGCCCAATTTCTCCTCAACGCCCTTTGGATGTGACGTGCAGAGAAGGGTCTCCGCGTATGGTGATGATTCCAGGGTCTGGGCAGGTTCACATGAGGAAATGTATTGAGGTCTCAAGCCATTAAAGCCATTAGAGGGGAAACCAGAGCCTTGAATTGCTGAAAACTTTTCTATTCTATTCTATTCTATTCTATTCTATTCTATTCTATTATGCCATTAATTTGATTTTAATTTTTATAATGAAATGTTTTTAGAATGTTGGATTATTTGATTGTTGGATTATTTGATTGTTGTTAACCGCCCTGAGCCCGGCTTCGGCTGGGGAGGGCGGGATATAAATAAAAAAAAAAATTATTATTATTATTATTCTGCCAGGCCTATGCAGAGTGGCTGGGACAACCCAGCCAGATGGGTGGGGTATTATTATTATTAGTCAGGCAATTAAGAATACACCCATACCCCACACCGGTCCACTGATGTTTCTTTTTAATTCTTTTGGTTATAACTTGCTTTTAACATTTATGATTTTACTGTATGGTTTTATATAATTTTAAACTACTGTGATTATGATGCCAAGGCATAGATAAATATTATTCTCAAATGAATTAAATTGTTTTGCCTCATTTTCCCCCCTGTGGTGTAGTGCATTTACATTTGTGTTTCCAAAGGTAAGTCACTTGGAGACCTACTTAGGTAACATGCAACTGATAAGTCTAATAATGAATAACAAGAGGAACAAATCGTAAGAATTGAAAAGAGTGGTAGAAGTAACGACTCCATGACAAATAATCTTTAACATGCACCCCTTTGCAGGAAAACAAATATTTGCTCCTCTTGAAGAGAGGCTGAAGCCCCAACTGCTCTGAAGAAAAGCATTTACTGGGCAGCCCCTGCCTGTTTCCTTTCATCTCTCCCTCCCCCCCCCACGCCATTATCCCACCCCACCCCCCTTGTATCCCACCTTTCCAATTCAGTGCACCACAAATTGTCGTCCTTGCCATTCATCCGCACTGGGAAAGTCTGGGCTTTCCCCTGCCTGATGGAATTAGACTTTGTGGTAATGGTCTGGACCTTTTTCAACTGAAAGAGAAGAAAAGCAAACATTTTTAAAACACACACACACAAATGACCACCCTAAAGGACCCCTGACCGTTAGGTCCAGTCATGGCTGACTCTGGGGTTGCGGCGCTCATCTCGCTTTATTGGCCGAGAGAGCCGGCGTACAGCTTCCGGGTCATGTGGCCAGCATGACGAAGCCGCTTCTGGCAAACCAGAGCAGCGCACGGAAACGCCGTTTACCTTCCTACTGGAAGAGTACCTATTTATCTACTTGCACTTTGACGCGCTTTCGAACTGCTAGGTTGGCAGGAGCAAGGACCGAGCAACGGGAGCTCACCCCGTGGCAGGGATTCGAACCGCCAACCTTCTGATCGGCAAGTCCAAGGCTCTGTGGTTTAACCCACAGCGCCACCCGCGTCCCTACAAATGACCACACCCCCCCCAAAATACAAGCGCTCAGTGTGAAGGTTTCCAGAAAGTGGTAGTATTAATGCCGTTCAGCAGAGGAAGGGAGCGAGGCTGGCTCTGTCCAGTGATTTTAGGCTTCTCATCCATCAGCCAGAAATGCACTCAGATGTCACTGGTATGCCTTCAAGTGGCGGGGGGGGGGGAGGTATTTTGCCCAGAAGACAGCTAAAAATATCCAGATGAAAAGCAGCCGCTGGGAGGTCACTGCCGGGCCCTCAGGAATGCGAAAGAGGGTCTTTGCATCTCTTCCTCAGAGGGGACAATGTCCCCTTAACGGCGCATCCGCCCCCTCCAACTGAGAGATCCATTTTGGGCTTCATTTTGTCATATCTGTGGAATGTCTGGGTTCCTTGCTCACAAGTAGAGAAGGGGAGAGACAGAAGGGAGAGTGTCTCGCTGTTTCGTTCGGCATAAAGAGCCTCACATGGGTGAGAGGGGGGGGAGGGCAACAGGAAAGAGGAGCACCCCAGGGTCCACTAGAGATATAATACAGGCAATGTGGGACGTGATTTGCAGGACGAGAGACCCAGGGGGCATTCCATAGCCCAGCCCTTTGCCAACCTGGACCTTCTGGCCAACAACATCTGGAGGTCACTGGGTTGGCAAAGGTTGTCGTTACCTTTCTTCCCCCCTGGATCATTCATAAGAATGGAGGGGGGTGAATAAGAATGGAGGAACTACTGTATTTTTTGCTCTATAAGACTCACTTTTTCCCTCCTAAAAAGTAAGGGGAAATGTGTGTACGTCTTATGGAGCAAATGCAGGCTGCGCGGCTATCCCAGAAGCCAGAACAGCAAGAGGGATCGCTGCTTTCACTGCGCAGTGATCCCTCTTGCTGTTCTGGCTTCTGAGATTCAGAATATTTTTTTTCTTGTTTTCCTCCTCCAAAAACTAGGTGCGCCTTGTGGTCTGGTGCGTCTTATAGAGCGAAAAATACGGTACTTGAAATCGGGAAAGTACCAAAAGTACCTTGGCTGTTCTGCCATACTCCAAGCAGTCCTGAAGTTCAAGTTTATCCGTCATCGAAGCTACCAGGGGCCTAAGAAAAGACAAAGCGAATTACTCTCTAAGCCACTGCCCCATTGTCCTCCAAGCTCATAATTTTAGAGCAATGTGGGGGAACTTTGGCCCTCTATATGTTGCTGAGCGCATGTTGTGGTTGTTGTAATGTTTGGAAAGGTTCAGAAGAGGGCTCCCGAAATGATCAAGGGCATGGAGCGAATCAACTACAAAGATTGCAGCATTTGGGAATTTTTAGTTTACAGAAAAGGCAAGTAAGAGGCAACAGGGCAGAATTTATAAAATGACGCATAGCATACGGGATTTCCCAAACTTGGGTCTTCGGCTTTTTTTTGGACTACAGTTCCCATCATCCCTGACCACCGGTCCTGCTAGCTAGGGATGAGGGGAGTTGTAGTCCAAAAACAGCTGAAGACCCAGGTTTGGGGAACCTGGGAGAGGGATGTTTTTCTCCCTCATCACACTAGAGTTTGTGGACATCCGATGAAGCTGAGCAATGGAATATTTGGGACAGAGAAAAAGAAGTTCTTCCGCACTGGCTCCCAGTGGAGTATCGGGTCAGGTTCAAGGTGCTGGTTTTGACCTTTAAAGCCCTTTGTGGCTTAGGGCCCTCGTATTTGCGGGACCGCCTCTCCTGGTCTGCCCCTGCAGAGGACCTTAAGGTCCATAATCATAGTTTAGAGGTCCTGGCCCCTAAGGAAGTCAGACTATCCTCCACCAGGGCCAGGGGCTTCTCAGTGATGGCTCCGACCTGGTGGAATGCTCTGTCCCATGAGACCAGGGCCCTGCAGAATTTCACCTCCTTCCGCAGGGCCTGTAAGACAGAGCTATTCCGCCTGGCCTTTAATTTGAATTCAGCCTGATCTTTTATTTCCCTTCTCTTCCCTTCCCCTCCCCTTTTATGAAGATCACCCACTCTGAGACCCCACAGCTAATTCTCCCCTGGCCTCCTCACTGGCCCAAGTAGGACTAATTTAGCCAGCTAGCCCTGGTGATCATATAATGTTTATTGGATGGATTTTCCCCTTAAATTGATTTTTGAATTCTGAATTTATTGCTATTCACATTTTATACTGTATTTTATGCTGTTTCTCGTTGCATCAATTAAGTGTTTTGAATTTGTTGTTAGCCGCCCTGAGCCCGGTTTGTGAACCGGGAAGGGCGGGGTATAAATAAAAATTATTATTATTATTATTATTATTATTATTATTATTATACAGTGCAAGACTTAAACTATGGAGCTCCCTCCCACAAGGAGCAGTGATCGCCACCAAATTAAATGGCTTTCAATGAGGATTGGACAAATTCGAGGAGGAGGAGAGGGCTATCGGCGGCTACTAGCCAGGGTGGCGATGTTCTGCTCCCACGGTCAGAGGCACTAATGCTTCTGAATCCGTGTTGCTGGAAACGACAGGAGGAAAGAGTTGCTCTTGTGTTCAAATCCTGCTTGTGTGCTTCCCTTGGGGGCAACTGGCTGGCCACTATGAGAACAGAGCGCTGGGCCAATGGGCCCCCTTTGGCCAAGGATTGCAGCTTGACTTTGCTGCCTCTTGGGAAGGGATCGCGGGTCCATGGCGTGGCCCATAGAGGTGCTTCTACATTACCTGTTCATCCCAGGAAGATTCCCCCAGAAGTACCGGGCCCGGTGTGCAGCCGAGACTTTGACGGCATCAATCATAATAGGGTTACACTGAAGACAAAAAGGGAGGGCAGTTAGAGACGACGCGGCAGAAGGACTATTTCACAATTCCTTTGACAGCAGGATTAGGTGCAGCTTGGGGAAAAGAAGCAACTCCAAAAGTCAGAAAGATGAATTACAGGCTGCCTCATGCGCTGCCATGTTTAGGATAGTAGTAGCAGCGATGACAACAATAGTACTAATTCTAGTACTATGCTGTGAATGGCCTGTGATCTTCGGATGAAGGGCGAGATGAGCGCCGCAACCCCAGAGTCGGCCACAACTGGACCTAATGGTCAGGGGTCCCTTTACCTTTATCTTTATACACGGAAAAAATACAGTAGATGGGTTCCTAGAATCGGTTGTACGCCAATTGTGAACAGTCCGCTGCACGGTCATCAGAGCGAGGCCCCGCAAAGGGGCTGAGCAAGGTCCTTAAGTGCAGGGGCACCAATTATGAAAAGGGAAATGGAAAAGAGGTGGACAGTACAACTAAGATCATTTAAAGGGATTTGGATGAAACACGGGCACAGGAAGGCCTTACACAACAGGGCATCCCGCTAATGGGCATTCACTTAACACCCCAAAAGCCTTGTTCTATCTTCTAAGGTAAAGGTAAAGGGACCCCTGACCATTAGGGCCAGTCGTGACCGACTCTGGGGTTGCGGCACTCATCTCGCTTTCTTGGCCAAGGGAGCCGGCGCACAGCTTCCAGGTATGTGGCCAGCATGACTGAGCCGCTTCTGGCGAACCAGAGCAGCGCACGGAAACGCCGTTTCCCTTCCCACTGGAGCAGTACCTATTTATCTACTTGCAACTTTGATGTGCTTTCAAACTGCTAGGTTGGCAGGAGCAGGGACCGAGCAATGGGAGCTCACCCCGCCGCGGGGATTCGAACCACCGACCTTCTGATCGGCAAGTCCTAGGCTCTGTGGTTTAACCCACAGCGCCACCCGCGTCCCGGTTCTACCTTCTAGTCTGCCCCTATTAGAACCCACCCATGCGAAAGCAGGATCCATGCCTTCAATTAAATAATTGCAAACACATTTTGCAGAGGTCAAGGGCATTCTCAGTCATCCTCTAATTTTTTCCTTTTGTTTTTTGTTTTTCATAAGCTTCTTGCCCTTGAGGAAAAAACTGAACCCCCAGGCCTTTACCTCCAAGAAACGAGAGATGTCCCTCTTGTCGTTGATGCGCATGGCCACGACGTTCTCAAACAGCCAAAAGAAGGGGCGCTCCTCCCCGGCTTTGGGGCGCGTGTAATTGAGAAGGTGGTAGAACTCAAAGAAGAGTCGTCCGGTCCCCTCTGCAAGGAGGAAGACGGGTGGGTCAAAGGAATGTAGGACATTTAAAAAAAAAAAACATAACTTCTGGGTTGAGGAGCCAAGCTGAGAGTCCCCATCCTTGCAAGGGCTGCTTACCATACAGGCCCTTCCTGGCAGGGTTCACGATGGAGAGGTCGTTGCAGGGGCTTCCGCCAATCACCAGGTCAAAAGGGCCCCATTCGTCAATCTGCAACGGGCAAGCAGAGCAATGGGTTTTGCAAGGTCAAGTGCAAAGTCATGTTGCCTGTCCGGTTTGTAAATCCCAGGCTTCTGGGGCTTCACAAAATCAGCGCCGGATTTACGTATAAGCTAAACAAGCTATAGGGACGTTTAGGGAAGCTTTTAATGTTTAATAGACTATTGTATTTTAATATTTTGTTGGAAGCCGCCCAGAGCGGCTGGGGAAACCCAGCCAGATGGGCGGGGTATAAGTAATTTATTTGTATTACTATTACTACTACTACTACTACTACTATTATAGCTTAGGGCCCCACTCTCTTGCGGCCCCCCAAAAAAATTAAAGGGGGGGGGAACTGGGTGTGCATTTCCAAAATATAAGATAGAAAACAAATAAAATAAAACCTACATACAGCAACAGTGTTTTGGGTTGTGTAGGCTCCTATGATGTAAGTAATGGGCCCCCAATCATTTTATGCTAGAGCTTAATAATTATTTCACTTTTAATAGACTTCGTCTTAATTGTATTTCAGTTCAACAATTACTTGGATGTACAAATGGCTTTAGATACCTACTAGGTCCATAAATCACCATATAGCATATATTCAACACGAAAAAACAGTGATAATTTGTTGTTGACAAAGGACAGCTGGACAAATAAAGGGCCCCATTACCTTCAGTAGCTTAGGGCCTCATCAAACCTAAACCTGACCCTGCACAAAATGACCACATCGCAGAAGACCCCAGAAGAGTCAGACAGCTGGATCAGGCCCAAAGGAGCCCAGCATCCTCTTCTCACCGTGGTTATTTATAATAAAATAAACATCTTTTAAACCACAATCAAGCACTATATCAATTCTTTTCAATAAATAAATGTATTATCTGAGGCTTTTCTTTGTGTGTCTCATCCACGTGAGATCATAGCTGTCAACTTTTCCCTTTTCTTGCGAGGAATCCTATTCGGAATAAGGGAATTTCCCTTAAAAAAGGGAAAACATTGACAGCTATGCGTGAGGTCCAGATGCTGGCAGTACAGGAACAGACCTTTTCTGCAGGGGCTCTCCATTTGTGAGATGCTCTCCCCAATTAGGTTTGCTTGGCACCTGGGTTACACATCTTTAGGTGCCAGGCAAAAGCATTTGTCTTCTCCAAAACCTTTGGCTAATTAAAAAAAGATGACCTTTTAAAGTGGAGTGGGGAGGTATTTGTCTTTTCCCCCCTTGTGCTATTATTATATTATGTACTTGATGTTTTATGTTGTAGACCACCGTATGGTCTCTTTATGAAAGGCAGTATATAAATTTAATAAATAATAACAAACATTTTGACCCGGCTTCCAATACAACCAGCCAGCCGCCTCAGCCAAGAAGCCTCAACTAGACCACAGGGAATCTCCTTACATTTTTCTTGGTTATGTTCCTGACGTCATGCACGTATTTGATGCTCCCTTCGTGCCGCACAGTTCCCACAGCTATGGACTCCTCGCAGATCTCAGAGGCGACGTACTTCTCCACCTGGATGCCAAGATCCCGCAGGACGAGGTAGCCTAAAGAGTCAAAGCACCACGGGTGAGGAGATGGGAGAGGTGGCCCTTGAGATCTCTCGTGATTCCCTGGCAAACAGCTCCAACTGTGGGAGCAAAGATGCGCAGGGTGTCCACATCCCGACAGAAACAAGAGACTCTCAGGAGCTGCAGTGTTGATGCGCATGCTCTGGCTGCTACTGTGGCATGGAGAATGACAATTTCCCAGTGCACGTTTTGTTCACACACACACACACACACAAAGTCATGCATGCGCAACATCGTTTGATGAGGAACAACACTGCCAACAAAAGATCGGTGGTGGGACCAAAACAAATCACGAATGTCATGGGACAGCCTGGAAGATGCAGGACAGGGGAAGGGAGATGGACAGAGATAGACATGGGGTCAAATGAACCAGACTGGCCTTAAGGAAGGAGGGTACAGGCTCGACCACCACTGTGGGATGAGCTGTCCTTTAGCGGTGATGATGGCTGTTCTCGTCCATCCTCACTATGACCTAGCAAGGCAGAGCAGCATTTTTTCTCAAGGGTTATCAACGAACATTTTTCACAGTGCCATTACTATGCTAAAGCCTGTGCCCAGCGCAGGACCACCAGGGCGTTATCTGCACAGGGGGCGGAGATACACTCGTGGTTTTTAACCTTAAGGAATGGTTTTGATAACTATGGCTGGATCTCCACTGATCTAAAAAAAAAACGCTAAGAAAAAGAAGTTGTAAAGCTCTCAACGTAATTTTCCATTGACTGATGTACAGCACCCCGGTGTCACACTTTTATAACGCATTTATAACGTTATAAGGCGCCAGTATAGATTAGTCCTGCATGGACACATGACGTCCTACTTTTAACATTCATAATGCGTTATTAATAATAATAACAATAACAACAACAACAATAATAATAATAATAATAATAATAATAATAATAATAATTTTATTTATATCCTGCCCTCCCCAGCCGAAGCTGGGCTCAGGGCAGCTAACAGCAATCAAATAATCAAACAATCAAATAATCCAACATTCTAAAAACATTTCATTATAAAAATTAATTAAAATCAAATGAATGGCAATCGTTAAGCAAAATTCTGTGCAGGTTGCCAGAGGAGGGAGTCAGGCTGTGCCCTGACCAAAGGCCTGGTGGAACAACTCTGTCTTGCAGGCCCTGCGGAAAGATGTCAGGTCCCGCAGGGCCCTGGTCTCTTGGGACAGAGCGTTCCACCAGATTGGAGCCGCTGCCGAGAAAGCCCTGGCTCTAGTTGAGGCCAGCCTAACCTCTCTGTGGCCTGGTGAGATTGACACAGTGAATGATGGACCTGCCCATCAGCTAAATGACCTACTCACTGCCCTAGCAAACCTGTGATTTGAACCCAGCTTCTAGCATATTGGTGTGTGGCCCTTTGGATGTTTCGTTGTGTGGCTGGGGCAACCCTGTCAGATGGGCAGGGTGCGAGAAATACTTCTATGATTCTCAGACATCAGAGTTCGTTGAAGTGCTTGGGGGGTCTCTCACCTGTTGCAATTCCATCAAAGAGAGACAGCACTCTGATTGGCCTCCTGTTTGCCGCTGGGATGGCAGGGTAGATTTTTGGTGGCTCCTGTGAGAAGAGACGGGGAGGGAGAGAGAGAAGGAAATGGCACCACCACATGAAAGAAGTGTGAATCCTATCCATTAAGAAAATTAAATGCACAAGTTTCACATCACCAACTGGACATAAGAATGTAGCGTAACAATAGCCTGCAGGATCAGGCCAATGGCCCATCTAGTCCGGCATCCTGTTCTCAGAATAGAATTTTATTATTACGGTCACAGACCAGTTCCGGGTCACTTACAATATCAGGAAAATCATAAAACACAACAGAAATACATTGAATTGCAATTGGGTATAATAGAGACAATTCAGATATAGCGGCGGTTAAAAAAATATATTAAATCTCAATCACTAAAATACAACCTAAAATTGTCATTTAAAACCTTAATCATTTTGGTAGTACAGTTTATTCCCTAAGTTTTATGGCACTCGCACAGAATTTGGCCACCCTTAGCGTGATGTCTGGATCCTCGTCCTCTACCAGGAGTTTTAGACATTGAAATTCAGACCCATTTTGAGATTTTTGTATAACAGGAGTGCATCCTGTTCTCACAGGCAGCAGCCAGATGTTTCAATGGGAAGCCAAAAAGCAGGATCCGAACATCAGAGCATCTCTACAATTCTATAATTCTACTTTAGGGCAGGTGGGCTACGCTGCCCCCCTTTAACAACACCCCTGTTTCCTTACGTATTCAAGCCCCTTCTCGTCTGTGAAGAACTCCTTCAGGCGGGTGTTCCAGTCGCCCCTCCTCTGAAGCATCCCGTGACGCTCTTGCGGCTGGCACATGTAGCAGCTCCAGGGGTCCTCCTTCCTGGCTGCATCGGCCGCCCCGCGACCCACTAGCAGGTTCAGGCAGTCCACACAGAAGCACCTGCACGAAACAAGGGAAGAGGAATGGGGGGTGTCCGTAAGGCTGGGCAGCTCCTCTGTTCCTCCACGGCCAAGAGGTAGAAATTCTGCAAAATGCATTCTCAGTAAAGCCGGTATTACTATGCAAGAGTGCGGCCTGACCACAAAACTGGAAGGAACCAATTAAAGGAGAACCTAACGGCCGAATGCTACAAAGAAAAACAACTCCAGATAAAGCACAAGGAGAGTTCTGCATGTACAGCAAAAAAGGGGGTATCTGAGGCATTTTCTTCCATATAGTGTGCATTAGTAGTAGTAATAATAATAATAATAATTTATTATTTGTAGCCCGCCCATCTGGCTGGGTTTCCCCAGCCACTTTGGGTGGCTTCCAACAAAGATTAAAAATACATTAAAATGTCACACACTAAAAACTTCCCTGAACAGGGCTGCCTTCAGATGTCTTCTGAATGTAAGATAGTTGTTTATCTCTTTGACATCTGATCAGAGGGCGCCACTACTGAGAAGGACCTCTGCCTGGTTCCCTGTAGCTTTGCTTCTCAGCACTAGACCTCAGCGTCCTGGCAGAACGATGCGGGTGGAGTAAAGGTAAAGAACCCCTGGACAGTTAAGTCCAGTCAAAGGCGACTATGGGGTGCAGCACTCATCTCACTTTCAAGCCAAGGGAGCTGGCGTTTGTCCGCAGACAGCTTTTTCCAGGTCATGTGGCCAGCAGGACTAAACCGTATCTGGCACAACAGAACACCATGACAGAAACCAGAGAGCACGGAAACATTGTTTACCTTCCCGCTGGAGCAGTACCTATTTATCTACTTGCACTGGTGTGCTTTCAAACTGCTTGGTTGGCAGGAGCTGGGACCGAGCAAAGGGAGTTCACCCCGTCACGGAGATTTGAACCACCGACCTTCTGATCAGCAATACAATCGCAGCTAGCTCAGGAGTTTGGTTCCAAGGGTTCTGTCATGGATGCTGTAGTTTAGATTCTTGAGACAGGTGAGGTCTCTCACCTGAAGCAGTTGGCATTGTCGCAGAGAAGCAGCTCGTTCCCCGCACAACAAATGCTGCAGTAAGCCTGGTACCCGTCTTCATCGTACATGTAGAAAAATTCTAGGAACTGAACCTGCAAGGAAAAGAGATCCATGGCAGATTTAAACAGTTTCCGATTTCCTGGGTGTCCCTAGCCCCAAACTAAGTATCAGAAGCCGCAGATAAGTCCAGCCACCCCCAGCCTGGCCCCGTCCACATTTTTCGGACTACAGCTGAGGCTGATGGGAACTGCAGTCTGAACAATCTGGAAGGGGCAAGGCTGGGGACATCTGCAGTATTTTTTTATTTAGCAAAATGTACATCCTGCTTGGTTGTACAAAAAAACTCAAAGCGGTTTAACAAAAAGAATAAAAGGATAGTGAAAACAATTAAAACAATGGCAGATTTTTTTTAAAAAAAAAGTTAATATTTCAATTGGACCAATCACATATTAAAAAATATTTATTCGGCGGTTGGGACATACCAAATTTAAGTAGCTATTGTGAAGCAAGCCAACTCAGCCATCCAGTAAGAGAATGCAGTAGTCAACACTGGAGAATATAGAAATTGATGGTGATCCTATAAGGGTATTAGCTTTAATGAAAAATAAGCTTTGATTATTGAGTTAAGTTTACAAATCCCAATGCAGTGGTACCGTGGTTCTCAAACTTAATCCATTCCTGAAGTCCGTTTGACTCCTGAAACCATTCAAAAACCAAGGCGTGCACTCAAGCGGAAGCTGCATTGGACGTACGGCTTCTGAAAAGTGTTCACAAACCGGAACACTTACTTCCGGGTTTGTGGCATTCGGGAACCAATTTGTTCAGGAGCCAAGCCGTTTGACAGCCAAGGTACCACTGTTCACACGCATGATTTAGAATATGGTAAAAAAAAAACGGGCAAAAGTTTTAGCTCCAGGACTGCCACCTATAATTCCAATACAGCATCGTCCTCTATTTCAAAATAAAAACAGATTATATAATGTGAATGTTGCAAGGACACCATTTATATTTGAAAGATTATTATAGGAAAGGACAACTTCTTACAGCAGCAAAAATGAAAGTCCTTTTAGAGAACAATCAAATTTCATGGCTATTATGGTATCAGTGGAGATCAGCTCTTACAAATGCACAAATTAAGAACGAAGCGACAAGGAAACTAACAGAAGTCCCCTCAGACTGTGGTGGACTCCCCTTCATTGGGAGTTTTTAAGCAGAGGTCAGGTGGCCATCTGTCATGGATGCTGTAGTTGAGATTCCTGCATTGTAGGGGGCTGGACAATCCTATGTCTCTATGACTTCTTACAGATGTAGAACAGTGCCAGTTCCGCAAATTAAAGCGGCTTCCGTGGGGTAAGGCGATCTCGCAGGTAAACTGGTCCCGTGTTGTTAAGTAGGGCAATGGCCATGCATGAAACGGTTTGGAGGGGAAAAAACCCCCAAATCACCTGGACGCTCACCTGGCAAGTCTCACAGAGGCCCCCTTCGAACAGGGGGTGGGTGGTCACCGGATTCTTCTTCCCACACGACAAGCAGCTGTCTGTTCAACGAGTGAAGGACAGGTCAGTAGAGTTTTAATAAGCACTCCTTAGAGTGCATCTGACATAAGGCAAAATGGTGCCAGCGTTCAGTCTAGAGAGATTCTACCAATCCTGGTAGAGAGCAGTGAGCTAGAGGGGCCAACAGTTTCACACAGCATTGATTGATTGATTGATTGATTGATTGATTGATTTCTATACTGCTTAATATGTTAAAAATATCTCTAAATAGAGTGCAGAGAACTGTGGCAACAGCAGCCCTTCCGACTCCACAGTTCTATGATTCTAAATAAAATATTACAAAATACAGTTACGTATAACAACATGGCATTGATACAAAGTTAGTAACATATATAAATCGATTATCAATTCATTTTCCAATATCAATTCACCCATCCCACTCAGCCTCCTCTCACCCACAAAAGTCTCACAATGGGAAGAGTTCCTGGAACAGAGGACATCTCCTAGGCTCCGACTCTAGACTTGTTTTTCGTGTAGGGTTGCCATACGTCTGGAATTTCCCTGACATAACCAGAATATGGCACTGGGTAACAGTGTCCAGACCGAAATCACTAAAAATGTCCAGGAAAATCCCATGTTGGCGAAGTAGCTCAAAAACAAAAAGCTCAACAACTTTGCGTCCAGATCTTTGCTTTTTGAAATATGGCAACCCTATTCTCATGGGCAACTCAAGGTAGATGATCCTTCCTCTTCCATGAATTTCTCCAACCCTCTTTTCAAGTCTTCCAGGTTGGTGGCCATCCCTGCTTCCAGTTTACCTACACGCTGTGTGGTCAGCATCAGCAACCTGAATATTATCCCTTTCCATCTGCTACTGACACATCCACAACTACATGGGCGAGTCTCAAATCTGCCCTGTCTGTTAAGTTGTAGTTGAGCATATCAGACGACACAGCGATTCTTCAAACAGCTCTTGTTTATTCATAGGCCAGAACAGAACTGAACTGAAGGGTTCAGCCAGCCTGCTTATATAGAGCTCCACTGGAACACAACAGTAACCATTTTCTGTAACTATCCAATCACTAAACATCACTTTCAATTCCTTATTTGCATATGTAGACCTGGACTATCTACAGTATCCCCCTGCTGGCCCAGGGTGAGAACTTCAGTACATAACACTGTCTATTGACAGGGAGTATCTGCAGGCGAAGGGTGGTCCTCTGGGCCTGAATCAGGCCAGGTTTTGATGCTGAAAATGCTCTTTACCTTCCAAGCTCTTCTTGTTGTGCCTGACTTCAGAAGCCATCGACTCTGGAAAGAAAGAGGCAACGACGAGTTAGTGAGTGGAGTGCCTCCCCTCGGAGGGGCCAGGACACAAACCCACAGGCGGCAAGAGTTTCAGAGTTGTATGAAGAGCCAGCTTTCTATGTTCCATAGGATTAAATGGCACATACGCACTCCATATCCCTGCCTACTGACATCAGGCAGGAACCTGCGTGGTACTATTTCGACACCTACTAAAAACTTTGTTTAGACACTCTGACCCAGATATGCAGAACACTGACATCTGCTCTAATCTGCTTCCAGTTTATCACTTATTGTAATTATGATCTGAATGCTGTATTTACTTTTGTTGTATTCGTTTTGTAAACCACTATGAGTTTGTTTGTTTCTCTGCAATCAAGTGATATATAAAATTTATGAAATACCGTATTTTTCGCTCTATAAGACGCACCAGACCACAAGACGCACCTAGTTTTTGGAGGAGGAAAACAAGAAAAAAATATTCTGAATCTCAGAAGCCAGAACAGCAAGAGGGATCACTGCGCAGGGAAAGCAGCAATCCCTCTTGCTGTTCTGGCGTCTGGGATAGCTGTGCAGCCTGCATTCGCTCCATAAGACGCACACACATTTCCCCTTACTTTTTAGGAGGGAAAAAGTGAGTCTTATAGAGCAAAAAATACAGTAATTCTTTTTTATAAAAAAAACCTCCCTGCACATAGAACACTAGCATGTCAGGGACTTTTATTATGTGCAGTAAGGGTTGTTGTTGTTGTTTCATTAAAATTGTACCTCTGCAGGTGCCTCTCCCTCCCTCCCTCCACACACCCCAACCCCAATCCGGCCCCAATCCTACCTCTGCTCTGGTTCTCCTCCGCCTGCTCCTTGTTGCTCCCATTGCAGATGTTAGTCTTGAGCCGCTTAGCCGGTGGGGCAGGTTCAGGGGAAGGCAGTTCGGGAGCGGCAGATTCTTCAGAGCTTCTCTGGCTGAGGAGACTGCTGTCTGCACAGAAAGAACAGCTGGTTTTAGTTGGGACGGACATCTTCTTTGGCAGGCAGAAAGGGGAAAGGGGAATGATTTGCGGGCAGGTTGGGGGTCCTGGATTGTGGGGTTCGCCATCCCCACAAGGAGCCACAGAGGCCTTCTCCAAAGATTGCATCCTGCACAGGGAAAGCTAGTAGGAATGTCCAGCACAAGCATGCCTATGGTGAAGACAAGACGGTCAGGTTCCCTGTTAAATATTCAAGCTGTGAACCCCATAATTCTGCACTGTGGACGAATCAGGAGAATTTGTGTGTAGGCAGCAGGCCACAATGTGATAAGAATTTTAAGGTCTTAGATATATAATAAATGTACCAACCAAGCATGTACATAGATCAGCACAGGAAGACCGACCTGAAACCATTTTTGATTCCCAAACTGTCCCAAAATGACCAAATGTTTTCTCTGCAAGGTCAAAGGAAAATGGAAAAGCCTCCCCATTATCTTTTCCTTCACAAATCCTGTCTTAAGGGTATGTCTTTGTTTGAATAGGGTGAGCCTGTGACCTGGCTCAGGAACTAAGTATTTATCATTACAAAAGACTGGCCAGGCTCCCCAGGCAATCCAATCAAGTGACCATTAAACAGGTAACCTGGCAGACAGGAGGTAAACAAAGCACTCAGATTTCTGCTGTAGACCACCCTTTCTGTGATGTAGGTATGATGTATCTGGAGGTGGTGAGTGAGGACCCTGTTGCAACAGATCAATAAAGATCAGGCTTACTAGCTGCTTTGCTTCTCAATATTCTCTGGTTGGCCTCTGTTATTTCCTCCTACCAAGAGGAAACCCACGTAAGGACTCTATATGGGCTCTTGGACACCCCATAAGGGAAAAGGGGCAGGTGTATAACAGCTCTCCGAGGGACCGGGCTCCCACTGCCCTCCTTGCTGGATTTCCTCGCCCAAGCCCCCCCGGCTAGCTCCTTACCTGAGGTCTTGGGGGGCTTCAGTCCTTTCCCTCCGGTGGGCTTGAAGCCACTCATGGCCCATTCCACCATGGGCTTCAGCTTGTCTTCGAGAGAATCCCCTGGAGCACTCGAGAACGACTTGCCCGCTCGGCTGCTTGCCACCTGCCAGGAGGAAGAGGAGGAGGCCTTACGAAGGTGTCGCAGAGCAGGTGGGCATTCTGGATTGTGCTGCCTAAATTCCCGCCCCGGCTGCTTCACAGCAGAGCGGGATGTGCAAGGCTCCTTGCAGCTCCTACCTGATATAGGTTAGGACCTATAAAGTCCCATATGCCCTGGGCCCAGGCTACCCAAAAATGTTGGTCGGCATCGGTCTGTCTCGGGAGACAATGGAGTGTACCTCCGGGGGTGTCAGCAATACTGAAGTGGCCTCTTCAGGGCACAAGCCTGGCTAGTGTGTGTGGAAGTCCTGGGCTGTTCCTGCTAGGATACTGATGTTCCGTTCCACCTAAACAGATGTGTGGAGCTGTGCTATATCACATACAGTGGTACCTCAGGTTAAGTACTTAATTTGTTCCAGAGGTCCGTTCTTAACCTGAAACTGTTCCACTTTAGCTAATGGGGCCTCCTGCTGCCACCGAGCCGCCGGAGCACGATTTCTGTTCTCATCCAGAAGCAAAGTTCTTAACCTGAAGCACTATTTCTGGGTTAGCGGAGTCTGTAACCTGAAGCGTATGTAACCTGAGGTACCACTGTATCTGTTTACATTCCAGCACAGCTTGCTGGGAACTTCTGTTTGTGTATAGCTTTTGCTTTATGCTTCTTGCTTGGACATGAAAGGGAGAAGACATGTTTTTCCCCCCTTTGTCCTGTTGTATGCTGAATAAACTGGTTGTAAATACGCTGTAAAGGTAAAGGGACCCCTGACCATTAGGTCCAGTTGTGGCCAACTCTGGGGTTGCAGCGCTCATCTTGCTTTACTGGCTGAGGGAGCCGGCGTACAGCTTCCAGGTCATGTGGCCAGCATGACTAAGCCGCTTCTGACGAACCAGAGCAGTGCATGGAAATGCTGTTTACCTTCCCGCCGGAGCGGTACTTATTATTCAAAAAGTGAGCTCCTATTTACGTGGAGGAAGCCTAAAAGGCCATTAACTGTTAATAACTCATTCTCGAATTGCCCCCCTTAAAAATCAAATTGACCCGCTGTGGGGCGTGTGCCCCACGTTGGGAACCACAGTTCTAGTCCCACCCTAGGCAATTCAGGAATAACAGCTACACCACAGACCTTCAGGATGCTTTTACCCTCATCCTTAGAAGACGGACAGGAGGTCCATTGAAGAAAGGTGGAGACCAGGACCCTCCCACTTTTTCCTTGAGAAAGGTGTATTGTAAGGTTATTCCCGCGGCTCCCTCCTCGCGCCAGGCCCTGCTAGCCAGGCTCCCCGTCTCTCTGCCTGCCCCTTACCTCCAAGACGTGAAGGATGGCTTGCCGGTACGAAACCAACTTGTGGAACGTGGTGGAGTTGAAATGCTCCTGGAATGCCAACAGCCCCACCAGCTTGTCTACCGAGACCTGCGGTGGAAACGGCAAAGCTCAGCCACGGGAACAAGAGGGCTTCCCCCGCGATCAGGACAGGTCCATGGGGCTGCTTTGAGGAAAATCACCCACCCACCGCCCCCTGCAAAACTCCTCAAGAGGAGGGAGAGGGGATGCTGGGCTGGGAGGCAGTTACAGGGCCTTTTCAGTGGTGGCTCCGATCTGGTGGAATGCTCTGTCCCAGGGAGACCAGGGCCCTGCAGGATTTAACCTCCTTCCGTCAGGCCTGTAAGACAGAGCTATTCCGCCTGGCCTTTAATTTGATCTTTTATTCCCCTTCCTTCCCTCCCCCTCCCCTTTTTATGAAGATCACCTGCTCCGAGACCCCACAGCTAATTCTCCCCTGGCCTTCTCGCAGGCCCAAGTAGGATCAATTTAGCCAGCTAGCCCTGGGGATTATCTAACTGATTTTTGAATTTTATTGTTATTAATGTTTTTATACCGTATTTTATGCTGCTTTTATAAAAGTGTTTTAAATTGGTTGTTAGCTGCCCTGAGCCACGCGTATAAATACTGGATGAGTGCAGGTGATTTTCCTGGTGCCCACTGAAAGCAATTCCTTTGTGTATTCTTCATTTTACCTCGGGGGCAAGATACCAACGCCCCCCCCCCCCCAGCATCCATCGGCAGCCCTCCCCCTCCTTTCCCCTCACCTCCGAAAACTTTCCATCGCCAAACCACTGAACCCAACGTATCCCAGGGGCCGCCTTGCGGTTGAATGTGGCCCTCCATGAGACGACGATGGCGGGCCACCAAGCAAAGCCCCTGATCTTCCCCCAGACGAGCTCGCCGATTCGAAAACCCTTGCTGTCCTGGAAAAAACCAAATAAGATTGAAGGTAAGCAAGTGGAAAGAAATGGGGTGCTAACGGGGAGTTTTCAGGAAGCCCCCGTGGCCTGTCAGTGGCTCTTGAATGAGTGGCTCCATGAAGCCCCCAGGGTCACCACCAACAACAACAATAATAATAATAATAATAATATAGTTTATTATTTGTACCCTGCCCATCAGGCTGGGCTTCCCCAGCCACTCTGGGGGGCTTCCAATAAAGATTAAAAATACATTAAATTGTCACACATTCAAAACTTCCCTGAACAGGCTGCCTTCAGATGTCTTCTAAATGTCAGGTAGTTGTTTATCTCTTTGACATCTGGTGGGAGGGCGTTCCACAGGGCGGGTGCCACCACCAAGAAGGCCCTCTGCCTGGTTCCCTGTAACCTCACTTCTCGTAGTGAGGGAACCGCCAGAAGGCCCTCGGTGCTGGACCTGTGTCTGGGCAGAACTATGGGGTTGGAGAAGCTCCTTCAGGTATACAGGACCGAGGCCGTTTAGGGTTTTCAAGGTCAGCACCAACACTTTGAATTGCGCTGAGAAACCAGTGTAGGTCTTTCAAGACTGGTGTTATGTGGTCTTGGCGGCCGCTCCCAGTCACCAGTCTAGCTGTCACATTCTGGATTAGTTGTAGTTTCCGGGTCACCTTCAAAGGTAGCCCCACATAGAGCGCATTGCAGTAGTCCAAGCGGGATATAACTAGAGCATGCACCACTCTGGCAAGACAGTCCACGGGTAGGTAGGTTCTCAGCCTGTGTACCAAACCATATTTGAAACCATTTAACGAACAAAACGCTCCTCTTTTTGAAATCCGGCTGCTGTACATTTAACCTGCTGTCCTGCATTCGTTTTGCTTCGCTGTCGCCGTCTTTTGAATCCGTTATCCACCCCGAGAGCACTTGGGCAACAGTGGGGGTCTCCAGCACAGTTTGCACAGCCACCATTGTGGATTCAATAAATCCACAAGGCTCCAGGGACAGTTTGCTCTCCCTCAAATCCAATCCAAATCCAATCAATCTCAAATCTCAATTCCAAATCCAATCCAAACTCCTTCTCAGTTCCTGCTCCCACTAGTCACCCACTTCAACAGGCCCAAACGTCTATCTCTGTTTTCAGACAGGGCAGCCATTTTGCATGATGACACGTCCCCCGCGGCAGCCATTTTATGACTGGCGCCCAATGCGCTCTCTCAAGATCCCAAAAAGTTTGGCCCCCAAAGACCCCTGAGCTAGAGTCTGGGATCAAAATCCTTTTGATAATAAAAACAAACTAAAAAATATATAGTATAGGGCGGTATATAAATTCAATCAACCAATCAATCAATAAAATTAATTAATTAAAAAATAGTCACATAAGCGAAATCCATCTGCAATGCTTTGCCCCGAAACCAGGGCCGGGAAACCCCAAAAAAGAGGTCATGGTGGTGCAGTGGTTAGAGTTCCAGGCGCGAACCAAGGAGCATAGCTGTCGACCATCCCTTATTTGGCGGGGAACTCCCTTATCCCAGCGCTGTGTCCCGCTGCTGTCCCTTATTGATGATGTCCCTTAAATTTCCCGGGTTTCAAAGGAAGCAGCTCCTCTCCTTCCCTCCCTGCTGGCCAGGGAGGAGGGAGGCTCCAACTGTGTTGCTTGGCTGCGTTGCTCACCCAATAAGGAGTCTAAGAACGACTGGGGGGTGGAGCTTGCATGCCTTGTGCTGATCAAGTCAGCCGCCTTGCCTGGGGACTCGCCTTTGCTCAGCGCTTCCCAGCAGAGAGGTGACGGTGGTTTTCCTTGCTGCATCCCCTTTGCCGGGTTGCTGCGCTGTGGGAACCACCGCTTGAGGCTTTGTTTGGCTGCTGGCTGGGCTTTCTGCCTTTGGCTTGGAGGGGCTCAGAAGTTGAACATACCTGTGCTCCAAAAACCCCTTATTTTGGCTGCTGATACCTTATTTTTGAGGCTGCTGGTCCCTTATTTTCAAATCTGTAAGTTGACAGCTATGCCAAGGAGAGACCAGGGTTTGAATCCCCACTCGGCAAACGTGAAGCTCACGGTGTGATTTGGGGGGCCAGTCGCTCCCTCTCAGCCTAGCCTACCCCACAGGGTTGTTGTGGGGTTTGAGCTGGAGAGCCACATAAATTGCTTTCATCTCCATTGAGGGAAAAGGGGGAACATCTCTAATTCTACGATTCTATAAATGCAATGCAATGTTGTGGGGTTTTAGTCATTATACTGTAATCTTTCCCCCCCCCAAATAATCCATGTGTGCTGCTCCAGAATGCAACCCCTTCTTCTGACCACCCTGGGTTTCAGAGCTGTCCACTCCCTTGCTAAGCTTCAGCCAGGTAGCCACGCCAGCCCCCTCCCCACCAGGCAAAAGCGGCCCCACCTGGTATTCCTCTGCATCTCTCGGGGTCCCTGTCAAGAGGCAGCCATTTGGTACCCCAATATTGCTGTTGCCGCCGCTCTGGCCAGACTGCACAAAGTTCTCCTCTGAGTAGTCCACTTGGGCAGATGCAGAGATTCTCCTGGAAAACTGGTAGAGAGGAAGAAAATAGCTGAGCTCCTTGAGAAAAGAGATGGATGAGGCCACGGGATTTCTGCCAGGCTCGTTTTCGGTGAGGCATCGGTGTCACATGTGCAAAAAGGCCTGGCCCCCCCAAAAACTGGTAAGAACCATTTATGGAGGTACTAGATGGCTAGATGTAAAGGGGAAAACAACTCTGGGTGAGGTACAAGGAGGGGTCTAATATGTGAAGTAAAGAAAAAATGGGTTGAGTAAGTGTTTCTAAGGACTGTGGTTTTATGAGAGTGTGGGGTGCTGGGGTGGTTGGATAGAGGATGAACCCCCAAGATGACGTCTATCTGGCCATATAGTGTGGGTCCTAATGTAAGGTTACCAGCCGTCCCCGTTTCCCAGGGACAGTCCCCAGATTTACAAATCAGTCCCTGTACAAAATCTATTGAAGTTGAAAAGTGTCCCTGGATTAATTGAAAAAATTCTGGTAACCTTATCCTAATGAAAATGCTCTCGCAAACACCTTGGACTCTGTCCAGTAATGAGTTATACAGTGGTACCTCGGGTTACATACGTTTCAGGTTACATACGCTTCAGGTTACAGACTCCGCTAACCCAGAAATAGTACCTCGGGTTAAGAACTTTGCTTCAGGATGAGAACAGAAATCGTGCTCCGGCGGTGAGGCAGCAGCAGGAGGCCCCATTAGCTAAAGTGGTGCTTCAGGTTAAGAACAGTTTCAGGTGAAGTACAGACCTCTGGAACGAATTAAGTACTTAACCTGAGGTACCACTGTATCTGCCCATGCGATGCCCACCTGGTGGAAACTCTAGCTCACATGGCCCTTAAATGTAAAATGTAGGATGATCTCCACCAACAATTTCTAGACCATCTATGTACTCCAACATGGAAACCAGAGACGGAAGTTATGAGCTTCTTATTACAGGGGAGAGTCCAGGAGCTCACCAAGACAGTACCTAAGTTCCTCTATTTGATTTTTTGTCGCCGAAGTATGCTACAGGATCCTGCCCTTGCTGGAAACCCACAGAGATGAGGCGGATTGCTCGCCTCTTCTGCCCTTTGGCAGGTGACTGTGTCGTTCGGGTGGCGACAACATTGCACTGGCCTATCTATTCTGAATGTATTCTGAACGTTCTTATGTGATGCCAATAAAGGTTACTTGACTTGACTTGAGTAATGAGTTATGAAACAAAGCCTGAGCAATGGGGAATTTTGTGTGAGCCTCTGTCCTTGAACCCCCAATTTCCCCTTGCAATGTTCACAAGGTGGGGAGCATCACAACAAAATGCATCACCTGTGCATATTATGGTCCAGAAAGCATGGCTGAAAGCTACCTGATGTGTCCAACCCTCTTCCCTGCTCATGAGGACTAGTGTAATGAGTTTGTGATAGACACATACCAGCCGGGTTGGAAGAGGATGGGCTGGTCTGACTTCTCCCAATTTGGGATTGTCCGTTAGTTAATGAATTTTGGAAACAGATTGGTATAGAAATATCAGGAATTGTGGGTAGGAAGGTGGGAATATCTAAATTAATGGTTCTTATTAGTCTGAGTAGCACCGAGTTAAAAACAAAAGAGGAATGTAAAAGGGTAAAATTGATGGTAACTGCAGCCAGACAAGTTATAGCCAGTAATTGGAAAAATGCAGAAGAGCTAAGGGTGAACCAGTGGAGGAAAAAACCTGAATATTATAATTTTACAATATCTAACTGTGAAGATACACAGAATGAAGGGGTTTAAGGTCAGTGAGAAAGAGGAGGATTGGTTTGAGAAGATATTGAATTATTTGGGTGGGTTTGAACAATTTGGGGCAATTAAAATGTTAAAAAAACCTTGCGGACGGAGGAGTATTAGCATATATAAAATTGTACATATGGTTGATTGAATATGTCATTATTGATTATGTATACCCAATGTATCAGTCGCCTGGTGGGGTTTCACTGTGTTTTGGTTGTTGGTAAAAAAATAAAAAATTTAAACACAAAAAAAAGACTTCTCCCAATTTGGCGGTTCAAAGGACTGCCAGCCCAGCTTTGATTCCCCCATCTGCTAAATCAGGGGGTGAAATCTGGGGTGCAACAGCAGATGAGGAGGGCTGGCAAAGGGGTCATTTTCCAGATCACAAGTTGACCAACTCCACTACCTCCCTGGAAAGGGCCAGTCGACAGGCTACAATATCCTTAGACCACCACAGACAGACAGACAGAAACTGCAACCCAAACCTCACCCTGATTTTGTGTCGCTCCTTGAAGCTCTCTACGCTCTCCACGTCTTCTTTCACATTCTTCTCCTGCGCAACGGGTCCGGCCTGGAAGACGATGCGAGGAGGGGGTTTCTGCCGCAAACTGTTCTCCCAGCCAGCGGATCCGCGCCTCCGCACCTGGGAATCGAAAAGGATTGGTGTCGCTCACTGCCTGGGTTTGTCAGGGGCAGGCGGGACAGAGGAAGGTGACAGCCTGCCCTCGTTTCATTGGGGAAGGGGTGACGTGATCCTGCCATCAAAGCTGGCACAGGGATGGAAATTCAGGGGCAGAGCGATGGCCACCAATTGAGACAGCGTGAAAAGAGGATTTGACAGATTCGTGGAAGGCAAAGCTTTCAAGGGCTATTAGCTGCAATGTCTATGTTGAGCCTCCATATCAGCATGTCTTTGAAGCGGCTGGAAATCGAAAGCAGGGAGAGTATTGCTACCCCACTCAGGCCCATATCAGCTTTTCCCTTTTCTTGTGAGGAATCCTATTCGGAATAAGGGAATTTCCCTTAAAAAGGGGGAAAAGTTGACAGCTACGCTCAGGCCTTGATTTGGGGCACCCGGCTGGTTATGGCTGCCCCTGACAGTTTATACCACTGGTTCCCAAAGGGGACGTGGGGATAAGCTGGGGGGTGCTAAGAGGCAAGGGGGCAGCAGGGGGGCATTGGAGGTGTCCATGACTATCACGCTTTGATAGTCAAGGGGTCAGACTAGATGATCCTCGTGGTCTCTTCCAACCCTACAAGTCCAAACTCATCGGTTTTGTTGAATTAATTAAACTGAACAGTTTTAATGGACTTTCGAATGAATGTGCAATTAATTGTTACTGCATTGAATTTTATTATCATATGTGGTGGGAATGTAGAGAAATTTTTAAAAAAATGGGGAATGATATATAATGAATTGAAGAAAATGTTTAAAATGAAATTTGTAAAAAAATTCCAGAAGCATTTTTGTTAGGGATTGTAGGACAAGACCTGCCAAGGGAAACAAAGAATTTATTTATGTATGCTACAACAGCGGCAAGAGTCTTGATAGCACAAGGATGGAAGAATGAGAAAACCCAAAAAAAAGAATAGTGGCTAGAGAAATTGATGAACTATGTAGAGTTGGCTAAATTGACATACAAACTGCATGATAAGGACAACTGTGACTTCAAAGAAGAATGGGAACTTTTTACAAATTACTTAATTTTATGGTGCTACTGTTTTCCTTATACTGGGTTGTGCAATCCGCTGTTCTGAGTTACACTTTTTATAAGGGAGGGTGGGGGGAACAGGGGGTGAGTTTATGGAACCAAAAGACAGGTGGCCCACAAATGTTTTGGGAGCCGCTGGTCTGTATTGCCAGCAACTGCTAAACGTGATGTGACATTCAGGGTTTGGAAAAAGATCTCACCTCCTCCTGGCCTTCTTTGGGGACCTCCTCATCCTGTTCCTTCCACTTCGCCTTGCGAGGCACTTTCTCTGCTTCATCGACATCTGCACAAGAGGAAACGGGGCCTCGAGTCAGCTTCCTCCCATTTGGGCCAAGCCCCTGGGGAACCCCCCACCCCAGAACCTGCTCACCTAATACCGTGGTACCTCGAGTTAAATACTTAATTCGTTCCGGAGGTCCGTTCTTAACCTGAAACTGTTCTTAACCTGAAGCACCACTTTAGCTAATGGGGCCTCCTGCTGCGGCCGGAGCACGATTTCTGTTCTCATCTTGTACTGAAGGGACAAGATACCCAAATCCTGTCTGAAATCACCCCAGGCTTCAATAATCACCCCCGGCCTCAAAACTGTCCAGAACTCCCTTTTGTCTTCTAAAAATCCAAAACAGCTTTTCTCTGCTTGTCTCTGCTTATTCTCACAAGATGCTGTGCATAGGCAAAATGTTACTTTTAAATGCTCATTGCCAAGAATACTCAGGCCTGAGAAACGAATCTTATCTCATTGGGTTGCAACATCTTGGACACGGTGAACCACCAGCTCCTCGACCCCTCGGCTCTCATTCCCCCTTTCCTGCCAAGAGTCCAATAGTCCCAAGACAGCTTTCTGTTCATGCTCAGAGGAACTCATGAGGCAGGACTCCTGAGGGAGGAGAAAAGGGGGAGGGAACTGGAAAGGGGTATATATGCTTGTGCACATGACTGTGAACTTCGTGCATGCTTTTTGTGAACTATCAGACTTGCTCCTTCTACCAGTTCATGGATGGTAGAAATAAAAGCCTTTTCTCCGAAACTATTCCTTGAGTGTCTGTTGACTCCCGCTTCCCTTTCCCGGGCGCAATATTTTTCCCACCTGAGGGCAAAGCCTCATAAGGCTACAGTACCACAGTACAACTGATAGAATTCTACAGGATGTGGCATTAGTGTGTGAAAACATTCAAGATCCAAGGATCCAAGGTTTGCACCTCCCGGTGCTGGTGATGGGCTTAGGCATCACAGCACCACCGCTGGCAACCCACTAGACCCCTAAAGCAGCTTCAGTGCCCTCTATTTTAGTGCCCTTCTGAGACGCAGGAGCTTCAGCCAAGACCCAACTGCTGCCCATCAGCTGGCACCAAGCCTGGCTCCACAGTCCCCTTGGGATATATACTGGGGTGGTCAGAGCTCCTCATAATAATAATATGATTTATACCTCACCCTCCCAAGACTGGGCTCAGGGCGGCTAACACCAAATATAAAAACAATTGATTGAAATACTGCTTAAAAAACAAGATTAAAATACAAGATTAAAACATTAAAATGCAGCCTCATTTCAGTGGAAACTCAATCAAAAACTTTTTTGCACCTCCTCAGCCAAAGAGGTGCCAAACCACCAGCCTCGTGAGGGAACAGGAGGCAGATTTCCAAGGATACCTGAATTCTTCTGCTTCCTTTTGACTTTCAAGGTAGGCTCGGCCTTGTCCTTGGCTGGGTCACCGCAGCTTCCATTGACCAAGACCAGGTTCTCCTCCTCGCTGTCCATCGTCCACTGGACCACCTTCTCCTTCTTCATGTTAACCTGCAGGATGGGAGGGACAGGTGCTTTAGTTGAGATACCTGCATTGCACGGGGTTGGACTAGATGACCTGCGGGGGTCCCACACAACTCTGTGGCCACAGGAGCCTCAGACAGGGCTGCCAAACGCCTGGATTTTCCTGGACATTACCAGCATTTCAAAGGCAGGGGGGATTTCCGAAATGTGGTGCTTTGCCCCTGGCAAAATAAACTAAGACGTTATGTAGAATTGGTGAGACTAACAGCAAGGCTATAAGGCGTTACAGAGGAAAAAACTGCCAGAGAGTGGAATATATACAGAGTCTATGTAAAAGAACATTGTCAAAATATCAATCCGTTGGTAGGTCTTGATTAAGCTTCTGTCTGTAAGTAGAACAACTTGAAAAATCTTTAAGTACCGGTAAGTTAAATAATAGGTTGAAAACAAAGTTAAGTGCATATTTCAGGAATTTGACTCGGAACACAATGAGAAGATTGAGGTCATGTTAAATTGAATTTCAGAATGATATAAAAAAACAAGTATCAACCAAGGATTGAATGAATGTTTATTTTTATTTTGATAGCAACCTTTATTGATCATTTCTGTTTTACAGTTTTCAAGAAACCAAGAAAGCAAAAAAAAAAATCTTGTTTCTTTGGCGATTTGGTAAAACACAAAACAAAACACACCACAATTATTCAGTTTTCTTTTATTTTTATTTAGTTCCAGGCATACCAACTCTACCAAATGTGAGTCACCCAAGCAATTGGGGATGAGGGAGACTGCGGCCCCCTAGAGAACAAGCACAGTCAATTTCCAGGGAAAGATAGTCCTTTGGTTGCATTTAAATGCCGCAGGGTTAAGAACAAGCAACCGTGGAATAGCATTGCCTTGTGGAAAGATTCCCCAGTTTTAAAAAAATCACTTCAATTAAATTTGCATCCAGTTCTAAATATTTCAGCATCCGGGCATGAGGAATCCCTTTCTAGACAAAGGAATAAGGAATAAGAAAACACAGACTGGCTTTTCTCAGTCTTCCTCTACTGAGGCTTCTCTGCTTAATCCTTTGATGTGCATCTTCCTCTGTATCCACCAAACCCCTTTATAACTGCTTTGTTTGCTTTTCATTACCTACCAGGCATTCACCTCCCATCTGCTCAACACGGGACATTGTATTGCATTGTATCGTCATTATAGAAATGAAACCGTGTGCACAGTTTATTTTAGTCGTCCCTATAGCTTGTTTGTACAAAACAGGCTGGCATTCACAGTTCGTTTTTCTGAATAAATGAAAATCACCTAACCCCAAAATTAAATTGAGGCTTTTCTAGGGTAAACTTGTAATCATAGGCAAAACAGGGGGGTTTTTTGCCAACGGCTCATTCTCAATGTAAAATCACATGTAAAAAAAAAGTCATTGGTGTTCAAAAACAACTATTTTTGCTACACAACCTGACTATACCTCTTCCCTTGGTTTTAATGTATCTACGTGGTGCTTATAGTCTGTTTGTTTGTTTGCTTGTTTGTTTGAAGGTTGCTTTGGGATAAAGCGACTGACAAATTTAACAAATAAATAAACCCAGTGGCTTTGAACCTAGGTTTCTCCCCAATGCGACACTCTAACCACTACCCCGCATTGTCCTTCCACAGCCCCCACCCAACATTACAGAATAAGAACCACCCAAATATTTAGGTGGCCTAAAGTGTGTTGTTGCCCAAGGCAAAAGGTGGGGTGGCACCCTTTCCCCATCATCACAGAATTATAATAATAATAATAATAATAATTTATTATTTATACCCCACTCCAGGTTACTTGCTTCCGGAAAAAAATCAATTTGCAAGTTGAGATTCCTACATTGCATGGGGTTGGACTAGATGCCTCTGGGGACCCTTCAACCCTACAATTCGATGCTTCTGTGGACACCTGAAGGGCCGGCGCTTCCACACTCCTGCTATACAGCCTCTTGATTAGTCACAAAAAGAAATTGCCACCCCACCAGCCCAGGCACTGCGCATGTGCACGGCATGAGTTTGGTATGGCTGCATCAGGTTTAAGGTGCTGGTTTTAACCTTTAAAGCCCTATACGGCCTAGGACCCTCGTACCCATGGGACCGCCTCTCCTGGTATGCCCCACAGAGGACCTTACGGTCTTCAAACAAAAATACCTTGGAGGTCCCAGGCCACAGGGAGGTTAGGCTGGCCTCAACCAGAGCCAGGGCCTTTTCGGCCATGGCCCCGATCTGGTGGAACGCTCCGTCACTAAAGACTAGGTCCCTGTGGGACTTGACATCTTTCCGCAGGGCCTGCAAGACGGAGCTGTTCCACCAGGCCTTTGGTCAGGGCACAATCTGACCCCCTCCTTTGGTAATCCTCACAGAACTCTAGCGCAGTGATTGCCATTAATTTGATTTTGAATTGATTTTAGAATGAATTGATTTTAGAATGCATTTCAATTAACTGATTGTGATTTTATGTAGACTGTGTTATTTTTATTGTTGTTAGCTGCTCTGAGCCCAGCTTCGGCTGGGGAGGGCAGGATATAAATAAAATTTTTATTTTATTATTATTATTATTATTATGAGTTTGGTGTGGCTGCATCTAGCACAACTTGTGGCAGACTTGCTGGGGGTGTGGAATTGGCCAACATCACCAGGGCTGATCTCTAGACAAAGGTCTTGTGTTGGAAGAAGACTCTGAAAGCCAGCAACGCACTGTTTGGGAACAGGTGCTTGGCTCCAACCTGAGTCTGGGATGGGCTATGAAAAACACTGTGATTCTTCTATTTAATGAATGCCCTGTGAAGCACAGATGACAACAAGCAGAGACAAGGGGCCTTTTTGGAGTGGCAGTTTGTGATTGTAGCATTAAGCACATGGGAACATTAAGTCGAGCCGGCTGGGTCAGGCAAAGAGGCCCACAAGCAGAATCTGAACGCAAGAGCCCTCTCCCGTTCTGTGGGTTCCAGCAACTGGGATTCAAAGCATTGCTGCCTCCAGCTGTGGGAACAGAACAGAGCCACTGTGGCTGGTAACCATCACAGTCCTCTCCTCCTCCACTGTTTTGTCCAGTCCTCTTTTATAGCCATCTAAGTTGTGTCAGCGAGTTCCGCCGCCTAATTACATTTGCTGCATGTATTAATCCTTTCAGCTCCTTTCCTCTCCCACCTCATCTGACAAATCAAAACACTTGTGCACTTAAAAAGAAACACCACCAGGACCTATTGCAGCAGCTTTCAGGCCCATGAGACTCCAAATTCCAGCATGTCGGAGCTGTTTCATTCTGTCCTTACAGATGACAAAAAAGGTGAAAAAACCAATCACAAGAAACTGGGGGGGGGGAATATCGCCCTTTTTAGTACAGTGGTACCTCTGGTTGCGAACGGGATCTGTTCCGGAGGCCCGTTTGCAACATGAAATGAATGCAACCCACAGTGGCGCGTCTGCGCACGTGCAGGTTGTGATTTGCCGCTTCTGCGCTTGCGCATGACGTCATTTTGCGCATGCGCGAGCGGCGAAACCCTGAAGTAACCCTTTCCGGTATTTCCGGGTCGCCGCAGGACGTAACCTGAAAGAACGTAACATGAAGTGCACATAACATGAGGTATGACTGTAATGCCGAACTCACTTCAGCCAAGACAGGCCTTCCTAGGGGGAATTTGTGTTTCCTTGTGGACAATTCAAAAACATCCATTTTGAAACACCCACGTCCTTGCATTTTTCAGGGCGCGTCCTCAGGAGTTCTGCCTACAGTGTTTTCAAAGATGCTTTCAGTTGTCCACAAGGAAACATAAGTGCCCCTGCAGAAAGCCTGTTTTTGGCAGAAATGTGGTAGGAATTAATAAACAGTGCAATACTCTTTATTCAGCGCCTTGATACGGGTTCCCCCTTTTTGGTCTTCCTCATTGGATGCATATATTGTCTCCCTGCTTATTTAACTTATATGCAGAATTCATCATGCGAAAGGCTGGGCTGGATGAATCCCTAGCCGGAATTAAAATTGCCAGAAGAAATATCAACAACCTCAGATATGCAGATGACACAACCTTGACGGCAGAAAGTGAGGAAGAATTAAAGAACCTTTTAATGAGGGTGAAAGAGGAGAGCACAAAATATGATCTGAAGCTCAACATCAAAAAAGCTAAGATCATGGCCACTGGTCCCATCACCTCCTGGCAAATAGAAGGGGAAGAAATGGAGGCAGTGAGAGATTTTACTTTCTTGGGCTCCATGATCACTGCAGATGGTGACAGCAGTCAAGAAATTAAAAGACGCCTGCTCCTTGGGAGAAAGGCGATGGCAAACCTAGACAGCATCTTAAAGAGACATCACCTTGCCGACAAAGGTCCTTATAGTTAAAGCCATGGTTTTCCCAGTAGTGATGTATGGAAGTGAGAGCTGGACCATAAAGAAGGCTGATCGCCGAAGAATGGATGCTTTTGAATTCTGGTGCTGGAGGAGACTCTTGAGAGTCCCATGGACTGCAAGAAGATCAAACCTCTCTATTCTGAAGGAAATCAGGCCTGAGTGCTCACTGGAAGGAAAGATCCTGAAATTGAGGCTCCAAGACTTTGGCCACCTCATGAAAAGAGAAGACTCCCTGGAAAAGACCCTGATGTTGGGAAAGATGGAGGGCACAAGGAGAAGGGGACGACGGAGGACGAGATGGTGGGACAGTGTTCTCGAAGCTACAAACATGAGTTTGACCAAACTGCGGGAGGCAGTGGAAGACAGGAGGGTCTGGCGTGCTCTGGTCCAGGGGGTCACAAAGAGTCGGACACGACTAAACAACATTGGATGCCTCCCATTTCTCATGTTGTGTGCATCCTTGCAAATGCCAGAAATTCCCCACAAATGCCTGTTCGGCTCTGACCTTCATCTCTGGAGCTCTGCACTCTCTGCAACAAAGGGGAGGCAGGAAGCAGGCAGTTGTGTCCTGGGTAGAGTAAACCTGCCAGCCAGCTGCTTACTGAAATCTCATTGATCCTGCACATCTGCTCCCAGACCCAGGACACAATGGGGGAGGAAGCTGCCTGGGCATGTGGGACCCCACCCTGCTACACACAGCCCCGCCTGTAAATCAGGCGGACGACCAGAAACCGTCTCAAAGGGGCTTTCCTCCAAAGAGAGATGCCTGGTCTGGAATGCAAGGACCAGGACCGAACTCTGTTTTCAGTTCCAGGGCTCAGCCAAATCACGTGTGAAGTGCTGGTTGAGGAAGAGACTACCCCTGACCATGTGCAAAGCGCTGTTCCCCCAAGGGAGAAAACACAAAGCCCTGGATTGTGTGTCCCATGAAAAATGTAAAGAATTAAAGAAAGGCTACTATGTTTAGAAAAGGAGCTGCCCTCTGTATCTCTGCATGATTTGCTGCTCAAGTTTTATTCCTCCAGTTAGTCTCCCTTGCAGAGCAGATAATTCTGCTGCAATCTCTGCCTTTTGCTCCTGATGCAAGTAGTGCAATTGAAGCGCATGGCTTCAGAGGAGGCTGCAGGTAGGGACTCTGTGGTTCAGTTCAGACCATGATGATTTATAATTTCATTTCTATACCGCTTTATCTTTTTAAGAACAACACCTCAAAGCGGTGTACAGCCTACATTAAAATATCAAATAAAGCTATCCAGAATAAAACACTGCAGAAGAAAGTCAAAAATAAAGCATACGTTCAAAGCAACATAATTAACAGGAAACCAAAATTAAAGATTCCAAAATGAAACAGTTGCCTTAGCCCATGGCTAGGCAAACTAAGGCCTGGGGGCCGGATGCGGCCCAATCGCCTTCTAAATCTGGCCCGCGGACGGTCCAGAAATCAGTATGTTTTTACATGAGCAGAATGTGCCCTTTTATTTAAAATTCATCTCTGGGTTATTTGTGGGGCCTGCCTGGTGTTTTTACATGAGCAGAAGGTGTGCTTTTATTTAAAATGCATCTCTGGGTTAGTTGTGGGGCATAGGAATTCATTCATTATTATTTTTTTCAAAATATAGTCTGGCCCCCCACAAGGTCTGAGGGACAGTGGACCGGCCCCCTGCTCAAAAAGTTTGCTGACCCCTGCCTTAGCCCAATAGTTCAGGTGTAGATGACAGACACAAGGCAGCAGGTAGAGGGGTGGTCTGGCCTGCCCAACACCCAAATTGCCCAATTCACACATGCACGCACATCCCTCAAGTTCTTCGCTCAGCAGCTGCTAGGCAAACATGTGGATTGACTCCCCTGGAAAACACGGCTGTGCCTGGGATGCTTGATTTGTGCAGGCACCCACCTGAGAGCAATAACACCTGTGTGCACCAACCTTTTGACTGGAAGGGGTGTGTAGCATTGTCCTCATTTTATCTTTTCATGGAAATCTATTGTATCCTACTCCACCCCATCCCCAAACCCTGGAACAGGTGCAGGCTCAGAGAGCAGTCCTGAAACTTGGCTGGCTCCATCAATGAATCACACGGGAAGAGGAACAAACAGATGTGGGGCGCTCTGGGGAGAAAGAATACAGACAGCTGCCTTCAAAATCAGGTCATCCAACTCCCGAGATGGGATCTATCTTTAAAGGTAAAGGGTAAAGGGACCCCTGATCATTAGGTCCAGTCGTGGCCGACTCTGGGGTTGCGGCGCTCATCTCGCTTTCTTGACCGAGGGAGCCGGCGTACAACTTCCGGGTCATGTGGCCAGCAGGACTAAGCCGCTTCTGGCGAACCAGAGCAGCACACGGAAACGCCATTTACCTTCCCGCCGGTGCGGTACCTATTTATCTACTTGTGCTTTTGAACTGCTAGGTTGGCAGGAGCAGGGACCGAGCAACGGGAGCTCACCCTGTCGCGGGGATTCGAACCGCCAACTTTCTGATCGGCAAGCCCTAGGCTCTGTGGTTTAACCCACGTCCCTTATAACTGTCTTTTTTAAAAAAAATAAAGTGGCAGGGGCCGGGGGCGGTGTGGGGAGGCACACATGGAAGGACTACAGCTCAGATTCTGACTTGATAGTGATTTGATCAAAAAGCGATGGATTCTGAAAGCTAGCTGTTATGGAGCTCGCTTCCACAGGGGGCAGCGAGGGCCACCAACTTTAAAATAATAATAATAATAGTAAAATTTTATTTATACCCCATCCTTCCCGGTTCAAAAACCAGGCTCAGGGCGGCTAACAACAAATTTAAAACAATTGTAAAAGCAGCATAAAATACAGTATAAAAACATGAATAACAATAAAATTCAAAGTTCAGAAATCAATTTAGGGGAAATCCATCTAATAAGCATTAGATAATCCCCAGGGCTAGCTGGCTGAATTAGTCCTACTTGGGCCAGCGAGGAGACCAGGGGAGAATTAGCTGTGGGGTCTCAAAAAAGGGGAGGGGGAGGGAAGACAAGGGAAATAAAAGATCAGGCTGAATTCAAATTAAAGGCCAGGCAGAATAGCTCTGTCTTACAGGCCCAACGGAAGGAGGTTGAATCCTGCAGGGCCCTAGTCTCATGGGACAGAGCAATCTACCAGATCAGAGACACCACTGAGAAGGCCCTGGCCCTGGTGGAGGATAGTCTGACTTCCTTAGGGCCCGGGACCTCTAAACTATGGTTATTCATGGACCTTAAGGTCCTCTGTGGGTCAGACCAGGAGAGGCGGTCCCGTAGATATGAGGATTGGACAAATTGGACAGAGAGAGGATTGGACAAATTCATGGAAGAAAGGCAGAGAGGCTTATCAATGTCTCTGCTCTGCTTCCGCAATGGGAGGCAGCAATGCTTGTGAATCTCAGTTGCTGGAAACCACAGGAGGCGGAAAGTCTCTGTTGAGCTCATAATAATAATAGTAAAATAATAAAATTTTATTTATATCCCGCCCTCCCCAGCCGAAGCTTGCTTGTGGGATTCCCATTGGGAGCATCCGGTCAACTAGTGTGAGAACAGGATGCTGGCCAAATGGACCACTGGCCTGATTCAGCAGGCTGTTCTTATGGTCTTAGGTTTTGGGGGGAGGGAGCAGCTGCCCCCACCAGCAACCTGGACTGCTGCCTCTTTCTTAACCCGCCTCCTTTCTCCAGAGTTAATCCCAGCCTTTTGTCCTTGCAGAGCTGCCCCTCTCGATCCTTTCAAAGGGATGCAGAAATAATTGGTTGCCATTTAGCAAGTTCTGGCTGAATTTGTTTAATTGGGGCCCCAACGGAGGAACAAGGGAGGTGCAAGTCGAAGGGAGAGGGTGCAGGTGTTGGAGGAGGAAGAGGGTTGCCCAAACCTTGCCCACCCACCTCCCACCCGCCTCTCTGCATGGCAGGCATAAGTACTGGAGACCAGATCTTGGGAGAGGGGGCTTCTGCAATGTCCAGGACACCCGAAAACTCCCAACCAGCGTTAAGTAAGAGACTGAGATATGAAAACCAGGAGCTAAAGGGCACCTTAAACCGAGGTTATGGGCGCAACAACGGAGTGCCTAGGCGCACTTTTTTATAGCAAGAATACAAAGCTGAAAATGAATGAACTGCAGCTAAAATATTACAGTGGTACCTCGGGTTACAGATGCTTCAGGTTACAGACGCTTTAGGTTACAGACTCCACTAACCCAGAAATAGTACCTCGGGTTAAGAACTTTGCTTCAGGATGAGAACAGAAATCGTGCTCCGGCGGTACGGCAGCAGCAGGAGGCCCCATTAGCTAAAGTGGTACCTCAGGTTAAGAACAGTTTCAGGTTAAGAACGGACCTCCAGAACGAATTAAGTTCTTAACCTGAGGTACCACTGTATGTTCATTTTTCACATGGTCTAGTCCTTTCCCTGCCCACCCCCCTAATATTCCTAAGAGGCTCCGGTCTTCAGAGAGTAGGTGGAAGTGGGCAGGCAGAAAAAGCCATTGCTCAAGACAAGAGGCTGGGGAGGAATCCACCCCACACGCCCCCAGATCATTTTTTTGCCCATGCAGCAATTCTGCATTTGTTCGGTTGTGGAGCTTGCAGAGGCTAGGCTCAAGGTCTGTCTGAGGAAGGCAGGCCTCTCCGCAGGAAGGGGGCAGCACCCCACATTCCTCTCCAAATATCTACCTTTTGGTAGAGAGCACTGGCCGCTCCTGGGATGTAGCGGCGCATGGTGCATTGGGCTCAACAGTACTGACAGCTGGAACCACAGTCCAGCAGGAAAATGGGTGCACGGATCACTTCTAGTAGTAGTTCGGTATTTTAAATGCCTGTAACGTACCGTATTTTTTGCTCTATAAGACGCACTTTTTCCCTCCTAAAAAGTAAGGGGAAATGTGTGTGTGTCTTATGGAGCAAATGCAGGCTGCGCAGCTATCACAGAAGCCAGAACAGCAAGAGGGATTGCTGCTTTCACTGCGCAGCGATCCCTCTTGCTGTTCTGGCTTCTGAGATTCAGAATATTTTTTTTCTTGTTTTCCTCCTCCAAAAACTAAGTGCGTCTTATGGTCTGGTGCGTCTTACAGAGCGAAAAATACGGTATTTAGAAAATCCACTAGCATTCTCCATGTGGGTTATAAAATCATGTCAGTGGTTCCCTAAAATGAACCACTTTCTGCTACTGAATGGCGTTTTCTGCAAACCCTCAGTTTGCTACCACTTTCAGAATAATTGAAAATGTTAAAATGGTGGGGATTTTTGGTGCACAAACAAAATCTGGTTGAGCTGTTGCTTGAAAAATCGATAATACATCTACATGTTTGTTTGTTTTTTCAAAAAATGAAAGTAACTTGATTTATTAGAAACTGGCATTCCAAGTAAAAAGTGGCCAGTTTCACGCATACTAACAGTGCTTATGGGAAAGACAAAGGATGTGGCTCTGTGGTTAACACTCTTCCCTTGCAGGCAAAAAGATCCCAGGTCCGATCCCTGGCTTCTCAAGGTAGAGCTAGGAGAGATTTCCATATGATCCCCCAGGTTAAAGTGCAGCTAATCTGCTCAGACCAGGAACAGGCAAGACTTCAGGCTTGCGGGATCTACTTTGATTTTTACTAGGATCCGCCAACCAGAGCCTGTTGCAAAAGACATACATTTAGAATTAAAGAATCCTGAGCACAGGAATTTACCGTACTTTGAGCACCAGATCTGAATGGAGTTCACAGTGCTCCCACCCAAAAATATATTCCTAATATGTCCCCCCACCCCGAAAACAGCCAGCAGAAGAAAACGATCTGTCAAGGGGGCAGAAATCAGCACAATCCCAGCTTTGGCCTTAATGTCTGAATTAATTTGGTGGGTTTCACTTCATCCCCAAACATCACACACACAATATCCATCACCATCAGCAGTTGAACCCACGCCAACCTCTCCTCCCTTGCCATGGATTATAGGCAGAGACCTTCTCTGGAAACAAGGCCAGGCACTTTAAATTAAAAACAACCCTCAGCAGCTACAGTCTCATTAAATTGTGCAAATCAGCAACAATTATGCACCTCTTAATTTGCATGCTTTGTTCTGGAACCAAATTAACTAGGCTTTGCAACAGAATTTAGACTCTTTTGACAAGGAGGTGGGGAGGAGGGCAAGCGGGAGTCGGTAGAGGAAAACAGTCAGGCCAGAGACTGTATTTGGGGGGGGCGCACGAAGAAGGGGTGACATGGAGGTTGTGGAAAGGAAAAAGGGAGAGAATCTCAGGAATGCATGTTCCGCTCAGTTGGCCAGGACGGCAGAGGAGGTCCTCCTTGATCAGGGGTCCGCAAGTTTTACTGGCCATGGGCAGGATCACTCCCACAGAGATTGTCCGTGGGCCGGACTGGCGCAGCGTGATGCCAGAAATTGCGTCTGCGCATGCCTGTGGTGCCAGAAATCGCTTCTGCACATGCCCAGACGCCAAAATGGCATCTGCGCATGTCTGCGGTGCCGGAATTTGCTTCTGCGCATGCCCAGATGCTGAAAATTGTGCGTGTGCATGTCCGCGGTGTCAGAAATTGCTTCTGCGCATGCCCAGACACCAAAAATCATGCCTACGCAGAAGCATTTTTCAGCGTCTGGACATGCGCAGACGCAATTTCCAGTATCTGCGCATGTGCAGACACAATTTCCTGCACCACTCGGAGAGTCCCCGTGCCGCGCTGGGGGACTCGCTGAGCAGGCGGCTTGGTTTGGGGGCGGCTCGTGGGCCAGTAAAACAGTCTTCGTAGGCCACATCCGGCCCATGGGCCGCACGTTGCTGACCCCTGTCCTTGATGCTGAGAGCATTTATGTAGGCAGGCCACAAGTCTTTGCCCTCCTTTCAGAGGATCTCCACTCTGCAACTGCTGCTCCTCCTAGAATACGTCTGTTTATTTGTTTATAAAAGCATTTCTCTACCACCAGCTCGTTTATTGCTACTGCCATAAAACATAAAACGACTGGTTTAAACAGCTGTATAAGCCCAGTGGCATATAAAGATCTTTCAAGAAACCTTTGGAAGGCAAAGGTGAAGAGGACTCTGCCGAATCTCTGCCAGGAGAGTGTCGCTGGTTGCTCACGGGGCATTTGGTCGGCCACTGTGAGAAGAGGATGCAGACATGAAATACCTGACTCAGGTATCTCAGAGCTGGGCATCTTTAAGGCATCCTGGTCCCATGTTGGTTAACACAGGTGCCTTAAGATGAAAAGAGGATCCTGCTGGTTCAGGCAATGGCTCATCTTGTCCATCATCTTGTTCTCACAGTGGCCAACCAGATGAGCCTTTGGGCCTGATCCACACACGGTTCTTATGTTATAATAATAATAATAATAATAATAATAATAATAATAATTATTATTTATTATTTATACCCCGCCCATCTGGCTGAGTTTCGCCAGCCACTCTGGACGGCTCCCAATCAGTGTTAAAAACAGTACAGCGTTACATATTAAAAACTTCCCTGAACAGGGCTGCCTTAAGATGTCTTCTGAATGTCAGGTAATTATTTATCTCTTTGACATCCGATGGGAGGCCGTTCCACAAGGCGGGCGCCACTACCGAGAAGGCCCTCTGTCTGGTTCCCTGTAGCCTCACTTCTCGCAATGAGGGAACCGCCAGAAGGCCCTTGGCACTGGATCTCAGTGTCCGGGCTGAATGATGGGGGTGGAGACGCTCCTTCAGGTATACTGGACCGAGGCCATTTAGGGCTTTAAAGGTCAGCACCAACACTTTGAATCGTGCTTGGAAACGTACTGGGAGCCAATGCAGATCTCTCAGAACCGGTGTTATGTGGTCCCGGCAGCCACTCCCAGTCACCAGTCTAGCTGCCGCATTCTGGATTAATTGCAGTTTCCGGGTGACCTTCAAAGGTAGCCCCACGTAGAGCGCGTTGCAGTAGTCCAAGCGTGAGATAACCAGAGCATGCACCACTCTGGCGAGACAGTTCACGGGCAGGTAGGGTCTTAGCCTGCGTACCAGATGGAGCTGGTAAACAGCTGCCCTGGACACAGAGTTAACCTGCGCCTCCATGGACAGCTGTGAGTCCAAAATGACTCCCAGGCTGCTCACCTGGTCCTTCAGGGGCACAGTTACCCCATTCAAGACCAGGGAATCCCCCACACCAACCCACTCCCTGTCCCCCAAAAACAGTACTTCTGTCTTGTCAGGATTCAACCTCAATCTGTTAGCCACCATCCATCCTCCAACCGTTATCATTCTGTTTCCACAGGGGTCAATGAGATGCTGAAATGATGCTCATTGCAACAGAGGAGCAGAAGTCCATTTGTGGAATGCTGTCCCCAGGGAAGTTTGCCTGGCACCATTCCTTATATATTTTTAGGTGCCAGACAAAAATGTTCCTCTTGAACCAGGCCTTTGGCTGATTAATATTCTACAGCCTTCTAATATGTGCCTGTGGGAAGGGGGGTATTATTGTTTTGCCAGTTTTGTTTTAGTTATTTCCTCGTGTTTTTATCTTGTATTTTATTCTATGAATCGCCCTGAGATCTTATGATGAAGGTCCAAAATGTACAACTTATTATCTGAATGGGAAAGGAAAGATGAACTAGTAAAATCAGCGATGATTCACTGGGCAAGAGATATAGGTCATAATGTAAGAGTTGTCTGCATGGGAGAAATTATGGGGAAAGGATTTGAAATTTACAGCATGTTACACACTAAGGTAGAATTACATGGAAATGATTTATAGGTGGTATAAGTAAATTAGCAAAAATCTACAAATCCAAAGCAGATATCTGTCGGAAATGTAAATAAAAAGAAGGCACATTTCATCATATGTGGTGGACATGCAAAAAGGTTAAGCCTCACTGGGAGATGATATATAATGAACTGGAAAAAAATGTTTTAAAAATCATTTGTTAAATGCCCAGAATCCTTTCTTCTAGGTATAACAGATGAAAGTGTATTGAAAGATCAGAAATCCCTCTTTATGTATGCAACTACAACAGCTCGAATGGAATATTCCCAGGTGGAAAGAGGGTATAATATCAACACAGGAAGAATGGCAGACGAAACTGATAGAATATGTAGAAATGGCAAGAATGACAAATAGAATAAGAGATCAAGATGGAAAACTATTTAAAGAAGATAGAAAATGTTTTGTAGATTATTTGGAAAATTAAAGGTAAATGGACCCCTGACCATTAGGTCCAGTCATGGCCGACTCTGGGGTTGCGGTGCTCATCTCGCTTTACTGGCCGAGGGAGCTGGATTACAGCTTCTGGGTCATGTGGCCAGTATGACTAAGCTGCTTCTGGCAAACCAGAGCAGCGCACGAAAACGCCATTTACATTCCCGCCAGAGTGGTACCTATTTATCTACTTGCACTTTGACGTGCTTTCGAACTGCTAGGTTGGCAGGAGCAGGGACCAAGCAACGGGAGCTCACCCCGTCGCAGGGATTCGAACTGCCGACCTTCTGATCAGCAAGCCCTAGGCTCTGTGGTTTAGACCACAGCACCACCCGCGTCCCTTCTGGAAAATTACTGTAAGCATATTAAAAAGTTAACAGTGACAGAGTAAATTCAGCAGTAATAACTAGGGAGATATAGAAAATGAGAAAATGAAAAGATAGGTATTAATTAGAAAATGTAGTAGAAAAGAAAATAATGAAGTGAACCGTGGAAAGGGCAGGGGGGAGTTGAAATTAAATGTGTATTTGGATCATTAGTCATTGTCCTTATTGTAAAATGAAAATGACAGATGACTATTAAAAAAGAGATCTTATGATGAAGGGTAAAGAAGAAGACGACGAAGAAGAAGAAGAAGAAGACGAAGAAGAAGAATTGTATCCCACTCTTAGATCAAACGATGTCTTGAAACTTAGCCATCCCCATTGAAAAGCATTGTGCTTTGAGGTGTCTTCCGGAGACTTAAACATTCCAACTGTGGCAAAGCAGGACAGTTCAATCAAGAATTCGGGTCATCGCAGTGGCCAAAGAACCTGTGGAACTCACTGCTGGAAGAAGCAGCAATGGTGTCAAACTCCAATATCAGCATCCTCAAAATATCTTTGCAAAAGGTTTGGAATAATTCATAAAAGATCTTGGGTGAATTCGGTGGATATCAGCTACCTATTTGTGTCTACCTTGGTGCAGCCCCCAGGGAAGCCAGGCTTCTCCACCACCACCCCCCATCAGTGGAAAGAGTTATACTGCTCATATTAAGTGACCTGGGGATAACTAGGAGTGGAATTATGTATGGAAGGAAATTGAGCACTATTACAAAATTCCTGAGCTTAGGATCTTTTGCATCAGTCTCTGGGTGACAGATCTTGGGATTCTACCAGATCCAGAAACCTGATTCTTCTTATGCATTTAATTCACATCTTGATCTTTTTTATATACACAGATTATTCAGGTCCCCAGTCACAGCTAAGGATGAGCATATATTACACTGTGCTTTCCTGCAAGATGCATTTGATGGTGGGAAATAAACTTATGAGCAGTGTCTACCGTATTTTTCGTCCCATAGGACGCAGCTAGTTTTTTTGGGGGGAAATAAAGGAAATTTCCCCCCCTTTATTTCCCCCCCAAAACCAGGTCGGGGAAACCGAACCAGGTTGAGGAACAGCGGGATGGCGGCGCTGTGCCTCCCTGCTGTCCCCCAAGCTTCTGGGGCTGGCCGATGTCTGCCTGGCGCGCGGGGCGCTCTGCTTCAGGGCGCCCCTCGCGCCGGGTGGCAGGTTGCTATCCGCAGCCTAGACAGCCCTGCGGGAACTCCCTCAGGATTGCCTAGGCTGCGGATGTGTTCCCAAAGCGCCGGGCGCTCTGCTTTCAGCGCGCCCGGCGCTCCGGGAAGCAGGCTGCTATCCGTACCCTAGACAGCCCTGCGGGACCTCCCGCAGGGCTGCCTAGGCTGCGGATGTCTTCCTGAAGCCTGGAGAGCGAGAGGGGTCGGTGCGCACCGACCCCTCTCGCTCTCCAAGCTTCAGCGAAAGCCTGCATTCGCCCCATAGGACGCACCCAGATTTCCCCTTCATTTTTGGAGGGGAAAAAGTGCATCCTATAGGGCGAAAAATACGGTAATTTGTTTTTACAAGGAAATGGCGGACAAAAGCATTCTTGTCGCAGATCCTTAACCATCACAAAAATAATTTGGATGTGAGCTCTCCTGCGGTCAGTCACTTTTAATTGCATTCCAGGTTTGTTTGTTCCACTGTATAATTTTGTCTAATTGGTTTTATTGCTTCAGGATTTGAAGGGACAGCATTCATATTTCAAACAATGTGTGCTGTCTGGAGTATTCAAAGCATAGCACATGCATTATCCATAATCAATTATCTTCACAACAGCCCTGAAGTATTTTTTGCATCTTCACATTGCAGTGGGAGTGGCTGGGACATGATATAATGCACAACCCTCCTAATCCAAGCAGAGACCCTTAGCCACTGTGATTTGGCAGCACTGACACCCAGCTTGGCTGAGACTCCCACCGTAGTGATGAAGGAACTCCCCACATGCTCAGAAGCACTGTTGTTTGAACCACCGCCAGAGACTTGGCGCTTGAACCAGGCTCTGGGGCCGAGCTCTACATTACGTGACCATTCCCACAATGCAGAAATGCAAAGTGAAAATCAGTCCTTTTTCTAAACTCCGTGCTGCAATCTTGCCTAGCCCTCCAGCCCGCAAGGCTAAGCAAAGTTGCCTCTCCTAGACCTCTCCCCCTATCTCTGTCCCTCTTTCTTTCTCTGACAAGCAACTTCCCAGAGCCTCACCTCTCGCCACTCTAACAGAGGATGTGGCTCCATTCCTATCCACCTTCCCTCCTTCACCCTCTTTCTTTAATTACATCATTACCGGAAGGCCTCAAGCGCCAGGAAACTTCTGTTTTATAACTGAGCGTTTAGAGAACTCCCGTCTCCTCTTCCTTCCCCTAACTCAAGAATGGCTCACTGCCTCTAACCACCAGCTAATATCTGCTCAAGACACACATTCTGCTCCCAAAGAATGGGAGATGCTATCTAAGTCAAGCAGCTTAGACTCAGGTTGGCATGACCAGTCCTTTTATAAAAGGTACGCGTGGCGCTGTGGTCTAAACCACAGAGCCTAGGACTTGCCGATCAGAAGATCGGCGGTTTGAATCCCCGCCATGGGATGAGCTCCCGTTGCTCGGTCCGTGCTCCTGCCAACCTAGCAGTTCGAAAGCACGTCAAAGTGCAAGTACAGTGGTACCTTGGGTCAAGAACTTAATTCGTTCTGGAGGTCCATTCTTAACCTGAAACTGTTGTTAACCTGAGGTACCACTTTAGCTAATGGGGCCTCCTGCCGCCGCCACACAATTTCTGTTCCCATCCTGAAGCAAAGTTCTTGACCTGAGGTACTATTTCTGGGTTAAAGTAACGGTAAAGGGACCCTTGACCATTAGGTCCAGTTGTGGCCGGCTCTGGGGTTGCGGCGCTCATCTCGCTTTATTGGCCGAGGGAGCCGGCGTACAGCTTCCGGGTCATGTGGCCAGCATGACTAAGCCGCTTCTGGAGAACCAGAGCAGCGCACGGAAACACCGTTTACCTTCCCGCCGGAGCAGTACCTATTTATCTACTTGTGCTGGTGTGCTTTCGAACTGTTAGGTGGGCAGGAGCAGGGACTGAGCAACGGGAGCTCACCCCGTCATGGGGATTTGAACTGCTGACCTTCTGATTGGAAAGTCCTAGGCTCTGTGGTTTAACCCACAGCGCCACCCGCAAGGAGTCTATAACCTGAAGCATCTGTAACCTGAGGTACCACTGTAGATAAAAAGGTACCGCTCTGGCGGGAAGGTAAATGGCGTTTCCGTGTGCTGCTCTCGTTTGCCAGAAGCGACTTAGTCATGCTGGCCACATGACCCGGAAACTGTACGCCGGCTCCCTCAGCCAGTAAAGCGAGATGAGTGCCGCAACCCCAGAGTCGTCCGCGACTGAACCTAATGGTCAGGGGTCCCTTTATCTTTAAGAGCAGCCTGCTGGATCAGGCCAATGGCCCATCCAGTCCAGCAACCTTTTCTCACAGTGGCAAACCATGCCTGGGGGAAGCCCACAGGCAGGATTCGAACACAGGAGCGGCCCTCTCCCCTGCAGTGGCTTCCAGCAACTGGTGTTCAGAAACATTGCTACTTCTGGCTGTTGATGCACAGAAAACATACACAGAACAACCACCCAGAGCCAGCTTTTCAGGTAAAATGAGTGCTGAAAGCTTGCAGGCCCATTTGAAGGGCTATCTAGCCTCAAGACCAGTTCCCTCAGGCCCTTTGTAAGGAGAGGGCCATTGTCTTGGGCCTCCCGCATGGACAAGGCCACATCGGCCTGGACAAACAGTGCAACCTGGCTGAGAAGATAAGGAAGGGGGAGGTCTCAAATGCACACACGGCACCCAGACTTCTCTGAGTGTTAGAAAGGTCCTGGTGGGCTTAAAACCCAATTCAGACATGCATTTCCAGGGGGGATTGCAACCCTAGAGTCACAACATGGTGCATGCATTGCACATCTCTTTGTCCAGAGCAACACCCCCAGTGCCAACACACTCCTTTTCCATATTTTGCAGTTGTGGAGTTTAAAACACCACAACCCAGCGAGGAATCGCTGCGGCACAAGCAGGCTGCTTCACAACACCGAAAGCGGCATGCGTGAATGCGCCGCTGGCGGGCAAGGCTTTCATGCGTTCTCACATCACGTCAGGCGCCACCACTTCCCAGGTGCGGCTGTCAATCCCCCAGCATATAGAGGAGAGAAACCCAGGGACATTTGCAGCAGCCTTAACCACCTGGCCTGCAAAGGTAAAGCCCAGCCGCAGTGGCAAGCTCTCTTAAGCAAGATGGTAGCCGCTTGGACCAGCCGCTGCAGCCTTGCCATGTTTGAGTCAGGCTCCCCGCCCCCCGCCATTCCGCAACCGATTGTCCTCTGTTCACAGAACAGCAGCAACGGAAAAGTCTCAGATGGATGGAGAGTTGTGCAAATAATGCCCAAATATGTGGGTTGTAATATCCAGCTAAGTCAGTGGTTCCCAAGGCAGGCAGTCGTAAGATGGGGGCTGTGAGATTATCTGTGGGGGGGGGGGGTGCTAAAAGGCAAGAGGCAGGCACTGAGGGAGGTAAGTGCTGGAGGTGTCAATCACTCTCAGACTTTTAAAAGCTGGTATCTCTGGATCAAGGTGATCAGTTTTGTTGAGTTAAATTAAACAGACTAGTTCTAATTGGATTTGGAATAAATGTGCAATTAATGGTTGCTGTTTTGAATTATATTGGGTTGCTATATTTCTTAGGGGGTGGTGCAAATCACTATTTTGAATAATGCTTTGGGGGGGCAGGGGTCCCTGAGGATGAGCTTCTGCAACTAAGGGGGAGGTGGCCTGAGAAGGCTTGGGAGCCACTGAGCTAATTAGAGCAGACCCAGCGGTTGATATCTAGTCAAATAGTTCCACTAGCACAAACAAGGCACCTTAAAAATTTCTCCAAAGAGTTGCAGGGAAACACATATTGAGGGGCATGGGGCTAAAGAAGATGACTAAAAGGCTCCCTAGTGGAATTGTTTAGCTGGATGCCATCCATTGAAATCAATGGGCTTGAGTCGCTCACAACCATTAACGTCAATAGGTCTACTCTGAGTAAGACTAGCATTGTACAGCAGTTTTACCAATATGTGGGTGTAGGATGTAGCCACCCCACTTCTGTGAATAAAAATGTGGTCAAAGGTTTCAAGAGTTAACAAATGCACATTTCGGTATTGTTGAGAATATCAGCCAAAGAGTGATTAGATTCTAACTCTCATCAATGTGTCCATTGCAGAAAAGTTAGTAAACAACCAATGCAAGTATGATCTTCTGAGTTACACACACACCTTCATTCTGAAGTCTTCAGACACTTTCTGCACAGAAAATTTCCATAGACCTCAGTAAGATTCATCAGTAAATGGATGATTTAAAGAACTCTCAATGAATCAGCCATTCTCAAAGGCGTGCATTCCACCTAGGTGTCTTCAAGGGGAGATGGGCCACATCGCAGCCATCTCAAATTGCAAACATGGGTTGTGCATGTGGGCTTCTAACCGTTCTGTGAACTTTCCCCTTGCAGAGGGTTGCCAGTGGCATGGCTTAAAAGCCGCCTTCCCCAAGCTAGCGCCCTCCAGCTGAACCACAAATCCCATCAGCCCCATAGACAACATGGTCACTTCATCGGGTTATATCTTGCTAACTCATTTTGAGACCCATTTTTTCTGCGTGATGGAACCTGACAAATATAAATAAATATAAAATGTACATAAATAGGTAAACAACATCTGGAGGGTGCCAGGCTGGGTAAGGCTGGCATAAAATGTAAAAGCTGGGCACTCTAAATGTGCAAGCCCATCATTTCACATGCTATATGAACACACACAAACACCCTTTTACCTAGAACAAAGAAGCTTATTATGTCTCCTTAAAGATGTGCATCCGCCTTCACCAACCTGGTGCCCCCAGATGTTCTGGACTACAACATCTGGAGGGCACCAGGTTGGTGAAGGCTGATGTACTGATTTGTTGCATGTGCCAGAAGGGCCCTTTTACCGGCTTCTGCCACAATGAGTCAGTTCCTCTTCAAACTTCCACTGGGTATCAAACATGTTTAACTTCTGGAAAGGGTAAAAAGTCAGATAAATAGTTTCTGGACAGCTCACTTGGTCCTCAACTGGGGCAGAACACCAACCCAGCCCTACTTGGGTTTGGGGGGCTTCTCAACGGAGAAGGGAAGAAAAGATATGGGGCAGCGGTGCTTTTTGCAAAGCTCTTTGATGTTGTTTTGAACCAGCCACTTCCCACCTAGAAGCCCCGCAGGGGAATCCGCTTCGGGGGACAAAGGAAAGGGGCGGGAGGCTGAGCAGCCCAGCCCAGAGGGCAAAAACGCCAGGCCGGGGGGGGGGGTCCCACGGTTCCCCCATTGAGTGGAGAAGGGGGTCAGTGCAGGCAATGCGTGGCCCACCCCAAAAGGACAGAAAGAGGGTCCTGCAGCGCGATCCTACAAAAAACGCATAAGTTCCATGGGACTAAGTTGGAAAGGGGCGCAGCCTCGACGTCACGGCCGGGCTTTGGGCTACTCAAACCTCCGTCCCCCTTCAGCAAAAGGAGAAAAGAGGAGACCCACCTCACTGGGCTGTTGTGAGAATGGGCTGTACCCCTGCGAGGGGATGGCATTCCCCCCCCCACCCGACGAGGCTACCGCCCTGCGCGCTTTTACTCTGGAGGGAGCTCCGGCGTGGAACGGCGCGCACCGCCGGGCTGCGCATCCCACCTTCCCCGGCGCGCGCGCTTCTTCCTCGTCCCGGGGGCTGCGCCGCCGTCGAGGCAGCCGAGCGTCGGCTGGGAAACTCCACGGGGAGCGAGGAAGGGGGCGAGGAAGCGGGCGACCCACCGCGCTCCGGTGCCTCTCCAAAGCCACACACGCCCTCCTCACCAACCCCCAGGCGAGCTCCCCAAGTGAATCGTGGTCGTCGGTGCCTCCCAGTGCCCGGCTTCCTCTTCCCTCCCCACGAGGACAAAGCCCCCGGGAGCTGTTCTCCCAGGGCCCCGATCCCGGGGTGCGCGATCCCGGGGAACCCCCTCCCTCGGGCTCCCCACCGGCCCGCCAGCACGGCGCCCGCGCCCGAGGGCGCTCACCTCGGCGCCCGCCTCCTCGTCCTTTCCGTCGGGGTCTCCGCGGTTCCTGCTGCCGCCGAGGCTGCTGTGCCCGCCCGCTGCCAGGCGTGCCTTTTCCCCCTTTTTTCCCGGGTCTCGAATCGGAAACTGACAAGCCCCAGACGACGTTTACATGGGCGGGTTAACCCTCCCCGCGCTGCGCTCCGCGGCTCGCTGGCTCCCTTGCTGTCCCGTCGGGCGCCCCTCCTCCCTTCTTGGTTGTAGGGGTGGGGGTTATCGGGGGAGGGGATCGGCGCCGAGCACGCCCCCTCCCCCCTCCCAACCCCCAGCCCAAAATCTCCCTAATCCTCTCCGGGCCAGTTGAAAGCGCAGGAGGCGGGTCTCCAGGTGAATGATTTTGCCAGGCCTGGGGGGGGGGGGAGGGGAGGGAGGAGGAGGCACCGGGCGCCTTCCCCACCCCCAGGCCAGATTCTCCTCCCAGAGGCCCCCCCCATCCCCCACCGCATGCTTCTCTCCGGATCCCTCGGCCTCCGGCAGGGCCCGGGTGGCCAAAAGCAAAAGTTTCCAGGGGGTGGGATGGGGGAGGGAGGCGGAGAAAATAGGTGAGGCTGGCGACGCGAAGGAAGGAGGGGAGCGAGGTGGCCTGGCCTGGCCTGAGCGGGGGGTGGGGGTGGGGGTGGGAAGGAGGTGGGGGCCTCGTCGAGGAAGCAACCCAGAATCCGCACACAGCAGAACCAGGAAATGGACGGGGGTGCTGCTTCCTGGGGTAAATATTTTCCTGGGCAGGCTGGCTCTCTGGTAACCCCATTGCCTTGCAAAGGAGAAGGCACGTCTCCCCGCTGCTTCATTAGCAGGCGTTTCAGTGATCCCAGAACATCTATGCAAGAGCATTTTGATTTTCAGTGCAAAAGCGACACTACCCCTATTTTTATTGGTTTCTAGGAAGCATGTGCCACTTTGAGTGCATCCAGCCCCAAGGTCCCTGCCCCTAGGAGCTGACAATCTGACATTCGGTATCTTAAGAAGTGTGCATGCACACCGAAGCTCATACCAATAACAAACTTAGTTGGTCTCTAAGGTGCTGCTGGAAGGAATTTTTTAATTTTGTTTCGACTACGGCAGACCAACATGGCTAAATGTAAAGGTAAAGGTACCCCTGACCATTAGGTCCAGCCATGACCAACTCGTCCCGGGTTGTGCACTCATCTCACTCTATAGGCCAAGGTAGCCGGCGTTTGTCCGCAGACAGCTTCCGGGTCATGTGGCCAGCATGACAAAGCTGTTTCTAGCGAACCAGAGCAGCACACGGAAACGCCCTTTACCTTCCCGCCGGAGCGGTACCTTTTTATCTACTTGCACTTTTAACGTGCTTTCGAACTGCTAGGTGGGCAGGAGCTGGGACTGAGCAACGGGAGCTCACCCCGTCGTGGGGATTCGAACCGCCAACCTTCTGATCGGCAAGTCCTAGGCTCTGTGGTTTAACCCACAGCGCCACCCGCGTCCCTACCTGTAATCTGACATTCAACAGGGGAGCTACACAGGGGTCCCAAAACGAGGCCAGACCAAACTGTGCCAGAGGGAATATGAACACCCAGCACATAGTTAACCTGTGGAACACCCTCCCACAGGAGGCAGTTATGGCCACCAACTTGGATGGCTTTAATTCAGGATTGGAGCAAATTCATGGAGGAAAAGACGCCTATTGATGGCTACTAGTTAGGATGGTTCCGCTCTGCCTCCACAGCAGCGCTTCTGAATCCCAGTTGCTGGAAACTCCAGGAGTGTGTGGGGCTCTCACACTCAGGTCCCTGCATGCAACAGTGAGAGCAGGATGCTGGACTAAATGGGGTCCCCTTTGGCCTAATCTACAGGCTCGTCCTACGTTCTTGACAGGGAGGAGGCAAGTTCCAGGCTTTTAAAAGGCCCCTGTTGAACCCGTGGCCTGGAGGAAGGAGGGCAGGGGTGATGGACAGGGTGGGCTCCATTGCAAGCAACCCAAGAGGCAAAATCCAGGGCACCTCAGCATCTCCTGCTGCAACATAGCAAGGGGCTACCTCTCATGGCACAGGATCCATTTTGCAACTACCTTTCCCCAAGCCGGAAGCGAATATTCTCCAAAACATCTGGATGGCACGGCATTGTGGAAGGCGGCAGATGTTCTGTGTTCCTTCTCAAATCCTGCTTGGCGGAAAGTATCCCTTGAGAGTGTGAGAAGAGCCTGGGTGCTGGATCAGACCAAAGGCTCCTCGAGTCCAGCATCCTATTGTCCCCAGATGCCCACGGGACGCCCAGGGCCAAATTGCCAGAGCACTGCCCTGGCCCACTTGCGATCCCAGAAACTAGTGCAGTGGTACCTATGGTTGCAAACGGGATCCGTTCCGGAGGCCCGTTTGCAACATGAAAAGAACGCAACCCGCGTCTGTGCGAGTTGCGATTCGCCACTTCTGCACATGCGCATGACGTCATTTTGCGCGTCTGCGCATGCACAAGCGGCGAAACCCAGAAGTAACCCTTTCCAGTACTTCCAGGTCACCGCGGGACGTATCCTGAAAGAACGTAACATGAAGCGGACATAACATGAGGTATGACTATACAGAGGCATGTTGCCTTTGGTTTGGAGGTAGCGCATAGCCATTGTGACTAGGAGCCACTGCAAGCCTTATCCTCATCCATTAACACAGTGGTTTTCAACCAGTGTGCCGTGAAGGATGGTCAGGGTTGCCACAGGCAACCCTGGCCTCTGTCCCTCTTTCTTTCTTTCTTTCTTTCTTTCTTTCTCTAATGCCCTCTGATGTCTCTGCCTCCCCAAGGCTTGCCCAGCTGTTCGTTGCACCAGCCCTGGCTACAAGCTCTGCGGGCGAATGTGCCTCTGGGGCTGGCCAAGGCGTGCTTCCTAGGCCCCTGTGGGGAAGTGTGAGGATGCACCTCTCTTTGGGGCAGGGGGAGCAGCGCAGAGACCAGGGGCAGCAGCAGCTGCCCAGAGGCCTCCCAAGGAGAGGGGAGAGGAGGCTGAGGGAACACTCCACAAGAGAGGGTGTTTGAAAAGGGGCGAGGGGTGACATAACTGGGCTCCTGAGCCCCACAGGGGTGCCGCAGAAAGCACGTCAAGGGAGCCGTGGACCCAAAAAGGTTGAAAACCTCTGCATTAAGAAAGAAGACTGGAGGACGAAGTTGATGGACTATGCAGAATTAAATTATATTATTATTATTATTATTAATTATTATTATTTATACCCCACCCATCTGCCTGGGTTTCCCCAGCCACTCTGAGTAGCTTCCAACAGAACACAAAAATACAGTAAGCTATTAAACATTAAAAGCTTCCCTAAACAGGGCTGCCTTCAGATGTCTTCTAAAAGTTTGGTAGTTGTTCTTCTTTGACATCTGGTGGGAGGGCGTTCCACAGGGCAGGTGCCACCACCGAGAAGGCCCTCTGCCTGGTTCCATGTAACTTGGCTTCTCTCAGTGCAGGAACTGCCAGAAGGCCCTCGGCGGTGGACTTCAGTGTCTGGGCAGAACGATGGAGGTGGAGACGCTCCCTCAGATAAATTAACAGAAAGGATTTGAAACCTGCGGGATAAGATTCCTAGAAGACTGGAGTAAATATACGAACTATCTGAAAAGTAATTGTGATGAACAGATTACGCTAGTAGGTTTTGTAAGGTGGATTATTTGAAATACTCCAAGAAGGACTATGGAGAGAATTATTAGTTAAGGATAATTAAATGTAATATAGAAATTAAGAAATGCAGAATAAGTGATAAAGAATGGAAAATCATCAGAGGTGTTGATGGAAGTCTAAAATAATGTATAAGATGAGAAGATATGTTGTATGACTGTTGGAACTGAAATGTTAAAAAATCAATAAATGTATAAAAGAAAACCTCTGCCTTAACGTGTGTAATCCTCTTTCAGAGTCGCCCAAAATGGGTGCCAGTGGTTCTCGAAGGCTGTGGGATGCCACACTATTGTGGCAGGAGAGGGTGGCAAATGTGGCAGGGGCAGTCAAGGACAAGCAAAGAAGCATTTCCGTGCAGTATGGAGGTCCAGCCAGAAACAGGATCCACGTTCATAACTATGTTGTTGTTTTAGTCGTTTAGTCGTGTCCGCCTCTTCGTGACCCCCTGGACCAGAGCACGCCAGGCACTCCTGTCTTCCACTGCCTCCCGCAGTTTGGTCAAACTCATGCTAGTAGCTTTGAGAACACTGTCCAACCATCTCATCCTCTGTCGTCCCCTTCTCCTTGTGCCCTCCATCTTTCCCAACATCAGGGTCTTTTCCAGGGAGTCTTCTCTTCTCATGAGGTGGCCAAAGTCTTGCAGCCTCAGCTTCAGGATCTGTCCTTCCAGTGAGCACTCAGGGCTGATTTCCCTCAGAATGGAGAGGTTTGGTCTTCATGCAGTCCATGGGACTCTCAAGAGTCTCCTTCAACACCAGAATTCAAAAGTATCCATTCTTCGGCGATCAGCCTTCTTTATGGTCCAGCTCTCACTTCCATACATCACTACTGGGAAAACCATAGCTTTAATTATACGGACCTTTGTTGGCAGTGATGTCTCTGCTTTTTAAGATGCTGTCTAGGTTTGTCATTGCTTTTTTCTCCCAAGAAGCAGGCGTCTTTTAATTTCGTGGCTGCTGTCACCATCTGCAGTGATCATGTAGCCCAAGAAAGTAAAATCTCTCACTCATAACTACATTTTGGGAATTATTTGTGTTCTTAAGTAGCTGCATTGTTTCATACTTTCTGGGTGGCCCATGATCATGTAATAAAGTAGCTACATTCTATGTTAACCAGTCAGGCAGTGCCAGAACTTCCTTTTTTGTTTTCCAGTGCATTTCTTATCAATAAAAAATCTGGTGAAAGTTGTAGCCCAGGAAAAAAAGGGTTTGAGAACCTCTGCCTCAGACAGTATGTAGTTGGCAGGTTTCCATGGAGCCTTGCCTCCATTCTTTTCAAAGGCATCAAGGTCGCCACAATCAATGGCGATTTCTGGGCCATGCATAGGATAGGTGGAATAGCTCAGTGGGTAGAGTATGAAACTCTCAATTTCGGGGTCTTGGGTTTGAGCCCCACTTTGGATAAGAGATTCCTGCGTTGCAGGGGTTTGGACTTCTGATGACTCTTGTGGTCCGGATAATGTTATCTGCCACATGGCTTTGGTTCCTGCGCTGCAACATGCAAACTTCTAAATAATAATAATAAACGTGTATTGTCACGACATCCTTTGCCTCACCTTTGCGCTCACAATGGGTTACAGTTCCTAGAAAAATGAGCTGGCTGGAAGGTTACCGCTTTTGTTTTTGTTTTCCCCTTTGCTTAAACAAAGAGCACTGCGATTTCTATAAGGCCAATTCTTGCAAAAGACTTTTGGGGAGCCTTCCCTCCCCTCTTCATGGCAAAACGGGCAGAGCCATCTTCATGACAAAAAGTCTTTTCAGGCAGTCGTTTGCAAGATCAACCAGCAACAAAGGGAGATTTGAATATGCAGAGATTACTGGACCTTCTGCATTTCAATGTGCAACTTCCAGGCCATTGGTCAAATCCCATCCCCCTCCTTCCAGCCCATGTAGATGGGAGCATGGGCTTTTTAGAGAATCAGTTGGCAGGGGTCCCTGAGGGTCATCTAGCCCAACCCCTGCAATGCAGGAGGTCAAGACTAAAGTATCCATGACATATAGTCACCCAAACTGCTTAAAAACCTCCAAGGAAGAAGAGTCCACGGCCACCCGAGGGCATCTCTGTTCGACTGTCGAACAACAATCAGAAAGTTTTTCCTAACGTTCAGTTGGGCTCTCCTTTCTTGCCATTTGGATCCCTTGGTTCGGCTCCTACCTTCTGGACCCGAACCAAGCCTGTTCCGTCTTCCACGTGGCAGCCCTTCAGATATTTGCAGGTGAAAGAAAGAAAAAAGGAAATATATATATAACTAAGATAACAGTAAATCATTCATTCTTTTTTCTTTCTTCTCTTTCTTTTTCCTTTTCTTGTTCCTTTCTTTATGAAGAGTTGCCTGTATTTGGATATGTATTAGATGTGCATCTCTATTTTTTAATTTTTGATTCTTTCTATTTAAGTGATTTCTATGACGATTGTAAGTTTTCTTCTAATCGTCTGTATTTGCAGCATAACTCAATAAAAATAAAAACAACAAGGTATTTGCAGGTGGCTCACATGTCCCCACTCAGACTTCCAGGCTTTGAGATTGCTCCTCCCAGACTCCCACCTGTTCTGCAACTTCTCTTGCCTCAGATCCTCTACTCTAAATGCCAAGCAACACCTTCAGTTAATTTCTTTGCAGGCCGGACTCCCTTGCACAAACCGCCTTGCAACACTTGGGACTTAGCCAGGCTGCCAGCCATTCATTCCCCTTGACTTATATTCTTCCCCTTCTTTATGGACTCCCGATGTCAATGGAACGCTAACTCCCCACAAAAGACTTAGCGGCGCAGTTGTCTTGGCATTGTTTGTGTTATTGTGGTTGCTTCTGGTGCTGGAGGTACACCATGGTCATTTGTGGCTGGTAGCAACTGATAGCTTTATCCTGCATGAATCCTCTTTCAAAGCCATCCCAGCTGGTCACAATCACAACATCCTACGGGAGCAAAACCCAGAGTTTTAACTTCGCACTGCATGAAGGTGTTCTTCCTTTAGTTTCTCCTGAATCGTCCAAAGTTTGGCTTCAGTGTATGGCTGTTTTTTGTTCTGTTTTAATGCACACTTTTAATTCTTCAGCATATTTCCCTGCATGATTTCCCGTTTTTACAGTTACTTTTCAATGGGTTTTCAGTGTGATTTCACTACATTGTTTTTACATAAAGTGCTCCCAATAATTTATAGCAATAAAATGGTTTGAATTACTCCAAGGAGCAACATGGCTTTGGAGCTAGATTCAGATAGGGAACATGTGGCCTACTACAAATCCCATCATTCATGTCCATTGGCTTTGCTGGCTGCTGGGACTGCTGGGAACTGAAGTCCAAAAGCCACTAGAGGACTGCAGCTTCCCCATCTCTAAACTACAGGAAGAGAAAACTAGGATCAGATAAGAAGACACATGTGCAGGAATCACTTTACGGCAAGCTTACCACCTGAGAAATGACCCAGCAGAACGATTATTGCTTATTTATTAAATTCTGTTCTGCCCCTTAGCCAAAAAGCAGTTTACAAAACAACAGCAGTAGGACAGTAAAGGTAAAGGGACCCCTGTCCGTTAGGTCCCGTCGTGACCGACTCGGGGGTTGCGGCGCTCATCTCGCTTTACTGGCCGAGGGAGCCGGCGTTTGTCCGCAGACAGCTTCCGGGTCATGTGGCCAGCAGGACTAAGCCGCTTCTGGCAAACCAGAGCAGCGCACGGAAACGCCGTTTACCTTCCCGCTGGAGCGGTACCTATTTATCTACTTGCACTTTGTGCTTTCGAACTGCTAGCTTGGCAGGAGTAGGACAGTGCTTACCCTCAAACTTACAATCTAAAAGGCATGACACAAGTGGAAATGTGGAAGTGGAGGGAAGAGGAAAGAAGGAAGTTCAGATATGTGCATATGAATCTGCTGGGGAAGGTGAATAGCAGGATTGTTAACAGGGACTGGGAGTATGGTCATATGGTGTCAAATTTTTGCATGGCCGTCTCCACTGGCTACCAGTCCATAAAAATGCTGCCATTGACCCTTTTAAAGCCCTGAATGACTCTTAAGAGTCCAGGTTGCCTTAAAGGGTCATTTTCTGGGGCACCTCTCCGGTTCTCCCATGTGGTATAGGCAACAGCTACCAGAGAAGGGCTTTTCAGTGGTGCTGGAACCCTCTGGCAACAGGGGTCTGGCATTGTGGTCCCTTCCCTGCTAATTAAGACCTTCTAAAAAAGTATCCCCAGGCTTTTCAATCTTAAAACTTCGTAATGGTTTTTAATCTTCCAGGGACCCTTGAGGACATTTTGATGCTGTTGTGAGTTTTGTTGTGCCAACTGAATTTTCTGCTGCATTATAATTTCTGCTGTTCTATCAGTTTTTATAGGGTGATTCTGTAGTGCATGGGTAGGCAAACTAAGGCCCGGGGGCCGGATGCGGCCCAATTGCCTTCTAAATCCAGCCCGCAGCTGGCCCAGGGAATCCTTGTGTGTGTGTGTGTTTGTGTTTTTTTATTAAGGGTTTTCTTGTTTTACAGAAGTAAGTGTAATGCCTTGCGTGTTTTTACATGAGTAAAATGTGTCCTTTTATTTTAAATGCTTCTCTGGGTTATTTGTGGGGCCTGCCTGGTGTTTTTACATGAGTAGAATGTGTGCTTTCATTTAAAATGCATCTCTGGGTTATTTGTGGGGCATAGGAAATCGTTCATTCCCCCCCAGAAAAATATAGTCTGGCCCCCCACAAGGTCTGAGGGACAGTGGACCGGCCCCCTGCTGAAAATGTCTGCTGAACCCTGTTATCTTTACTTGTTTTAACTCAATTACTTGGTTTCGATTACTTAAATTGCAGCACCAACATCAACAAAACAAACAAGCCATGTTATTCCAGGGGTGATGCTGGTGCTGTGACTGGAGTTTAAAACGCCTGTGCTCAGAGTCATGCAGGGGGTTGGACTAGATGACCCTCAGGGTCCCTTCTAACTGCACAATTTTGCGATCCTATGAAAATTGTTTGTTTTTATTTTTTGGTGCTGCTGTTGCTCTGATAACAAGCAACCCCTTTCTCTTAACTAGACGTGGGGCTTTCTCCCCACGATCCCTCCAACTGACCCTTACCTCGGAAGTAAGCGGCCGGAAGAAAACCCCACGGGGCTTGTTTCCGAGTAGACCCGATCCGACGGCGGGGCAGGAAAGCGAGGCCTGACACCCGCCGCCATCCACCCCCCAACCCGCCAACTCATGCGCGCTTTTCCTCGGCGAAAGATCTCCCGGCCGGGCTTACTCGCGAGTAATAGCGTCCCCGGGGAGCCAAATCGAAAGCGGCTGCGCCGGCAGGGGCGGAGCGCGGCGGGGAGGAGCCGGGCGGAGGCGGTAGTGGCAGCCGAGGAAGGCGAGCGATCGGGGCGCGCAATGGGGCTGCTGAGCTTTGCGCGCGAGCCGGTGCCGGAGACGCTGAGCTCAGACCTGCAGCAGCTCAACCAGCTGAGCTCCCAGGTGCAGCTACCGGCGGAGCGGGGGGCTTGGGAGCGGGGGACACACCTATTTTCCGAATATTGGGGCGCTGGTTGCCGAAGACCCCCCCCCAAAAAAAACCTGGCGCTGGGAGGAGGAACCCTCCGGCCAGTGGGGCTGGCGCGTCGCCACGGGGAAGGAAGCAGCGCGCACGAGCGCGCGCTACACTCCTGCGCTTCGCTGCGCGTCATCCTAAAGGGCGACCCCCCCCTCCTCCCCCGGAGGAGATCCTCTGGACCGGAGTCCCGGCGCGCCCGGAGGCTCCGCGAAGCTGCGTGAGCAGGATCGGGGCCCCCGGCTTGCTTTTAAAAGCCTCGCTGGTCTTGGAGAGGGTTGGAAGGGACCCCCCAAGGCTACGAACTCGTAGCTCTTTTAAAACGCGTTTTTAAAGATTCACTCAGGGAAGGAACCAAAAAGCCAAACAGATCAGCTTTCTAAAAAATAAATAAAACTAAGTCTAGTTATTGGCATCCGGTCTTCCAAAGAAAAGCCCACGATTATGGTTAGTTTGATATTCTGCCTTCGGAAACGGCACCTCGCGTTTTATCCGTGTTATTTTAGTTGCCCGTGTAAATGTGGGGTGTAGTACAGTATTTGCAAGATCGGTGGAAACTGGATTCGAAGGAATAAACTTTAATTTAGCCGTGTGCTGCTGAAAAACTGAATCTTGGGCAGATACCCCATAGCTTCCTTCCTCTGCCAGCCTCGCCACAACCTCCACCTTAGGGCCATGTCTAAATCACTTCATTCCCCATGAATATTTCATCTCCCTGTTTTTTAAAAAACAAAACAAAAATCTACTCTCTGTCTCTTTGCCTAGTCTCAGATAGTTTAGAGTCCAAAATCTTTGGCTGCAACTCTTGCCCTCTCCGGGGTGTTGTTGGCGGGGTTTTGTTGTGGTTTTTATTTTTATTTTATTTTTTGCTGCTGTTGGCGTTAGCTTTTTTGTATCTTTATTTTGTATCTTGCAGTGATGGTTGTGTATTTTTTAAAATGTTTTGTTTATGGCTACTTGAACGTTGTAGCTACGTATTTCTTTTCCTGTTGTCAGCCGCCTTGAACATAGTTTGAACTGTGGAAAGGCTGGGGACAAATAAAATTAGGGATGCATGTATATGTCTTGAGACTCTTGACTGATTCAGTTCAGGAGGGGAGAGTTCCTCTTGTGCTTGAATCCTGTTTGTAGGTTTCCCATCTGGTTGGCCTTGAAAGAATAGGATGCTGGGATAAATACAGATCTAATAACTTTTGTGTTATTATAGGTATACCTCTGATCCAGCTGCAACACTGTCTTCTTTTAATTTTGTCTCCTGACACCATATATTCATTATTTCCAAGATTATAAATGATGCACAGGGACTGGATTCAAAGGAATAATTTTTATTTAGCAGTATGCTGCTGCAAAACTATACACGACAAACTGCTGCATTCAGCTTCCGTTCCCTGCTGGTCTCACCCAGAATTCCTTCCCCGCGTACAACCATTTCTAAATCACTTTAGTTCCTGCTCACGAGACATCAGGCTCGCGTTATCCCTCCCTCATTGCACAGCGAGCATATCTGACCAAAGGCACCCAGCGAATTTGATGTGTGCCGCCTCAATAGCTGATGCTCTTAAACAGTTCCTGCTTCTCCTTGGTTCCTGCAAGTCCACTCTTCTGGGGCCACTTTTTTTAAAAAAAACAACCCAAAATAACTCTTTATTACTGTTATTATTTTTAAAAAGGTTCTACAAAATTCTGCAAAGTACCGTGTTATCAAAACAGGATCTGCTGGCAACATACGTTGCCCATATACTGTTGAACAAATATAGACACGAAATGAAGCCAGAATAAATAAACCACAGGCATGCTGCGATAGCTCACTTGGTGGAGCATGAGACTCTTCATCTCTGGGTCCTGGGTTCCAGCCTCAAGTTGGGCGAAAGATTCCTACCTGTTGGGGTAGATGATTCTTGTGGTTCTTTCCAACTCTGCAGTTTTATGCGGATGCGTGGAAGGCAGCGATATAATGATTAGACAAGACAAGGTTAATTAAACAATGACCCTGCTTTATGGCATTAACCATATTTGTTTGTAGACCAAGCAGGGGTCCTCCTTCCTTACAAATGAAATAAAGTCAAACCAAAGAGGTATGAAATCATCCTTTTTTTCCCTTTAGTGCCTAGGGACTTATTAGTTAGTTTTCCCAGCAGGGTGATATCCCTGTGGCTACCACAGAGGTACCGTATCCTTTTTTTCCCCAAAAAATTTTTTTGTTGGTTTTCACAATATTATAAACAAACAAACAAACACACAAGACAAACAAACAAAACAAACATAAATCATAGCCTTATTAAAAATTACAGTTATTAACTTTGTTAAGTGACTTCCTCACTTCCCCTTGGTTGAATTTCATTGCATGTCCTTTTAACGGTTTTCCAAATCCCAATTTTCATGAAATTTAACTTAAACATTAACATTCTTAAATCTTCACCTTATAGAATTAAACATATTAATTCATCACTTAACATAAATAAAATCCTAAGCCTACTAAGTATCTGCAAGCTATTTCCAGTTAGTTTAACTTAACAAATTTAACTAAATAGTCATTAAATTTATTCCATTCTTCCTGATATTCCTTCTGCTTCTGGTCGCGGACTCTTCCGGTCAGGTCGGCTAGTTCCGAAAAATCCACCATCTTCATCTGCCATTCTTCTATTGTTGGTAATTTTTGGGTTTTCCACTTTTTAGCCAACAAAATACGAGCAGCAGTTGTGGCATACAAAAATAATTTAACATCTTTCTTGGGCAATTCCAAACCTGTTATTCCAAGAAGAAAGGCCTCTGGTTTCTTTATAAATGTATATTTCAACATTTTTTTCAATTCATTATAAATCTTTTCCCAGAAGTCTTTCACCTTGGGACAGGTCCACCACATATGATAAAAGGTTCTTACCTTTTCTTTACATTTCCAACATATATTGTCACATTTATGATATATCTTTGCTAATTTTACAGGAGTCAAATACCATCTATACATCATTTTCATTATATTTTCCTTTAGCAAAGTACATGCGGTGAGCTTGACCACTTTCTTCCACAATCTTTCCCAATCCTCAAACATTATATTATGTCCTACATCTCTTGCCCAATCTATCATCACAGATTTAACTTGTTCATCTTTTGTATGCCACTCCAACAATAGCTTTAGCTGGCTGCTAAAACTGTGAGCCAGGCTCCTGGAGAACTCATGAGCTTTCTGTCTCCACTCCAACCTGGCAGCACAATAAAAAGCGCAGCTGTTAGTCATGCCTTTTTCGCATTCCAGGTATCTCCCTCAAGGTCATGCTTCTGTTTTTGGGGTTATCACCTCATCCAAGAATGCGACCGCTTTGCTCTCCTGGATGCCCTGCCTTCCGACCCTATGGCTGAACTGTTTCGTGATTTATTTACTTTTTGGGGGGGGAAATGCTTGTAGGATTTTATTTTGATTATTTAGTTCGTAAAATGTACGCACCGCTTGCAAAAAGGAAAAGAAAACCCTCAGAGTGGTTTTCAAAAAAGGCAAAACAACATCAGTAAGAAAAAATGCTAACTTAGGACTTTTGGAAAGGTGAAATAACACGAAACTAAAAACAGATTAAGACTCTTGTCAACTTTCTAAACATCTGTTGTTAGCCGCCCTGAGCCCGGCTTCGGCTGGGGAGGGCGGGATATAAATAAATAAATAAAAATTTTTATTATTATTATTATCTGGGTTGGCTTGTCTAAACAAGAATGCTTTAAGCAGGCGCTGAAAAGAGTACAGCGAAGGTGCCTGCCTGATATCAAGTGGCATGGAGTTCCAAAGGCCCTCCACACTAAACGGGCAAGTTCCTGCAAATGAGCAACGGGCTTTATGTAGCACCTGTAACAGCACCTGTTCTAAATAGCCGAGTGGTCGTACATGCGGAAAGGCGATCGTGTAGGTAAACTGTTTGCATTCAGTGCTAGTCCTCCCCAGGGTAAAGGTAAAGGTAAAGGTACCCCTGCCCGTACGGGCCAGTCTTGCCAGACTCTAGGGTTGTGCACTCATCTCACTCTATAGGCCGGGAGCCAGCGCTGTCCGCAGACACTTCCGGGTCACGTGGCCAGCGTGACAAGCTGCATCTGGCGAGCCAGCGCAGCACACGGAACGCCATTTACCTTCCCGCTGGTAAGCGGTCCCTATTTATCTACTTGCACCCGGGGGTGCTTTCGAACTGCTAGGTTGGCAGGCGCTGGGACCGAACGACGGGAGCGCACCCCGCCGCAGGGATTCGAACCGCCGACCTTTGATCGGCAAGTCCTAGGCGCTGAGGTTTTACCCACAGCGCCACCCGCGTCCCCCTCCCCAGATTAGACCAACTGAAATCAATGAACATTGCTAGCATAGAACTGAAGAATTGGAAGGGACCCTGGGGTCATCTAGTCCAACCCCCTGCGTTGCAGGAATCTCAACTCAAGCATCCATGACAGGTGGCCATCTGTCTGTCCATTAATTGTAGCAGGTCTACTCTGAGTAAACGTTAGTTGGCTGCAACCCATATTATTATCATTATTGTTTTTTACAAAAAATATTGTTTCTTAATCCTTAGCACTCTGCCAGAGCTCTGTAGGCTCCCTGGTGTGCAAACAGGGCTGCTGCCTCTCTCTGGGGGATTTGGAGAATGCCCAGCACATGCAAACAGAGGATTCAAGCGCTCCTGTGTGGAGGTCGATACCTTTTAATTGGGCCAGCTCTCCTTATTTGCAAACTTGCAAAATAAAGATAAATTGGACTCCTGGGTGTCACATTTTCCACAGAGCTAGTTTGCTCCTAAGGCTGTAACATTTAACTCAATAAATTGAATTGATGCATTAAACACTTTTCAGCTTAAAGGCCCAAATTGGGCGGTTGTTTTTAAAATGGTGAATTGTGCTTCATGTGTTGGTGTTGACCTTTAAAGCCCTAAATGGCCTCGGCCCAGTATACCTGAAGGAGCATCTCCACCCCTATCATTCTGCCTGGATGCTAAGGTCCAACGCTGAGGTCCAGCGCCGAGGGCCTTCTGGCAGTTCCCTCACTGCGAGAAGCAAAGCTACAGGGAACCAGGCAGAGGGCCTTCTCGGTGGTGGCGCCCGCCCTGTGGAACACCCTCCCACCAGATGTCAAAGTGAACAACAACTACCTGCCATTTAGAAGACATCTGAAGGCAGCCCTGTTCAGGGTAGTTTTTAATGTGTGACATTTTGATGTATTTTTAATCTTTGTTGGAAGCCGCCCAGAGTGGCTGGGGAAACCCAGCCAGATGGGCGGGGTACAAATAATAAATTATTATTATTATTACTTGCAAATCCACAGGTGATTCTGGCAGTGGTTGCAGAAGAAGCCCGCCATTCAGGAATGAGACCCCCTTCTAAGATGGTGCCCCCAATTTGGCTCCCTCCAGATGTTTCGGTCTACAACTCCCATCAGCCACATCTGGAGGGCACCAAGTTGGAGAACCCTGGCTATAGACACACATGCACACACACACAGAAGCCTGGCCAAACATAAACATACAGTCGTACCCTGGATCCCAAACGCACTTTTCCTGGACCTTGGAGGTTTAAGCCAGCTGGAAGGGGCTCACCCATAGCTGTCAACTTTTCCCTTTTCTTGCGAGGAATCCTATTCGGAATAAGGGAATTTCCCTTAAAAAAGGGGAAACGTTGACAGCTATGGGCTCGCCACCCTGGGCCTCAGATAAGCTGTGCACCCGCCTCTGTTGATATGCAAATATATGCAGAATTAATTAAGCAATTAAAACTCATAACTGTTGTTCAAGGTGGGTAAGATTTATTTAATGAGGCCACCAGCCTCTCCTATTCACTTTCACAAGGAAGCTGGTATTAGAGCAATCTTAGGTTGAATTGGATTACTGCGTAATTGAGTTCCAAGTCTTAAAGGGAAGAGTTTTGGCAAGGGAATCAGGACCTTCGTGTTGTGGGGCAGGATGTGTCCCTGTTCCCAGGTCCATCTAACTTGATGGCTCCAAACCACTGCCTTCGCATACCCAGGCTGAACCACCAAGTGCCTTTTAAAAGCTATATATACAGAGGGAAATTTGGATGATTGTTGTTCTTTAAAAAAAAGGAATAATCTGCATTAGACACGGGAACGAGCAGGAGAGGTGGGCCCAATCCTTGGCAGGTCTTGTGTTGCTGACACCTTCGTTTTGTCTCTCTCCAGCAATTCTCCACTCTCGCGGAAGTGGTTTTCCGATTTCTGCAGGAACCCAAAGAGGTAAGCCCGCCCACAGTGATGTCGGCAAGGTAACATCCGAGGGGGTTAGCTGAGGCTATTTTTGCTGTAGTTTTACTCAAGGTGAGCAACTTAGGAGCAGCAGGAGCAGCAGCTTTTAATGCTAATCACAGTAGCATTTTTGCATGAGATAAAACAAAAGGCCAGTAACCCTGTCACAAGTCTGCAAGTTCTTTTCAATTCTTTGTAAAGTGTAGATTGTTGTTCTCATTTTATTATTATTATTATTATTATTATTATTATTAATAGCAATGTCATGAAAGTGATTATTATCTCAACCTGAAGGACAAGGTGGGATGCATATTCTGTTAGGGCGCATTCCAAGCAATAGCAGACCATGACATATCAGCAGAGGAGCATGTGTATGTTTAAACATGAGATCCTATATGTTGTTGTTGCTGTTTTTGTTTGTTTGTTTGTTTGTTTGTTTGTTTGTTTGTTTATAACCTGCCCATCTGGCTGGGTTTCTCCAATCACTCTGGGCAGCTCCCAACAGAATATTAAAAACACGATAAAACAGCAAACATTAACAACTTCCTGATTTTTTAGGGCTGCCTTCAGATGTCTTCTAAAAGTCAGATAGCTGTTTATTTCCTTTACATCTGATGGGAGGGCGTTCCACAGGGCGGGCGTCACTACCGAGAAGGCCCTCTCCCTAAACAAATACAGTCAGCCACAATAATAATAATAATAATAATAATAATAATATAATATTGCCCTTCATCTGAGAATCACAGGGCAGACTTGCCCCCTTTGCTGACCTCTAGCAATCACACTTTTCTATCACCAACTCATTCTCATCCCTTCCTTTGGGGCCCTGGGGTTTGGAACAATTTTATTGGACTGTTTGAAAAGAAAGAAAGAAATACTGTGAGTCTGACGGTTTCCTCCTCACCAGATCTTCTCCAAAGTTAGCCATAATGAGCTCTGTGGGGCTTCCTCCCAGGTAAGGGAGAAACAGGTTCTAAAGTCAAGACTATTAAAACGAGGCCTTCCTTAATTTACGACTTGCGCCAGGATCTCGCCCCTTCTTTGTGCCTCTTCCTTTAATGACTGCTCAGCTTTCCCTACCGAAACAAGTCATAAATTCTGCCCGAACTTGGGCAGACAACTTGGAAACCACCAGATGTTTAGCTAAAATTATGCCCTGCTTTCTCAAACCAATTCCTATAAAAGGAGGGGGGCTCCTGTCTCTAAACAGGGACGGAGATGTCGGCTAAAATAAAAAATAACAAAGGTTATTATATTATATTATTATATTATATTATATTATATTATATTATTATATTATATTATTATATTATATTATATTATATTATATTATATTATATTATATTATAGTGGCAGTAGTCAGACAGCAGAGAAATATCCCCAGATTGTTTCTTAAGGCCACTTTTCACCCTGCTGTTTACAAGTTGGGAACTTTTCCTTGAACATCTGATTCTCAGTTCCATCAGAGACTAAGGTTACTTCTAAGCTCTGAACAGGAAATATTCAAAATCAAAAGCTAGCCAAAGGTGGTGGTGTTGTTGTCGTTTAGTCGTGTCCGACTCTTCATGACCCCCTGGACCAGAGCACGCCAGGCACTCCTGTCTTCCACTGCCTCCCTCATGCTGGTAGCTTTGAGAACACTATCCAACCATCTCGTCCTCTGTCGTCCCCTTCTCCTTGTGCCCTCCATCTTTCCCAACATCAGGATCTTTTCCAGGGAGTCTTTTCTTCTCATGAGGTGGCCAAAGTCTTGGAGCCTCAGCTTTAGGATCTGTCCTTCCAGTGAGCACTCAGGGCTGATCCCTTATTTTCGAGGCTGCTGGTCCCTTATTTTCAAATCTGTAAGTTGACAGCTATGCTCCGTGGTCCCTTCGAACTCTACAGTTTTATGATTCAAAGTCCCCGTGAACTCAGTGGAACTGACTTTGGAGTCAGGCAGGCATAGGATTGCGCCAGAAACTCGCACCTGTCTGCAGCTTGGAGGTGTGGATCGCCCTGTCTGCTCTTCTCCTCTTACAGGTCGAAAGGTTCCTAGCTCAGCTCTCTGAATTTGCCACCAGCAATAAACTCAGCCCGGGCCCTTTGAAGAACATTGTTAAAAGCCTCCTGTTGGTGCCAAATGGTGAGTGGCAGCTTGGGGGTCCCTGGCGCTGTGTGGGTGCCGGTCGTACACCAGGGGAATCGAGAGAGGAGCTTCTCCCCTCTTTCGTGATGGGACCCCTCACAAGGGGGGCAGCTGCTCAGTGAAGTAATAATAATAATAATAATTAAATTATTTATTTACCTACAGGACCGCCTCTCCTGGTATGCCCCACGGAGGACGTTACGGTCTTCAAACAAAAACATCTTGGAGGTCCCGGGCCACAGGGAGGTTAGGCTGGCCTCAACTAGAGCCAGGGCTTTTTCGGCTGTGGCCCCGATCTGGTGGAACGCTCTGTCCCAAGAGACTAGGGCTCTGCGGGAGTTGACATCTTTCTGCAGGGCCTGCAAGACGGAGCTGTTCCACCAGGCCTTTGGCCAAGGCACAGCCTGACCCCCTCCTTCGGTAATCCTCACAGAACTCTAGCCCAATGGTTGCCATTAATCTGATTTGAAGTGATTTTATAATGAAATGATTTTAGAATATTGTATCATTTTACTGTTGTTAGCTGCTCTGAGCCCGGCTTCGGCTGGGGAGGGTGGGATATAAAAAAAATATTATTATTGTTAATATTAATACCCCGCCCTCCCCAGCCAGAGCTCAGGGCGGCTAACACCAGTAAAATTACAATTTAACAAAAAACCAATTTTAAATACAGGTTAGAAAATAATTTAAAATTCAGCCTCATTTTAATAGTAGCCCATAGATCAAAACCATAAGGGGAGGGAAACATAAGGGTCAGACTGAGTCCAGACCAAAGGCCAGGCGGAACAGCTCTGTCTTGCAGGCTTTGCGGAAAGATGTCAAGTCCCACAGGGCCCTAGTCTCTTGGGCAGAGCGTTCCACCAAGTCGGGGCCAGTACTGAAAAGGCCCTGGCCCTAGTTGAGACCAATCTAACCTCCTTGCGGCTTGGGACCTCCAAAGTGTTGTTATTTGTGGACTTTAAGGTCCTCTGTGGGGCAGACCAGGAGAGGCAGTCCCGTAGGTACGTAGGAACATAAGGAGAGCCAGGGTGCAGGATCAGGCCAAAGGCCCACGGAGTCCTGAATTCTGTTCTCATGGTTGCCAGCCAGATACCCACAGGAAGACCCCAACCTAAGCACAATAGCAGCGCTTTTGATTCACAGCTAGGACAGATGCATCAGGACCAAGTAGCCACTTGTCCCCACGGATTTGTTGAAACTCCTTTTAAAGCCATCCACGCTGGTGAACGTCTTGTGGCAGTGAGTTCCAAAGTTAAAACCGTGCGAAAAAGTACCGTATTTTTCGCTCTATAAGACGCACCAGACCACAAGACGCACCTAGTTTTTGGAGGAGGAAAACAAGAAAAAAAATATTCTGAATCTCAGAAGCCAGAACAGCAAGAGGGATCGCTGCGCAGCGAAAGCAGCAATCCCTCTTGCTGTTCTGGCTTCTGGGATAGCTGCACAGCCTGCATTCGCTCCATAAGACGCACACACATTTCCCCTTACTTTTCAGGAGGGAAAAAGCGAGTCTTATAGAGCAAAAAATACGGTATCTCATCAAGAATCTTCCAACGTCCCATTTTGGCGACTGCCTTATTCCAGCGCTTAACTCCATACAGTAGCGATGTTGTCTAACCAGACTTCTCTCTCTCTCTCCCCTTTCCCCCCTCCATCTGTCTGTTTTATGCCTTGTTTATCTCAGGTGCCCTAAAGAGAGGTCTGTCGGCAGAGCAGGTTAGAGCAGATCTTATCACCCTGGGTAGGTCTTTTTGAAAAGCCTCCGGCGATTCTGGAAGGTGGACGGTGGCTGCCGGCCTCTCATTTAACTGTCTTGAATTTCTCCTGCAGGGCTGAGTGAGGAGAAGGCCAGCTATTTCGAAGAGCAGGTACTATGAACATTCCTTTCGCTACTGAAATTTTAATTCCGCAGGGGGGAAAGGTGCTTTTCCTCTGCGCTGCCTGTTCTCTGAACTAATTGCACAAATCAAATGAAATACTGTGAAAATCCCTGAAACGAGAAGTAATCGACTAGATATATTATCTAATGGAAATAAACTAAATAATAAGAAATATCAAAACGCTTAAGGAAAAAATTAGAAATTTGAATTTTAGATTTTTCTATTTTTTTCGTTAAGCTTTTTGATTTTTCTTATTTAGATAAAAAACAAATACCTTATTTTTCGCCCTATAGGACGCACCGGCCCATAGGACGCACTTTTTTTTGGGGGGGGGATAAAGGGAAAAAATATTATTTCCCCCCCCGAGCCCCAAAGAGCAAAGAAGCCATGACAGCGAGCGGGATGGATCCGTTCGTTTTTAGCCTCGGGGCTGGGGGTCCAGGAGCGAAGGCGAGGTTGCGCAATCTCGCCATCACTCCCAGAGCTTGCGGGGCTGGGGGCGGGGGAAGCCCGAGCTTCCCCCGTCCCCAGCCCCCAGAACAGGCTGTTGCCCGCAAGCCTTGCGAGCCCGCAGGAACTCCCCCCGGGTGCGCAAGGCTTGCGGACACCTGCATGAAGCACGGGGCGTCCTCTGGAGGGCGCCCTGTGCTACGGGCTGCAGGCTGCTGCCCGCAAGCCCACGGGAACTCCCGCCGGGCTCGCAAGGCTTGCGGATAGCTTCCTGAAGCCTGGAGAGGGAGAGGGGTCAGTGCGCACCGACACCTCTCGCTCTGCAGGCTTCAGCGAAAGCCTGCATTCACCCCATAGGACGCACACACATTTCCCCTTCATTTTTGAAGGGGAAAAGGTGCGTCCTATAGGGCGAAAAATACGGTAAAACAAAACCTACATACAGCAACAGTCTTTTGTGTTGTGTAGGCTCCTAGGATGTAAGTCATGGGCCCCACCTGCTCCCTAAAATATCACTGGTTTGCTCATTTCTATACACAGTGGTACCTTGGTTCTGAAACTTAATCTGTTCTGGAAGTCCGTTCCAAAACCAAGGCGTGCTTTCCCATAGAAAGTATTGCAAAACGGAATAAATCCGTTCCAGACTGAAACAGCAATTTAATTTCACTGTTAATATACTTCTTAATTGTATTCCAGTTCGACATTTACTTTGATAAAATACATATTTTGTTATGCGCAAATGGCTTTCGATACCTATTAGGTCCATAAATTACCATATAGCATATATTCAACACAAAAAACAGCAACAGTGTGTTGTTGACAAAGGACAGCTGGACATAGAAAGGGCCCCATTACCTTCAGGAATTGAGGGCCTCATCAAACCTAAATCCGGCCCTGCATCTTGCGTGTGAAACTCTGGAAGCCAGGCTTCCGCGAAGGTGGTCTTGGGTGGAATGGGGACTCCGGACACACATGCCGGTTTTTGTTTCATTTTGCTTTCTGCAATCTTTCCAGTGGAAGGAGAAATCGCCCACCCTCTCCCGCCTGGCTGTGGGCCAGACCCTGATGGTGAACCAGCTCGTAGACATGGAGTGGAAATTTGGAGGTGAGCGGAGTTGGAAGGGACCCCAAGAGTCATCTAGTCCAACCCCCTATGGCCCCAGGTGCCTCCACCCCACGGAAGCTCCGCCTTCCAGTTTCCCCAGGGCACCCACATTGATTTTCTTTGTTCTCTCCGGCAGTTACAGCAGGAAGCAGCGAACTGGAGAAAGCCGGAAGCATCTTCCTGCAGGTGGGTATCGTGCCGTGCAAGAGGCGATGCTGTTTTTGAAAGACCCGCTCAGGTAGAGCCAGGGGCAAAAAATAGGGTGTTGGCACAGGCGCTGGGAAAAGGCCATCCTGTATCCCGCAGACGCTTGTGCCTGAAGAATTCAGCGTCCCAGGAAACTCTGCTTTTGTTTTGGTTTCCAAAAACCAAGTTTCTAGTATGGCAGCAGAGAGAGGCTTGAAAGTGTTTGGGCAGTGCGGTTTGGGGAGGTAGGCGGAGGGCTGAGAGGGCATCCCAGTGGTACGGGACTTCAGCATCTTTGGTCCTCCCCCTGGCTAGCAGAAGCAGCAAAATAGTGAGGTGGTGCAACAGATCTGCCTTGGAGGTGCGCCTTATACAGGTGGCAGAACTGGAGCCCTCCAGCTATTTTGGACTACAGTTTCCATCAGCCCCAGCCAACATGGGACTCAGTGCTCATTTTGGGTAGGGTGATAGGTGCAGATTTCTTCCCCTTCGCAAATCTCCATCCTTTCCTGTGGGTCACAGCCCAGAGTGGCTTGTCTCTGTCCCCCTGTCCAGAAGCATCCATGCACACACCCTAATTCCCAACTCCTCAGCCGCTCCATCTACCGCCCTGCAAAAACATTACCGGTGGAAGAATCTCAGGGTTTTCTCTTTGCAGAAAAAAAGCACAGTGTTTTAACATTTCTCGCCTGCTCACTTGGATGCAACTTCCTTTATTCTGACAAAATAAACCTGATTTTTATTTCCAGCTGAAGTTGGTGATTAGGAAAGGAAACAAAGTGGAGCCTTTGTACATGGGTGAGTGAGCCATTATTTTGTCCTGGGGGGGTGGGTGTTCTGCAAAGAGAGGGAGGCAGTTGAAGCCCCAGGAAGGCTGAAATTGCATCTCCTGCAAAAGACATTGCAAGGGCATGTATTTTGGGATGGGGGGGGGCGAGGGGAGCTGCTTCTTTCAACTAACTCTAAGGTCAGAGTTTTGTCCCTCGACTTGAGTGCATTCAGTGGTATCCATTTATTATTATTATTATTAATTATTATTATTAATATCCCTCATTTTCCCCAGACTGGGACTCAGGGCAGCTTGCACAAATTAAAACAACACAGATAAAATGCAAAAAGCTTAAAAAGGTAGCAGTGATAATGGTTAAAAGCATTATTATTATGATTATGATTATTATTATTATTATTATTATATTTTGGGAGCTGCAGCTGTAAAAAGAAAACTGCTCAGCTACTCAAGCTCCAGTGGAGATCTCTGGGGATGAACGGACACTTATATCATTTTGCCTCTTACTCGCCTTTTCTCTGAACTTACTAAAAGTCCCAAATGCTTCAGCCCAGCCAGATGGGCGGGGTAGAAATAATAAAATCACCGTTGTTATTACTAATCTTTCTTCTGTCCCCTTGATCATTTTGCTTTCCCTTTTCCGAGCAACGATTAACTTGCTGCAGGGAAAACAAAAGTGCTTTTCTTGTTTGGTGAGTCCCGAATCATTTCCGTTTTTCTTTCTTCTCTCTCTCTCTCTCCCTGCCCGCGGAACCAGAGCTGACGCTGCCTCAGTTTTACAGCTTCCTTCACGAGATGGAGAGGATGAAAACCAGCCTGGAATGCCTCAGCTGAGTTTCCTGTGGGGCATCGGCGCTGCCTGCTTAAAACCAGAGAGTGAAAGCTGAACGCCCACCGTCCAAGGCCCCTGGACCAGATCCTCCAAGCACCATTTTCCCCATTGAGAGGTTTGGGGTCAAAGACGCACCCCGCTTTTAAAGTCTGGCTCTCTTGGGGCTCTAAGACAAGGACAGCAAGGGTGGGAAATGTTTTGTAAAACCTGCAGAAGTCTGATGTTTTTTATCTCTCTGGCTGCATAAAAGGCTTGTTTAGGGAGCAGATAATGCTCCTTGAAAGAGGCTCAAGGAAGCAAAAATAAAATGGGGGGGGGCAATAACTTTTTGCTCTCCTTGAGAGGAAGAGGTGGCAGCTATAAAATCTCCTTTAAAATCTTTTTTAAAAGTGTAATTTAGAACATTGGTTTGCATAACCCACTGAGGAAGAGAGTAACACAGTAAAATTCAAAACAGTAGCAGTTCATTGCATAGTTATTCAAGAACCATCCTTGGAGGTTTTTAAGCCTAGGTTGGGTGGCCTGGATACTTCAGCTGAGAATCCTCCACTGCAAGAGGGTGGACTAGATGACTCTAAGGGTCCCTTCCAACTCTTAATGATTCTGCGATTCTAAAACCCAGTTTGGTTTAATTAACTTGGCAAAACTGATGAACCGGGTTTCGAAGTCTGATAGTCATTTGCACCTCCAGCACACACACACTCACACCCGCCACCTCCTTGCCTCTTCGTGCCCCCCTGGGCAATCCACACACCCCCCCCCAGGAGGTGCCAACGCCTATTTCAGAACCACTTTCCCTGAATGGAAGTACAAATTCGCCATAGCCTTGCCCAATGGGATGCGGGTGGCGCTGTGGTCTAAACCACTGAGCCTCTTGGGCTTACCGATTGGAAGGTTGGTGGTTCGAATCCCCGCGACGGGGTGAGCTCCCGTTGCTCTGTTCCAGTTCCTGCCAACCTAGCAGTTCAAAAGCACACCAGTGCAAGTAGATAAATAGGTACCGGTGCAACAGGAAGGTAAACGGCGTTTCCTTGTGCCAGAAGTGGTTTAGTCCTGCTGGCACATGACCCGGAAATCTGTCTGTGGACAAACGCCAGCTCCCTCGGCCTGAAAAGCGAGATGAGCGCCGCAACCCCAGAGTTGCCTTTGCCTGGACTTAACCGTCCAGGGGTCCTTTACCTTTTACCTTTATAACTTTGTCCAGATCCTTGCACTTCTTATCAGTAGCCCCCTTCATTTGCAAATGGATCTTCCAGCATTGCCTAATACTTTTGTGGGATCAGGGATCTCTGAAACCTGCCTCTTTCCATTCCGTGGGATTTTTCCGGCCATGTTCCAGAGACGCTCCAATGCATCCCTGGGTTCTTCATTTTTTCACCTCACTGAAGGGGGGAAAGGGAAGAAAGTTGTGCAAGTTTGCCCAAAAACGCCTCTCAAAAGAGGAAGGCATTCACCAAAGGCCAGACACCTTGACACGCCACCTTTGGGTGAAGATTGCCAGATGATGGGGGCCACTATTATTTTTTTTTTTAAATTTTAGCCTTCCTACAGAGCAGCTGTCACCAGCCTGTTTCTCTCTAGATGTTTTGGACTACAGTAATCATAATAATTTTATTATTATGTGACAGGGTTGCCCCAGCCACTGGGTGTCTCCTAACAAAATATTTAAAAACACAATAAAACATCACACATTAAAAGCTTCCCTGTACAGGGCTGCCTTCAGATGTCAGTGGAAAGTCATGTACAGTGGTACCTTGGTTCTTGAACTTAATCCGTTCTGGGAGGCTATCCGACTCCCGAAACCGTTCAAAAAGCAAGGCGCAGCTTCTGATTGGCTGCGGGGTGTTCCTGCACTCAATCAGAAGCCGCGTCAGGCGTTCAGCTTCCAAAAAACATTTGCAAACCGGAACACTTTCAGGTTTGCGGTATTCAGGAGCCAAACCTTACAACTACGAAGGTACCACTGTCGTTGTTTGTCTCCCTGACATTGGACGGGAGGGCGTTCCACAGGGTGGGTGCCACCATCGAGAAGGCCCTCTGCCTGGTTCCCTGTAGCTTGGCTTCTCGCAGGGAGGGAACCGCCAGAAGGCCCCCAGAGATGGACCCCGGTGTCCGGGCTGAACGATGAGGGTGGCGACGCTCTTTCAGGTATACAACTCCTGTTGTGGGAATTGTCGTCTGAAACTTCTGGAGAGCACCAATGTATTGATGGTTGTTCAGTTAGGCAAGCGTCCTTTTCTCAGCTATAGGGGAATCAAATGCTCTTTGGCAAAAACTCAAAATCTTGTGAACCTGCAAGTTGAAAGTGGCAGCAGGTGGGCTTCCTTCTCTCCGGTGATCCAGAATGATAATCTCTTTGGGGGGGGTGCAATCCGTCTTTGAGGTGTGCCCTGCTCACACCTATGCGCATACTTGCACACCTCTCCTATGGCCGCGAGACCGAACTAGCCTTCCATGTGTGTCCTTTCTTCCAACCACACTCTGCACCCCAACAATTTGCATTTTTTTATATTGCAGGGAAATACATAGCGCCCGAAATGGATTTTCCAGAGTGTTCTGCAGTAGTTGCTTTTCCTGGGACAACCCTGTGCCCTGGTATAATTCTTCGTAGACTCTCAGTAAAACCAACAATTGAAATTGGGCGGTTTTTTAATTGACTCTATTACATTAAATTTATACCCCACTACATTGTTTTTTTAAAAAATGGTTTGCAGGAAAGGCAAATGAGTAAGAAAAATAAATAAATCACTTGAAAAACTTTCAAAAAGGTAGCTGCGGGTGGCGCTGTGGGTTAAACCACAGAGCCTAGGACTTGCCGATCAGAAGGTTGGCGGTTCGAATCCCTGCGACGGGGTGAGCTCCTGTTGCTTGGTCCCTGCTCCTGCCAACCTAGCAGTTTGAAAGCACATCAAAGTGCAAGTAGATAAATAGGTACTGCTCCGGCGGGAAGGTAAACGGCATTTCCATGCGCTGCTCTGGTTTGCCAGAAGCGGCTTAGTCCTGCTGGCCACATGACCCGGAAGCTGTACGCCGGCTCCCTCGGCCAGTAAAGCGAGATGAACGCCACGACCCCAGAGTCGGTCACAACTGGACCTAATGGTCAGGGGTCCCTTTACCTTTATAGATATAGATAGATGATAGATGGATAGATATAGAAGATAGATAGATGGATATATAGACAGACAGACAGATATAAAGGTAAAGGACAATGGACGGTTAAGTCCAGTCAAAGGTGACTCTGGGGTTGTGGCGCTCATCTCGCTCTCAGGCCGAGGGAGCCAGCGTTTATCCACAGACAGCTTTCCGGGTCATGTGGCCAGCATGACTAAACCGCTTCTGGTGCAACGGAACACTGTGATGGAAACCAGAGCGCACAGAAACGGCGTTTACCTTCCCCCCAGAACAGTACCTATTTATCCACTTGCACTGCTGTGCGTTCGAACTGCTAGGTTGGCTGGAGCAGGGACCGAACAACGGGAGCTCACCCCGTCGTGGGGATTCGAACTTCCGACCTTCTGATCGGCAAGCCCAAGAGGCTTGGAAGGTAAATGGCGTTTCCGTGCGCTGCTCTGGTTTGGCCAAAAGCGGCTTAGTTATGCTGGCCACATGACCCGGAAAAACTGTCTGTGGACAAACGTCGGCTCCCTTGGCCAGTAAAGCGAGATGAGTGCCGCAACCCCAGAGTCGGCCGTGACTGGACCTAGTGGTCAGGGGTCCCTTTACCTTTAAAATACAGATTAGAACTTGCATCAGCATTCTAAATATCTGGGCAGGCTTGTCTAAATGAGTGCTTTTAGTGGGCACTGAAAAGAACACAGTAGCTGATGTCAAGAGGCAGCGAGTTCCAAAGTGTACTGTAGGAGCTGCCACACTAAAATACAAAGTTCTTACAAATGTGGAACAGGGATTGTGTGGCACACTGTGGGCATATATTGGGTAAGGCAATCTTCCAGGTAAACTGGTCCCAAGTTGCTAATGGATTTGTATACTAACAGAATTTGGCTTGGCAGGCAGTGCAGACATGTTGAGCACAGGTGTTGCATGTGACAAGGCCTCTTGTCAGCAACCATGCTGCAGCATCCTGCGCTAACTGCAGCTTCCGGACCAGGAATTTTGTCTTCAAAGGGTCCCTCCTTTTTTTACAATCTGGGCCCCTGTGCTATCTATCTTTCAGGCCAAAACGGAAAAGAGGACTTTTTGCTTCCTGATCACACTTCCTGAAGGGCACCTTTGCTGCTGCAGACAAGAACTTCCTCATTCCTTTGGGGGCTTCTCTGCACACCAAGGCGGAAGGCTTTTTCAGACAAAATGGGGAGCATCCCAAGTAGTAGAAATTTCGGTTTGGGAAAGGACTATATTAGCGCCAGCCCTAATGAAGTACTAGGTGGAGTTTGGTTTCCTAAGCACGGTATCATTTGTTTGCTTTGCAGAGGGATGATTCTTTTGTTTTGTTTTGTTTTGTTTTGTTTTGTTTTGTTTTGTTTTGTTTTGTTTAGAAAAAGGCAACCTTGGAAGCTCCATCTTTTGATTAACGTTTATTTCATTTCATGGGATTTATATTCCTCTTGTTTGCAGAAAAACAACAACAACTCAAAAGCGGTTTATTAAACGACCAAGAAATTTGCAGCCATAATTTAAAACATACAGAAAGTTAAAACCACAATAGAATAGACTGAAACAATTAAAATTCCTGGGTAGCCTTGTCTAAATAAGAATGTTCTCAGCAGGCAGCTAAAATAATACAATTGCAGCGCCAGCCTGATATATGGAGCACCATTGGACCAGGACGTGCACATTTTAAGAAAAGAGGGACCTTGGTGTTTTTCTGTTGCAAGCCATCCTGAGATCTGCGGATAAAGGGAGGTTTACAAATTTTAAAAATAAATATACAAATTGAATAAATAATAATAATTCTCGTGTGGGGCGCAAAACCTTGCTGAGGCAGCATGCATATCACCCCACAAACACCATTGAGATGTGGTGCTAGCCTGCTCGTTCAGGATCCCACCCAGCAGCATAGCTGTCAACTTTTCCCTTTTCTTATGAGGAATCCTATTCGGAATAAGGGAATTTCCCTTTAGAAAAGGGAATCGTTGACAGCTATGCCTAGCATAGGGGAGCCCAAGACTCTTCCAAAGGCATCTTCTGGTTCTGCCTTCCTCCTGTTTAAAGAAGCCCTCAGGGCAAGAGCTGCCCCAAAGCACATTGGCAGCCTCTGAGAAATTTAAATGCTCTCTCCTGACAGCAGCCAAGGTTAAGCCAAGCCAGTGTCCCACTGGGACATGGGAGAGGCTAAGGTTCGAATCGCCCCTCAGCCATAAAGCTCACGGGGTGTGACTCTGGGACAGCCAGTCGTTGGCTCTCCGCCGAACCTACCTCACAGGGTTGTTGGAATTAAATGAGGGTTCTGTGGAGATAAAAGGAGAGAGATACATGCAATAAATCAGGGGTAGGCAAACTAAGGCCCAGGGGCCAGATGTGGCCCAATCGCCTTCTCAATCCGGCCCGCGGACAGTCCGGGAAGCAGCGTTTTTTTACATGAGTAGAATGTGTGCTTTTATTTAAAATGCATCTCTGGGTTATTTGTGGGGCATAGGAATTCGTTCATTTCCCCAAAAAAATATAGTCCGGCCCCCCACAAGGTCTGAGGGACGGTGGACTGGCCCACAGCTGAAAAAGGTTGCTGACCCCTGCAATAAATAAATAGTAATGGCATTGCCTCGTCTTCAGCCCCTCACTGTCCTTGCCTCTCTGTCCCCTCCCTGGATTTTCCCACGGTAGATTGTAGGCTCTGTGGGGACAGAGTCCTCTCCAGGTTTGAAATCTGTAAGATACCACATGTGTACCCCTCCCCCCCCCCGTTGAGCTGAAGATGGGGGGAGAGCAGCAGAAACGAGAGCACAGGTGGTACCTATGAAAAGAAACGCAGGAAAGTAAAGATAAATAAAATGCCTGCTTGCATTTTGGGTGGATGTTGCCTCTGCTGCTCTTCTGCATTTCAGAGTTCTAGTTTGTATCGATGCTCAGGAGGAGATCTCGTTGAATTGTTTCACGTTGCTCTAAAACGTGGCATTTGCATTGCGACTTTGCCTTTGCCATTTATCTGTGATGTTTTAGGATGTTTGGAAACCACTTAGAGAACCGTAGAATTGAAGAGTTGGACGGGACCACGAGGGTCTTTTGGCCAACGTGGTACTCGAACCCGCAACCATGAGCATAGAAGTGAAGAAGAGGAAGAAGAAGAAGAAGAAGAAGAAGAAGAAGAAGAAGAGTTTGGATTTGATATCCCGCCTTTCACTCCCCTTCAGGAGTCTCAAAGCGGCTAACATTCTCCTTTCCCTTCCTCCCCCACAACAAATGCTCCGTGAGGTGAGTGGGGCTGAGAGACTTCAAAGAAGTGTGACTGGCCCAAGGTCACCCAGCAGCTGCATGTGGAGGAGCGGGGAATCGAACCTGGTTCCCCAGATTACGAGACTACCGCTCTTAACCACTACACCACACTGGCTCACCAAGTGCACCTTGAGCACCCTCTGGAAGCTGTTTAATGGAGCCGCCAGATTCACCTCTGTAAAAAGGCTGTTTCGCAGCTTAGGGGCCACCACAGAAAAGGCCCTCTCCCAGTTATAGAATCATAGTTGGAAAGGACTCCAAGAGGCATCTAGTCAAACCCCCTGCAATGTAAGAATCAGCAAAAGCACCCACCACAAGCCTCTGTAGCTGGAGGAACTAGCAAGAGGACCCCCTCTGCCAACCTCAGCACCCAAGAAGATCTGTGGGGAAGGAAGCCATCTTTCAGGTAAAGGGGACCTGAGTCGTTGAGGGTTTAAGTGGTATATAAATTAAGCAAAGGCCCCTCCAAATGGAATAAATATATGGGTGGTTCTGTGAAAAATCCTTATAAACGTGGAGAGAGTTCTCCCTTCCGTTGGAAAGACACCATAAGTATTATAAATAAGTATATAAATAATTTTCACAAAAGTTATGCTGACAATTTTATTTCAAGGCTTGAACCGTATCTGCATACAAAGACAAAATGGAAAATATAGCTATACAATAGTGTTTTTTAAAAATACATAGGGAAAAGGATTGTTTACGATTAAAAATGCTTTCCTAGCTTTTTTTTCCTGCAAATTCTTGAATTATGCAGGAAAAATCAAGCCACTTTGCCTTATCGTGGTTTATGTTTATCATTGCTAAACCATTTAGGCATTCTTGAGCCATTGTTGATCGAAAGAAAGACTTAATTCGTTTTAATATATTGAAACTTCTCTCATTGGAGGCCACTGTAGCCGGTAATGATAAGAAAATGCGTAGTGCAATTAGAAGATTTGGAAAAATGTTCGCCCCAGTGCATCCCCTGCGATTGTGAATATGCTGACTGAGGCCCCCTTTGGAATCAGAGGCCCTGCTTCTTGCTTCCTCCTTGCCCTTTCTCCCTCGTTCAGCACTTGCTTCTCCAAGCTCAGGGCAGCCTCTGCAGGCAAGGCCCCTTCGAGGCTTGAGAGGCAAAAGGCCCAGAGGTGGGTTACACACATCGCATCTTTGTGGGGGGGAATTGGTCGCAGATGTTGGCCACATCGCTGCCTCTTGTGGGAGCAAGCTTGCCTGTGCGCTGCATGAAGAAGGCCTTTTCTCTGCCCTGATTCTCCCAACACGCAGTTTCATGGGATGCCCACTGACAGAGTTACGACAGAGGAAGAAAACCTTTTCTGTCTGAGCTTTCTCCATG